GTCTTCTCCCAGCAAACGTTCCGGCCTCGCAACGCGTAATTAGATTCTGCGGCCGAACGCGTCTAGAACCAAACTTGGGTTTGGTAAAACTTGGCATAAAATAAACTACTGAGCTATTTCATTTCACTACTCTATTCCCTTTAGCTTTTCCTAATGTCGCTGAGTTGTTGTTGACCACTATTGATTTTGTCATTTTCCATTTAAAAAACTTAAATTGGAAATGTTATTGTAATTTGCAGGCAGGTGCACCATGTTCGTTTTGTGAGCCGCCGCGTTTACATTGTTTCTATATTTTCTGATTCAACTCGCAAATGTGGAGATTGGTGATGGTGCGTATGCAGCAAGGGGCGTGCGTTTATGGCTATTCTGCAGAAGGGTCCTTCCCCCCCATCCATCCACTTACTGTTAAGAGCCCTGCAGGTGTCTTGTGACGCTCAATGGGCACTTGATGCATAACGACATGATACCCAGCCAACATTCTCAAGCCACGGAAGTCTGAACTGATGGAATCAAACATCAGTGTTTCTTGTATTACAGCGTAGATCCTGGTGTTTTGAGTACAATGCAATAAAATATAAGAACAGAGCATTTTTACTTTTTACTAAAATCCTGTTTAGCTACTTATCTCATTCTTGGACAAGCGAAACCGATGTTGTGTTTGTATCTTCAGCATTAGAGGAAATGCTTTCAGAATGTGGTCTAATGTGTTTGTTGGGTGGGACCGGGTATTGTTTCAAATAAAGTCAAGATATATTGGGTTGAAAAATGTTTGTTAGTTAAAAAATGTATATATTCGGTTGAAACGTATCCTAGTGAATCATTTCAATACTTCTGTTAGGATAAACAAAACGCATAAAATGTCCTGCTTGGTTCCTGAGCCACCTTCCTCCACACTTTTTAGAGCGGAGCGTGTCCACAGTCGTCCGTCTGCTCAGCCCGTCTCTGTCACTGCGTATCCACCGTGTCCTACAAAATGTAGTCACTCTATTTCCACCTCATTATTCATCACTTACCCTCAGCCACACATTTCCAGAGACAACAAAACACGGGTCTAAAAGCCTGAGCCGAGTCGGTGACGTGCTGCAGGTTCACGCTTCCCTCCGGCTGCCGTATTTAGCCGCCTTAGCATAACTCCACGAGACACGCACACGCACGTCCACAAGGACCGGGGGACAATCTGCAGCATCGTGCAGAGGCCCCTCGGTGGGCCGGTTGCTAAACTTAGAGCAGAAATGGGCCAGAGACACACGATCTGTGCACTGTCGGTCTGCGTGTGTTGAGTTGTATTAACTTTCATTCAGACACTGTCTGATTGTGTCAAGAAACAAACAAAAAAAACTCTCTCCCACTTCAGTTTCCCCCCTTCCAGTTTCTTTTGGGATTACAGCCTCTTTCTCGCAAATCCTCGAGAGCCGTGTGAATTGGCGGAGGGGCGCCCTGCAATCACAATCATGTTACGGACAGAATCTGTCAAAAGCACTAATGGAGAGCTGCACTTGAAAAAAAACAAACGAAAGTCTTTTTGAAAGGGAAGGTTCGAAAAGTACTTAGAATAAGGTCACTGTTAATTAGATGGTGGTCTGACAAATGTGTGAGCTAATTAGGCCGGTGTGTGTTTGATTAAAGATAAGTAGGCTTCCATGATAAGAAATGTGATGATGAGGCAGGAGAAGAGCGCGGTAGAGAGAGACGTTCCATTTAGGTAGAGATGAGAAGTGTGGGACAAAGACGAATGACAGGCTTGTCGTCAATGCGTAATTTTCACGTGGCGATGGCAGCCGGTGCTCACAAGCCTTATCTGAAATGGACGCGCTTGAGGGCTTGTGTGTGTGTGTGTGTATGTGTGTGTGTGTGTAGCTCTGCTGTATGCATCTCATGCCCACTGTCTTCTAAATTCGCTAAATCCAAGCGAAGGCCAGCTGTTCTCTCCTTTCCTCCTGCCTCACCTCCCACTCCAGCTCTTCTATTCATCCCTCTCTCCCCATCAGGCAGTGCAGCAGCAGCACCCCCCCCCCTCAAGTTCAAAGGATCCTTTATAGGCAGGATAGAAATATGCATTGCCAAACACCTCCCAGCAGCAGACACCATCATCTCTCTCTGCGTTGCTCCACCGAGCTCCATCTCCACTCTCTCTGTCTCCGTCTGCCTTCGGCTCGCTGCCACGTCCTCTCACAGGAGACGGACCTGAGTGGTTTATCAAAAATGAAGTTCAAATCGGTATCATCGATGCTGCCAACTAGTCCCTTTCTTTATGGGCCGGTTAGATGGGATTCCACATTGTTCGTATAGGTCCTATAGGCGCGTCCAAGCGGTCGCCCTCCAATAACACAAGGTCTTTGAACCCAGCGGCTCTCTGGCTGACGACGTTTTGGCCTCCAGGACTTGTCCGTGCACCGCTCAGTTTGTCGTGTGCGACTGGATCGTTTGACGAGAGGCCAGTTTTCACTCAAATGCAAGTTGTAGAGACACATTTTGGTATTTAAACACCTACACGAGCCGTTGAACACACATTATGTTGTTGTTATATTGTAGGAAGTCTCATTGTGTTCAGGTGCAGTCTGTGAGCGTGTGTTCCCATGAACCCGTTGGCTCGCTCTATGACATCAGTGCAGTTCAGCACAGTCTGTTACGTGTGTGTGAGTGTGTGTGTGCGTGTGTGTGTGTCAGTATTAGTAATCAGTTTTAGTCTCTGATTGCGGTCGTGATTTGTCATCTTGTGCCTGGCATTGTGTGTGTTTGCGTACTATTACGTGTGTGTGTGTTAGGATGTCAGCGTCTGCATTTAAAGCCATTCTAGTTGGTGTGTGTGTGTGTGTGTCCTGCATATTCAAGCGATTAGAAGTGGGTCTATTTCTTTTGCAGTCACTGATGTGCCCCTGTGTGTGTAATTGAAATAACTGAGTTACTGACTCCCTCTCCCCACCGAGTCCAATAACTGCTCCAGGAGTGTGTGAGTGCACTCATTTGAGGGCTTTGGGGCCGTACAGGGCCTGTCGGCCATGGAAAACGCCCCCCCCCACACACACACACACACACACATGTAACAGGGAGTCCTACTGAGCCTAAACTTACACTAATACGGACAAGCAGGCGCATACAGTTGGAATTAGAGGCACACAAACGCATTGATACAGACAAACACAAGAAACGTCTCCATCAATCCAGACACACACACACACACACACACACACGCGCGTCCCCTGGAGGAGGGCACACATGTGTCCCGTGCTCCTCTTCCTCCCTCTGTGGTGGAACAGGTCAGGCTTAGCCTCCTCCTGCCTAAATGGCTGGCTGACTGCCTGAGACACACACAGACACACACAGACACACACACCGTTTCCCTGCCCCATCACTGGTCACCTCGCTCCACATACGGGATCACAGCCGTCTGCCAGCCTGCCCTCTCGCTCTCCATTCATCCTATTGTCACAACACTGTCCTCTGTCTCTGTCCCCCCGCAGGCTTCAAGTCTTGGCAGAACACTCGCTGCCTTTTTTTGTGCATCTCTATCTTTTATCCTGGCTCGCTTATTCTCTCTCTCTCTCATTTAGTCCCTCTCTGTTTTTCTCTTATCTGCTCCCTCCTCTACTCATCTCTCGCCGTATCTCCCCCCCCTCTCCCCCACCCCGCTACACAAACACACCCCGTCTCCACCGCCCATTCATCCCGCCGTATTGTGCGCTGCGGCGTATTGTTGTCCGTGTACAGCAGCCAGCGCTGACGTCCCGGAGGAGGCAGCGACCTGCTGCCCCCCTCCGGGGACTTTAATACTCACTAATCGATCACTTTGTGCCAACGCAGGTGATAATGTTCCCAGAGCCTAATTATTGTTAATTATGTGCAAATAAAGAGTGTTTTGCAGGACTTAATTCTGCATACGGTCTCTTATTCCACCCTGCACTCACCTCTTCTTTCCTGGCTTCTGTCTTGCTCTCCTTTCGGCGTGTATTTTTCTCAAAGGCTAATGAAAACTCTGCAGACCTCTGGCGCTCTGAATGAGTGTGTTGGACAGTGCATTAGTACTGCTCTTAAGAAGACGGAGATAGAGCACGGAAGGCAGAGGAAATGGTGTGTGTGTGTGTGTGGGGGGGTGTATAGAGGATAAAGGGTGGAGCGGGAGAGCGCGAATCTGGAAATTCAATTATAACTGTGCCCAGGCAGTAATTCCGCTGGTTGGAAATGGGACGGCAGAGCGGGGAGAAGGAGATGGATGGAGATGGATGGAGGGCGGGACAGAAGAGGAAAGCACAGAAAGTTGGGAAACAAATGGATTGAAGCGCGACATTCGCGTGTTCCCATCATAATTTCATGATTTTGTAACCCGGCCCCCCCAATTGAACTTAGATGCACGTGCTTCATCTAGCACGGGACGATAAACAAGCCCACGTCACAGAACTCGTGAGACAAGAGTCTTGTCTAGACTCCCATTTCTCACCTCCCCCACTTCTTCTGACCGGCTCAATGTTCCATTTCGGTCGGTGAGTGGTATTTATTAGCGCGCCCTGACCCGCCTGTACTGCCGCTTGGACTGCTGTGCGTTCTTTGGCGCCCCATGTTTAGATTTTACCTCAGTGAGTGAACTGCACGCATCGTCTTAATGTCCAGCGTCTTCGCCGGGGCAAGTGGAGTGCAGCGTTGTTCCAGCACGCCGTAAAACCAGATGATGACAATGATCAATGAGGTTAAGGACGGCGGCTTTGAGTCCTCAGAATTCGCTGCAGTCACCCCCCCGTGTGCAAACCCATTAAAAGAGTCATAAAAGCAACTAATGAAAATCATGACCGGTATCTTTACAAGCCCACTGCTGTCCTCTCGCCTCTCTCCTCTGTGAGCCAGAGAATAAAAGGCAGCTAAATTAATGTTCCCACCAATAATGTTACAGAACCCACCACCGTGTCAGTTGTCCTCTGTGCGGAGAGACGGCTAAATCAAAGTTTGGGCCAATACTGTTACGCAACCGTTCCCACTCTTCCGTTGCTCTTGTCCCTTGTCATGTCCAGGATGACGACTCCATGTTCTTCCAGTTTGGCCCCTCCATCGAGCAGCAGGCTTCGGTCATGCTGAACATCATGGAGGAGTACGACTGGTACATCTTCTCCATCGTCACCACGTACTACCCGGGGTACCAGGACTTTGTCACCAAGGTAACGACACTCTGCACTCGAATAAAACTCATTTGCTGATTTGCTGAGCATTCAGTGGAATCCCATAATGAACCCCTGGACATTGTTCTTTATCTTAATTTAGCAGATTTTTGACGTTAGCGATCCTTAAACAAATGATTATGATTGCAATACAATGAAAAAGTCCCGTCCTGTCTCCTGATCGGGCCTCGTCTCCCTCGGTCCCATCCAGGTCCGCAGCACCATAGAGAACAGCTTCGTGGGCTGGGAACTGGAGGAGGTTTTACTGCTGGACATGTCGGTGGATGACGGCGATTCGAAGATCCAGAACCAGCTGAAGAAGCTCCAGAGCCCCGTCATTCTCCTCTACTGCACCAAAGAGGAGGCCAACACCATCTTCGAGGTGGCCCACTCTGTCGGGATCACGGGCTACGGCTACACATGGATAGCACCCTCGCTGGTAGCCGGAGACACCATTGCAGTGCCGGCAGAGTTCCCCACAGGTAGGAAACCAGCTGTAGCAGCGGGATACTCGGAGCCACTACATACACATGACATGTTTTTGAATGAAACTTTGTTGTGTAGCCATGTCTTCACATCCGGAGGGTGTGGTGTCCAGGCAGACATGCTCACTACTCAACTGTCCTTCCTGATGTTACGATGTCGGTGGTTAAGTTTTGTGCTTCTTCTGCATTCTGGAGACAATTTGGTTGTCGATGTTTGGCGTTGTAGTGGCATCGCTGTCTCGTTGATGCACCTCTGTTCTGTTAGAATGGCGAGTCCTAGAAATGCGTATGACATGTCTACTAAACGAGGCTCCCGGGCGAACAAAGGAGAGATGAGGTGTGTGACGGCAATCTGTCCAGGTCAGGTTGTACTGAACTTTTTAAATCTAATTTAGCTGGCGCTTTTATCCAAAGCGACTTGTTTATTCCACCATGAGGGTACAGACCCGGAACAACAAGAATCAAGAAAGCTTTTAGAAGGGCAAGTAAGTGCCGTTTTAAGTGCTACTAAAGGGCTACCAATTCAAGCTACGGTCAGCATAGTTGTGTTTTTAATTAACTTTTGTTTGGGGTTTGGATTCAGTTGGCTGTGGTCCTGACTTGAGACCTGATTACACCTGTGGAGTACACAGGTGATGTCATATGATTATATCAACCTGTGTACTCAGAACCTCATTCTGAAAAGATGTTTGCTTGCCTTGAGCACTAATGCTCATCCCTTTGTAAGTAGAGTAATTAGATTATGTTAATTAGCGTTTGGTTGATGATTATCCAATGAGAGCATGAATGTACGTATTTTCCACACAGATGTCTCCAGTCTGACTCCAAACCATCAAACTGCCTCTGGATTCCTCTGTGCTATTGCCTACAGAATGACTACCTACTGTAGACAGGTCATTTGGGGGGGATTCAAAAAAGCAATTTCGAAACAAATATAGAGACGTTTCACTTGTAAGAAGGAAGAATATAATCTTTTGTCTTTCAAGAGTTACATGGTCTCATCTTTTCCTCAGCCGCTCTGATCCGCTAATGGAGAGTAAGACACAATTATAAGTTTCAGAAAAGGCTAAGTGGACTTCAGACGACCACGCAAAAGACTTTCGTATTGTAGATGTTGATGATTTTCAGTTTGGCTATTTAGACTTTTTTTTCCTGCAAGACACAAAGCAATGTGACCTTTCCTAAAACCAAGTGAGGGAGCGCCTCTCGCCGTCGCCCCGTCCCTCAACACCACTGGAGGTCATTCTAACCTTTGAAGGTCAAACGCGGCGCCAAAGTGGCATCCATGTTGGGGCTCACGCAATCTGTCAGCGACACCCGTCACACCGCCGCGTGGGAACTGGACTTTGGGGACTTTGGGGGGGACGGAGTCTTTCAGAAAGGCCAGCCCTCAGTGGGGATCTAACTGCTGCTGATGGCGACGGAAGGAAAAAAAACCTTTTGGGGCGTTTGGCTTGTTGGCGTTGGACGAAGAGGAGACGGCGCTGCCGGTCAGCGTCCTCAGAACTTTTTTAAATTTTTTTTTACCTCTGCTCCCGTATTGCCACCTACGGATGATTGAGTCTAAATGGAAGTTGGCAGTGCGTTTCGTAAGCCCGTTTGTGTGCCCAGGTGTGTGTTTTGTGCGATGGCGGCGTGTGAAATGTGCGATCGGTTCATGGTTTCATGGTGGAGGTAATACCTGTTGTGTGCTCGTGCTTTTGAGTGCACCTGATACAGTGAAGGGTGAAAGTGTTTACCCGAAAGCTGGGGTAAACACAACCGTGTGTGTGCGTCAGTTGCAAATTAAAGATACACTCTATAAAGTTTGATATATCACCAAATCAGTTAAGTAAATCACACAACAGCTCCGCTCTTGATGGATGCTGCCAGAGAGATAATTGTGTCTGGCTCCTGTGCTGCCTGGGTGATCACAAAGTGGAGCTGGCAGAGAGGCTGCGTTGATGGACGCATAAACAAACCTCTATGAGCTTGAATTATCACGGGATTAATCTTGCTGGACATAATGAAGGATAGTAGGCTAAATGTCATCCGCTCATTTAAAGCGTGATGAATTGGATGGAAAATGTGCTTATAATCTAACGTTAACTACCGAATGAAAGATTTTAAATCATTTATATTTAGTTTGAAGCTGCAATAAAGTTGGTGTTTGTTGTACGCAAATACAGATTGTTGGTGGAACGGGATGTTTTATGGCGGTGTGACGGTGGATGTCGGGTGTAAGTCTGTGTGCACGCGGCACAGCCTGTGCTCACGGCACTGCTGCTGCAGGATCTGTGCTTGTCAATTCTGCCCTCTGCCAACAGCATGAACATGGAGGTAGGTGGTTACTTAACAGCTTCAGCAATGACTTTCTATAAAAGCGTGCGTGCATGAGACACATGTATTTTCTGCTGTGAGGCGGAATACTGGCCGGAATTAACCTGCAATAAATATTCTGCTGTACAAAAAGCAAGATACAGTTATTATGTTTGGGACATTCATTAGACGTTCCGCTGTAGAACTCAATAATTAATTAAAAACCTTTTTATTTCGGAGTTTCAACCCGAGCATCATCAAAGCCAAATGGAGCTGGAAGTCAGGCACACCAACAAGCGAACAGGCGCGGCGTGCCGTTAATGGTGTGGCGGCGTGCGCTCTGCTTGAATGCAGCGGTTCAGGGTTCGGCAGAAGGTGCACGCTAGCTCGAGGGGGGTGGGGGGCTTTGCTTACTAGGCACACTTAATAATTTGCACCATGCGTGATGAAGAGCCTCAAATCCTCGTGGGTAATTCAGCTGATGTCTTCCATAAGTGGGCGCTCTGGGGAACGATGTCCCCTCCCACTCTCTCCCTCCCCTCATTTCATGCTGTTGTTCCCTCGCGTCCCAGTCGTTTCTGTCTCACTATTTCAGCCTCCTCTGACTCTCTATTCCCTTTTTTGCACTGCTACTTTATCTTTGTGTCTCTGCTGCTGTCTGCCTGTTCCTCTCTGCTCCATCCGTCCCTCTTTTCCGTCCCAGTGCCTCTCAACGCTCTCTCTCTCTCTCTCTTACTAACAGCTTTTCCGTCACTGTTCTTCCTGATCAGTTACACACTAACGCTGCACACACTGTGCTAACGTATCCACCCAGTCTGACATCTCCCACAATAATAGTCAGTTTCCAAAAATACCTATTGATACGGTGGTTCTGCCATTATGCTCCCCCAACTCAGTTTCCCTGCGCGTGGATGCTCTCCGTCTGCGGTCTATGCGATTTCTCTTCTACGCAGAAAGGTCTGTGACAGGGAGACGGCGTTTCGCCTTCCAACCGAGTCAGCAGGCGGTTTACAGGCCAGAAGCAGCTGCCACAGTGCTGTTCAGCTCTGACTTTGCCAGTTGCCGCGTCTATGTTGTGACACTAAAGCATGTCCGGAGAGATGTATGAACATGTAGACTTAACTCTGCACACACTCTGCACACACTCAGCTTCCTATGTAAGAATCGTTGCCATCAAATGAGAAAAGTGTGCAAAAAGGAGCAAGTGAAGGGAGTGAGTGAGTGAAGGGAGTGAGTGAGTGAGTGAGAAAGTGTCAACAGCGTGTGACATTAGATGTGGTCCTGGAGGGCCCGAGCTGTCAGTGCCGAGGCCCCGCGAGGAGGGCTGGTTGCCATGCCGCCCGTCTATTTCTGCCCGCTGACATGGTAGTGGACCGGCTGACATGTGGTCATACTCTGTCAGATGGATGCAGACCCTCTGATGGACACAGACAGAGATGGACAAATTGACTCGGAGGCTCGCGGAGAGCTCTGCGACTTGAGTCGTCCGGCAGGAGTAAAGATCAGTTAGTGGCCGTGTTCAGAAGTCAGTAGGGCAACTTGGTGTTGAGGGTTTAGATAACAGGGCTCTTAATGATGAAGATTCCTGTGTTAGATTTGGTCGGTCATGCTAACGTTTAACAAACATTAGAGCAGCCAAACACACTCTTTAATTGAATTCAGCACATACCTTGATGCCGATATTGCAACTATATTGTATGGTTAATTATTGGTTCTCAAATAGATCTTTGTTAAATAAGTGCTTGTGGTAAAGGCAAACAAGAGAAAAGGTAGAATAGTCTGGTAAGTTCAGAAATTAAAATCACCTTAGTGTTTTGCAGCCTTCCAAATCAGTAGCTAAACTTTTACCCTATTTCAATATTTTTAAATTCTATATGCAAGATAATGGCTTATCGATATGTTGCCCAGCAATAGTTCATCCCATACATTACACTTTTGATCTTGTGTTTTTGGTATTAGACAGATGTGGTTACGGTTGCTGATTGGACAGTTTGTGTTGTGTGTGACTACGTCTCTTAGCGTCCAGCGGCTACTTGATGCTTGATTGAATAGTCTACTTCAATTATTGCCCCTAACACGTTCAAAACATCAGACCCTTTCTAATAAGGACCTGTGACCCAAAACCTGAAGCAAAAAAAGTTTTCCAGTTTTTAAAACTCATTGAGAACCGAAAGAGCCTGAAAAAAAGGGGGCCAATCAGAAGCCAATCTAAAATCCTGACGGCGGGGGACTAAAGAGCCCAATGATTGGTGATTAAAAAGAGAGAAACATTGCACACACTTGTCGTCAATTGATGAAGACTATAATTCGTGAGTTAATAGCAATAACGTCAGTTCAGTATAAATGATCATTATCAAAATGTCAGCTGTGTTTCAGTAGATGCATAACAGGCATAAGTTTCATTGTGAATCCACTCTTATCACAGTGTTTCATTGCGTTTTTCTTTCTGTATTTTAGAAGAATAAAACATGGAAAAGGATGATGTAACGCATTGATGTGAGTCAGGCCCTCAGCCAGCCATTCTGGGGTAAATAAAGGTTTAAAAAAACAGTCCCTGTAATGTCCATCAAATCGCTCTTCACTGCAGGACACTTAAGCGAGCGAGACAACGCTGGACAAAGGACGGAGTTAAAGGGGTGAATGGAAGTGGACTGGTAGAGACAGACTGACAGAGAGACACAGACTCACAAATTGTTGTTCGTAAACAGACAGATTGTCAGGAGAGAACGGCACTCTGGCCGACAGAAGGGCAGATAAACAGGCGTACAGACAGTGCAAAGGTCAACAAACAAGAGACAGACAGTGCTTTAGACGGACAGATGGACAAACACACCAAGGTGATGGACGCGGAGTCCTCGCGCAGTGTGTGCTCTGTCTCTTGGAGTGTGTTCAGAGCGTGTACACTGTGTACACCCCGGTCGCTGCGCCTGTTCCCACACAACCCAGTTCACCTCTGTCGTCCTCCCCACGTTCCCCGTCCCTCCACCTCCTCCACCTTTCTGATCCTCCTCTCTCCTCTCCCCGCCTTGTCCACCCAGGGCTGCTCTCCGTGTCCTACGACGAGTGGGACTACGGCCTGGAGGCCCGCGTCCGCGACGGCGTGGCCATCATCACTATGGCAACCTCCACCATGATGATGGACCGCGGACCCCACACCCTGCTGAAGTCCGAGTGCCACGGGGCTCCGGACAAGAAGACCCCCATCTCAGGCAACCCCAACGAAGTGCTCAGGTGAGTGGAGGACGGAGGCTGTAGGGATTCACAGGAGGTGGTGAACTCGTGGGTCCCGGCACCCGAAATGAGACGTCTGGTCGCCACATGTGGACACGCTAGTAAACAGTATGTAAACAGCATGTAACCCTTTGTTTGTAGCATTGTGCTTACGTCTTCAAGTGGCTTTTCATATGATTTAAGCTGGTTTCAGGAATAGTTTTGGGAAAACCGCTTCGACTTTGTGTTGGATGGCAAGAGTTGGCTAGCTTAGCTTAGCATAGCTGGCCTGGCTCTGTCTCAGCACTGACCAGTGTACAGGTGCTATACGGAGTTGCTGGGCAACAGGGTTTCCAGAAGATACGGCTCCACGCCAATGAATAGTCTGACACATATTCCCCCTGGAAACATGCGTGTTGCTTTTGCACCTCGGTTTTTGTGCAAATTAAAAGCATAGATGTGAGACATGTGAAACCAGTCTTAGGCTGGGCGGACCCCTCCGGGCTGGACTTTAACATGCCAACTTAAAAAACACTTGTTGTGCTCACGTCTGACTGGTGCTGTGCGAGTGGGATGTTGTGTCCTGTGGTGGTTGTTATCTGTCTACTCGTGTTTGTTTTTCTTGTCTTCTCTTGCATTGTATTCTACAGTGCTGTCTTGTTCAATTATAATACATTTCTGAAAAAAACGTTACCAGGGGAATTTTGTCCCGTTGTTTCCAAGTGTCCAGACTTCATGCTAAGCTAAGCTAATTGTTAGTGTGTATGTGTACTTGTTTACATGGTATAGTATTTTTTATAGTCTTGAAATGCAGACTTTAAAGATGGGACCTGTTTGTACTTAGTAGTTGTTAAAAATTCAATTAATGAAGTTATTTCCCTCCATGGTCTCAGCAGTCGTGTCGTTCCTCCACAATTACACTCATGTCTCCAAAAAAAAAACTGTGCAGTGATTTATGGAAACGCCACAGACAGTAGCTTAAAAAAAAGAGGGTAAACAACTTCTGGTTGTGTGGCATCAACACAAGCGTCCTGGCGGCGTGAACCAGCACAACCTCGGACGTAGCAGATGCTTGCGCAACCACACACACACACACACACACACACACACACACGCACCTTCATCCCCCCGCAAACTGTGATCATCCTCCCACCATGTAATAACACCCTTTTGCACACAAACACCCCTCTTCACACGCCCCCTTCCTCTAGAAGAATACGGGCCCACCCCCTCAGCCGTCCGTCTCAGCAGCAGGTCTTCTGAGCGGGTTCGCTTTGCTCCGCGCGCTGCCTTAATTGGTCCCGATGGCGTTTCAGTCAACGAACACGGGCCCCTGTCGCGCTGCGCTCCGGGGCTCAGCCCAGCTTTATATTCAGGGGCAGTTCCAGCTCGTGTGTCTGCCGTATCTGTGTGTGCGTGTGATGGACCGTGAAGGCCAGGTGTGTGTGTGTGTGTGTGTGTGTGTTTGTGTGTGTGCGCGCGTGCATTAGTGTGGTACAGTTTGTGTGTGCTGAGACGTCTTCTAGGACACTAGTGTTGTTTCCTACTCGATGGTTTTCAGGGGCCTTTGAGAAGCAGAAGACGTGCTGGAGAGGCACACCTTCTCCTACCAGGGACGTGGAGCTCGTTTCCACGCTGGCGCTCCGGGGCCGAGCCGCGGCCCGGCTCCGCTAAGGCGGCGAGGCTTTGTTGTCCGTCCAAGTGAACTCTTTAGATCTCATTTCAACCCCCGTGTTGCTTGTTCGCTCCTTTCTGAAGCCCTGCGTTTGTTTCTCCGCTGCTTAGCGCTCCGGGGATAACAGGGGAGTTCATGGCAGCCGCTGCCGCCCCCAGAATCCGACAACCCTGATCTGCTGCCGCGCGCCGCTCCGCTTCCTCTCCTCTTCACCGCGATCCTCCCGTCTTTGCTGCTCGGATCCTCCCTGCAGTCCCGTCCTTTGACTCTTCCCCGGTGTGCTTCCACTCGTCTTCTCTCCACTTCCCTTCTCTTCTGTCAGGAGCTGCTGTGTTTTATCAGTTCACACCATCTTCTCCTCTCCTCACTTCCTTTCTCCTCTCCTCTCCTCACTTCCTTTCTCCTCTCCTCTCCTCACTTCCTTTCTCCTCTCCTCTCCTCTGCTTCCTTTCCAGGCGTCTGCGCTACAGACCTGCAGCTTTATAATCAACTTAGCTGTGTTGATGATTAGATCAGTTGCGAGCGCCGCTGAGATCCTTTGCTTTGCCCCTCGCTGCCTTAACTAAATTTGTCTGGTGATAACCTTTGTCTCCGAGTGGTTAATAAAAAAGATTAGCGTTTGACCTCCGGTCTATATACCTGGGCAGTGAATGAACGGCTGGTTGCCCGGCTTGCTGGCTGTTTGGTCTGGATGCCTCGCCGCCTGCTTGGGTCGCTGCTAAGTGGATCAATGGATGGAACGGACGGGAGCTCAAACAGAAGGTGTCAGGATACGTTACATTCGGTGGAGTTCACGCGTCATTGATGAATCGGGCAAAGTCACAATCGGTTCTCAGCCGTGGAGAATGACACGCGATAGCTCAAAAAACGAAGCCCCGATCTGTAATTTCTGTTTCTTCTGTGAAATATTACTTCGTTAGAATAAAACTGAAACTGGTCAGACTAATAGTGAAACTATGGGGATCGGTTCAGAGAAATGGATCTCGACCGTCACAGCGATTCCTCACCATCACCTTTCATGTTCATTGGAAATACTTCCAAACTGGATATTATTTCACTGTTAATCAAATAGCAGTGAATAGTGGATGTTCGCGAGTCACGGTTTAATAATGAAACACTTTACCCAGAAAGGATGGACGAGTTTTCTAAAACGTAACGATTCTTCATAAAGACCGTGGTGAAGGGTCCTTTGGTCGCCCGCTAACCACTTTAATGCACTGCATTTTTTCCAAGATTGTCAGGCCACTCTGCAATCGTTCCCTGTGGGTGTAACTAGAGTAGTTACAGAAGTTCCTGTTTGAGGGAGTGACCTCTCCATCTACAGCTTGTGGAGAACTATCCGGCTGCGGGGTGGGCGTGGCTCAGGGAATGCTCGCCGTGTTCAATCTTAAGAGTCCTTAATTAACATTTTAAAAAACTGGATGCTTAAAATCCAGATTGAAAATCGGAAGCGGGTGGTGATGGAAGAGGACGCGTGTATGGGGATTGTGACTGATGGCGATAACACACATCACATGCCCTTTAAACTTAAATCACTAAGCGAGTCAGGCCAGTAAGGGCTTCATGGAAATATGTAAATCACATGTAGTCTGCGTGTCAGTCTGCTGTGGAATGATGAAGGATTGCCGCACGGTCACGGCCATCTACTTGACTTCACAAAGCCACACATTCAGCCGACCCGTCTCTGCTCAGCATTTCCTTGTTCAGCCCTTCGAGCTTCGCAGAACTCCACAAGAGAAGGACGCTAAGTAAATTAAGTCCTCTGTAGCCGAGACTGTGACATTCCTGCTAATGCTGCAGCACCAGCCTGACAAATGAAGATAGCGGGAAGAGAGAGAGACAGAGAGAGGGGGGGAGAGCGGGGGAGAGAGGGAGGGAACACTTCAATACACAACAGTGTGAGAATCATGAGTTTGACAACAGCGGCCCTGACCTTGCCAGACGTGGACCGGTTCCAAATGAGCCCGGAGTTGGAAAGGTGTCAAGTGCTTTTAAGCTCTGTGGACATTTTTTGGAGCTCCGTGGCCGAGGCGAGGCTTTCAACAGGGCGCCTGCGTCTGTGTGTGCGTGTGTGCGCATGGTGACCCCACTGAGCCGAGGAGTGTGTGCCAGCCCGACAGACAAGTGCGTCCACCTGTGTGTGTGTGTGTGTGTGTTTCTGGGTGTGTAACTTTCTTGCTATTTCCGTCCCAGTCTATAAAAGCCCGCTGAGTGTGTTTATGGGGCAGGCCAGTGGGAGGAGTTAAACAGGTAGCTGTTTGTGATGGTGTTTGATTGGAAGTAGGTCAAGATGCTCGTGCCCTCTTGCTTTTGCTCTCCTTTCTCTCATTTATTTCACAGTCTCTCTCTGTCTGTCTCTGTCGCTCCGTCTGCTTTTATCTTCCAGGTTTCACAATCATCGTTTTTGTTTTTTTGCTATCGGATTGTCTCTTTTTTTGCTGCTTGATGCTTAAAAAAAGATTACTTTTAATTCAGTGCTGTCAACAATAAATCAATTGTCCTCGCCTTGTCCCCTCTCGGCTCTTTCCTTTTAGCACAACTAATTACACCGTTTACACATTGGACTCGCATGTCTGAATACACACAATCAGGTGCCAACGCATGCACACACACAACCTGGTGTGTCCTTTTCTTTTGTTGCCCATATGGGGCATGCTATCATCTCCATATAGATTCCTCTTCTACAAACCCAATAAGTACATGGCACCACAGTAATTGCTAAGGAGTGTAACTCATGACTAATTCATGTCAGGGTTAATTTATTAAAACGGACTTATCAATATTTCACACAACTCGTTCATTATTCACAGCGGAGCATGCGCTATAACGTACTGTATCTGTGTCAGGGCATGGAGTTAGCATGTTTGTGCGTGTGCCTGATACTAAGCTGTTCTGATTTATACTGCAAATTTTTTTACTGCAAAACAAATGAATTGGATTGGAAAGATGGACGGAAACTTCTGCAGAAAGACGAGGCAGTTGATGATGTAGTTATTGTTGAGTGTCGCCGGGTGGAGAACGCTGAAGCCGCGGTGAGAATATCAATTCACCTGCTGTACAGTACGACTGAGACACACTCTCCTCGGTACCAGTATGAGCTGGAAACCGCCGGGTCCGACAGGACGTCCAAACGCACACTGCAGAGAACAGCTGGCGCGGGTGTAGGTTCCGATTAATTTGTTCGTTTGCGTCTCCGGCAACGACAACGGAGGCCGGGAATCTGTCTGCTGGCTTCAAGCAGCGTACGTGACGTGAATACTTGAAGATGTTCTGCGCCCGATATTTAAAGTGTGAGCCGTGTGAGCGGCGGTGATTCAGTGGGGGTTCGGAGGAGGTGACGGAGCGGAGATGTGGTCACATGGGTGGAACATGAAGTGCTCTTCTGTAAACCCACCAGTCCCGGTGTGATGGGAGAAGAGAGCGTTGGTAGTCTGGTAGTACTGTATCCTCTCCCTCTCCCTCCCTCCCTCTCTCTCACACACTCACCCTCTTTCATGCCCACCCTCTGCGAGATTACCGTTTCCATAGTTACCCACCAGATTGGCTTGGAAGTCACAGCGGTTGTGGGTGCCATGGCAACACACATATGCTTGTGTTTCACACACACACACACACACACACACACACACACACACACACACAGAGACACACACACAAAGGCCCCACATTGTTGCACGTAACAATAGCTTGCTTAGTAAAGATTAAAGCGGCGCAGCGTCATGACGTTTTGTTAATGGCTTATGATTTATGCAGCAGATTCCGTGCACTTTGCGTCCGTGCCAAGGCTCTACAGGATGGGGCGGTTGACCGGGCACGAGGATGATTCTGCTCTGCACGGCCCATTGAAAATATCAATATCTAATACAGGAAATAGAGTAAGGAAGCTGGCAGCAGAGTAATTGCTGAATTGTTACATGGTGGAGTGCATAGGACGTGCATGGAAACATATAAGATAGATTGATGAATATATTTATTTTCAGAAACAAAGAATAGAAATGTATGTATATAAATATGCATGGCTTCCTTCGGGTTTTAACCCTCTGCTCTGATCTGTGATCGTCTCTGGCGTATAAGTCAGACCGGTTTAAAGGTAGAACACGGTGATGTCCGCCGCTCCCTGATAATAGTCCCAGTCCACTGCTGACAGAACCCACCAGCGCGCCATGTCTGCAGACACATGCGCCTCTTATTTATATACTCATCTACACATATGTGTGTATACATATATATAAATATTTATACATATATCTATATGTGCGTGTGGATATATATATATATATATATTGTGTGCATGGTTTTGAGGCAGAGTTTCCATGGAAACAGTCAGAGAGAGAGAAGAAGAGAGAGTAAAGGGCGAGGAACTGAAAGAGTTAAGTGTGTTTTTGTGTGTGTGTGTGTGTGGGGGGGGTGACAGTGAAGTGATTTGAGTTTGCCTGACATGAACATTCCTGCTCTCATAAACACACACTTACACTCCCCCACGCACATACGCTGTAATCACTGCAAGAGAATACAGTGTGGTTTGTGTGTGTGTCTGAATGTGTTGATGTTGTGTTTATTTGAAGGGAGATGACATGATTTCACCTGACAGAAACAATGATGCTTTCTCTCTGTTTCTCTTACTGCACCACACGGAACACAACGACTGAGGCAGACACACACACACACACACACACACACACACACAGAGTTATCTGACAAGCTGCTATTGCCACATCATATGGGCTTGTACTTGTTTTATTATTTTACGTTAACTTTGAAGCCAGACACAATCTACAGTGCATATTTTGTTCACCTCCTATCCAGAGAAAACCTACAATTTTTGGTCCACAAATTCAAAATGTGTATCTGGTCATATTTCCAGATAGACAAAAGTTGATCATACTAACGCATAATCCACCAAGCAGCACTCTCATGCTCTCTGATTCAAACATCGTATTTCTTATATGGCATCTGAACAAAATGCAAAGAGTAAAAGCAACAATGGGTTATGTACTTTTTCTTGACCGGCACAAATATTTTCTTCCGCTGGTTGCCAGGCAACTGCACCCAGCCGTGAAAGAGTTCAGCACATAAGTGAAAACAAGTCCGTTTTACACTTCAAACGCTGAAGGTATACCGAGTTAAATACGAGCTTCAGAGGGGGGATCTTGATGCAGGTTGGCTGGAGGAATGCTAGCTGCGTCCCTCTGGTTGCCAGAGTTTATGCTAAGCTAAACTAACCGCTTGTTATTCAATAGATTTGTGAGTGGTATCAATCTGGTTACCTAACTCGTGGATCAAATATTTCCCAAAATGATGCACTACTCCTTCATGGTCACTCGAGTGTCAAAATGTCCTTTGGGATGATTGGAAAAAATATTCCTCTCTGTCCCGTCTTAAAATGCCGCTTAGCTCAACTGTCTGTTTGCAGCTGATGACTAATGAATCTTCATCTATTTTTGAAAACCCTGCTTAGACACCAGTCACCATTTCCTGGCAGATGATGGATTTGTGTCATGTCTGTTTGTTTGTCTGAAGAGATAAATGCCTTAAAAGATACATTTACATGGCCCGAAAATAGCCACGCGCAGAGCAACCGACGTGAGAGCCGCCAGTGACGTCTAAACGAGTCTCTCTGTCTCCGCGCGGTGTGTCCCTCTACAGGTACCTGATGAATGTGACGTTCGAGGGGCGGAATCTGTCGTTCAGCGAGGACGGATACCAGATGCACCCCAAGCTGGTCATCATCCTGCTCAACAAGGAGAGGCAGTGGGAGAGGGTGAGAGAGACGTGTGTGTGTGTGTGTCTCCTGTAAGTACTGTCTGTCTATCTGCATCTCCCATCATCCGATTTTCACTTTTTAAGCATTTTAAGCCTTAAGCTTTGTAGGCGCTGCTCCGATTAGATGCTATCGACTCGGCGAAGGTGCCTTTGAGCAAAACTCAGCCTGCAGCACAGGCTCCAGAGTGACGATGTGGTAAGAACGCTGGTCTGTTCGTTTTCAGAAGTTTCAGAAGCTGTTACGTGTCATTTGTTAGCGTGCAGCATCATGTGGCGAGTGGCTACGCGCTACAGCCGAGAGACTCGCGCTTTCAGATCAATAAGTCGTGCATGCATGAGGAATCATCCCCATGTACCCGCTGGCTGGTGAATAAAACCCTTCTTATATGCACAGTCAAAGTTCAAAACTCTACCGTACAGAGGGGACTACAATCTTCGTTAAGCACAGGTGGAAGACACGATGGTGGAGGAGCAGACGGTGGAGGAGCAGGCGGAGCAACGGCGCTCCTCAGTCACACACGGAAGCAAAAACCTTGAATGAACTCGGGCGCCACCTGCAAAGTCACTGGCCTGCGTCTGTGTTTCCTCGCGCTCACTCGCCATTGTGTCAGCGTCCTGCAGTCTGACTCCCTCCAGCGCCTGTTCTCTATTCTCGGTGTTTCTCCCTTTCTTCCGCCTCTCTAATCTATATTCCGTCCTCTGATCAGGGAACAAGGTGAATCTCTCCCCTCCTGTCTCCTCTTCTCTCTTCTCTCCCTTTCTCCCCCTGTTGCAGTCTGAACCGCAACCCTCCAACCCCCCCTCCCCCCTCCTCCCCCTGCTGCCTCGCTCATGTTTAATTCTTAGTTTGACTTCCAGCTGAACCACTTTGCATAGATCCTAATGAGTTCCAGCGTCTACAACCATACCTACACTGCCAGTCCGGTTTACTCCCCTCCGGAATGATTTGAACCCTCTTCTCTACCTCCCCCTTTCCTCCCCAACGTTCTCCCAGTCCGTCCTGTCCTGTGTGTCTCTTTCACGAACTCCCGCTCACTCGTTCGCTTGGTTATTTGTCCACATAGAGGAAAGGCCGCATTGGGCTCCAGAGACACACAACCTTAACTTTTCCACTCCAGGCGGCTTTACCATTTTGGTGTGAGTCATCTGTGTGCATTTACATATCCAACAAATGTGCAAAACGACTCTTTACACACTTCCCGCCTGGGCTCCCTGTGCACTGTGTCCAATTAGCTGATGATCCATTTCCACCCACATCTTTCTCTCCGTGAAAGTGGCCAAGTGGGCCCTCCTAGAGGAGAGGCCACCGGCAGATTCTCCGGGTACGGCTCCACGTGACGGGGCATTTTCCAAACCCGGTGACTCTGATTTAGTGGAGTGAAGCTCCAATGTGCTCGCGGCGCCCTCCAGCCGGACGCTCCTCTGAAGAGCTCGGCCCGCCGTTCATAGTCAAGCCCTTTCTCGATTTCCGTCTTCAAATGTGGAGGTTTTCACTGTGTTTAACCTCTGCGCCCTGATCCCTCCCAGACTCCCCTCTTCATCTGAATTCTGCTCTTTCCCCCGTTTCAGTATTGTCCTTCCCGTTAACCTTGTTCTCATTCTCTACGCTCGCCGCCTTTTCTCTCCTCTCCTTTTTTCTACTTGGTCTCTGCTCTTTTCCCGCCTGCTTTCTGCAGAGCCGAAGTCATTTTTGATGCACTGTACTCACGGCAGCGTAGAATTAGATCTGCATTCATTTCCTAATTAGATCACTGCCAAGCGGTTCAATTCCAGTATGTGTTTTGTTATTTTTTTGAGCAGTGAGTTGATGAGCCATGATCGCATATAACCCGCCTAATAAAACATTCCGAAGTCTTTCCGAAACTGAAATGTTACTCCTTGTCTGATATTTCGTAGGCGACCTGAATGCCTCGTGTCTGCCCGTGTGTCTCTGCAGGTGGGTAAGTGGGAGAACGGTTCCCTGTCCATGAAGTACCACGTGTGGCCTCGCTATGAACTCTACGGGGGCGCGGCCAACAGGGAGGACGACCACCTGTCCATCGTGACGCTGGAGGAGGCTCCGTTCGTCATCGTGGAAGACGTGGATCCGCTCAGCGGGACGTGCATGAGGAACACTGTGCCCTGTCGGAAGCAGCTCAAAACACTGTGAGGCTTCCTGCTCAGACGTTACAGATCAGTGGAGGATCAAGAGTAGGGACGCACGTCTAGATGCAGATTTACCTGCTGTAGAACTGACCAGAGTAGAAAACCAAACAGCCCAAATGTTGCCTGCGAATGATGATAATTTCCTGCGACAGCTCCACAAAGCCAGAGGTAGAATCACTTCGCACTCCATCGGTGTGCGAAGTGACGGCGACAGATCCACCAAGTCCCGACTGCAATTAGCACCGATGCTGAGGTACACGTCTGATTAAATGGTGTCTCTATCCGTCTGTCCACCTGTGTGTCCGTCCGTGCAGCAATCAGACGAAGGATTCGGGGATCTACATAAAGCGCTGCTGTAAGGGGTTCTGCATCGACATCCTGAAGAAGATTGCCAAGCAGGTGAAGTTCACCTATGACCTTTACCTGGTCACTAACGGCAAACACGGCAAGAAGATCAACGGGACGTGGAACGGCATGGTGGGAGAGGTGAGGAGGTGTCTTCCTGTGCCAACGTCTGTCTAATACTTGAGCAGCAGTTACATAGTACACAACCAATGAAACGTCTCTGTGCTCATTGTCGGCATTCATGTGTCATCAGTGCAAATGAATTCACACTCTGCACCACCATCTTACCGGGCGGATGTTACTGCGGTTTAAAAGTTAGTGTCAAGACATTTGAGGTGTCAGAGTACGATGCAGAATATTTGGCAGCGAGTCAGGCAAAGACGGGAGAATAACCTTCACACTGATTCCGTGTGATCAGTCCGCTTTATATTTGTCAATTAAAGTATTTGAAAATGAGCAATGTTTGCTTCACACAAAACTGTTCCAGAAAAAACACCGTACCCACCATATCCTCTAAAATCATATTGAAAAGTAGTTTTATTTATGTTTCATAAAGCGGCCTTTCGAAGTATACAAATTGGTGTTGGATTTGTGTTAAATGTGTTCCCCATATCAAATACTAAATAATATATGGTCGTATAAGTGAGCTTAAATTTGGGGATTTTTGCCCTGATATCATTTCTATGTGGTTGCCAACTTATTTATCACCACACACAAAATATATATTTATTTGACTCCTGTCCAGATAGTTTGCTAATGTACAACACTGCAGAACTTGTTTCCTAAGTTGTTCTTTACAAAAATCTGTACCGTCTGCAAATATTTGCTTTTCCTTTTTCCTCATCTGACAGTTGAAGTGCACATTCTACAGTTAGATACCTGTGTGCTTTAACACGGTATACAAGACAAAGCTACGAGGAGGAGAGGTGATACTCTCTTGTGCCCAATGAACTATGCCACGTCTGGCTTCCCTCGGAGCGACCGGCAGGGTTTTGTGTTTTCAAACCTCGAGTTTTGAGCTTCCCCTTCCGGGTCAGACGGGCCACGTCCTTCACCCAAGGGTGCGTGCAGCTCAGTCTGCTGCAACGACTCACTTTGGGCTCTGAGGATTCCCTAATTGTCATTGTTCCCTGCAGAAGGGCGGCGTCCTTTGCTGAGCTTAAACCCCACAGCCCTGCTGTTATTAGTTAATGAGGCAAAAGACAAACGGATCGATGGGAGAACAAAGGTCACAGGTTGACAACGCGCTCTGGATAACTTTGTGTGGACGCTGACGTTTAAGTAACCTTCAGAAGTCATAGTCAAGGTGGTGGGTCTATTTCTTCACTTTTGCTCTTCCATTTACATTAAATGGACCCATTTCATCTGTTACATAAAGCCGGTTAAGTGTCTTTAGTGGGCACTGAGCTGGAAGTGTGGTCACCTGTAATAAACTCCGTCCTCCTGACTAAAAGCGCCGTAATGGGCCGCCTCTTCCTCACCTCCGCAGAAAAATGGTCATTAGAAGATGGATCGAGCACACGCACACACACACGCACACACACGCACGCACAGACTCTTATGCATTAAAGAATCCATGCACGGATGGGGACACATGGACACAGACAGGCATTCGCACCAGAAAATGTTTCTATATGTGGACAAAGAGGACACATTCGTAATGTCCCTTTTTCTCCCCAAGCACACACACACACACACAGTATATCTGCTGTATCTGACATAACCAACCCGTGTCCTTCTACAGCTGGAACAAGGCCAAAGCTACAGTATATCTCCGCCTTAATGGAGCAGAATCTGAACTGATGACACACACACACACACACACACACACACACACACACACACACACACAACCTCTGAGACGTGCCTATGCACACTCCTGCACAGTTGCAGAGATCACTGAGGGCATTTGCATAACTTGCTACAGCTTTGAAAGAAAAACACAAGATCAAAAAGGGAAGAATGGAAATCAATGAAGGCTTTGTGATGGCCGACATTTTGTCATAACTGGACTCAGTCAGATTTCATGGGCTGGATGGACTTGTGCTTCCCCCTAATACTCCTAATCTAAAATATTAGATGCAATGCATTCAATGACATGAGTTTGGCCTCGATAGAACAGTCAGATAAAGACGCACACACACGCACACACCTGCTGAGACACATACACAAATGCAGATCCTCGTTCGCTCATTCTCAATAACACCCACACGGGTCACTTTCATAACGCTGAGAGAACAAGTCGTAGGAGGCTGATGGAGAGAGAGAGATCGAGGGAGAGAGAGAGGAAGTGAGTACACTCCTGGATGGACTCGCTGACACACACACACACACACACACACACACCAGTGAACATCCGTACTTACATGCTGACAGACCAAACAGACATTGAAAAAGTTAGGAATGCATGCACGCTAGCCGACACTAAACACTTTGAAAACTGCAGATAATGTGCAGAGTAGATGTGCGATATTCTCCGCTGCCTGTAAAGGTCCACTTCACAGGTGGAGAACAAAGGGTCGCTTCTCTGTCGTTTTTCCCTTTATGACTCACTCATAAGCGCAGACACACACACACACACACACGCACACACTCCGATAGCTGAAGCACATTCTGGAGCTTTGACTCACACGCCTTATTAACTCAGTGAGACAGTCCCGTCCCACTTTACCTTTGGGCTGCAGGGCTTTTGAAATTTGGGGCTAAATATACTACCTGTGCAGAGGTAGGATGGGAGCGAGAATGGTGGAGGAGGGAGCGGCATCGGGGCGGCTATTTCAAGCCGCCGTGACCCACTGTGGTAACCCACTTTCTCCCCCCCCCCACTCCCAGCGGTTTGCTGTCCTCCTGCTCCGTCTTTGTCCCTGATGTGTCCAGTCCTTTGCTTCCCAACGCTCATTCTGATTCTGCTAACACTTCCCCTTCAAACCTGTCTGGTGTGCTTTCGTATCCGATTTGATTCCCCACATCCACCCCCCCTCCAAATACCTTTTGACAGCTAACAGGGGTCCTGAATTAGCCGTGTGCGTCATGCACGTTAGCGGAGACAACCGTGATGCGGCTGCTAGCTCTTCTCCTTATGCACGGGAGGAGCCGGTGGCCGCATTGCAAGACGGACGGTTAAAAAGTGGTGAAATGGATTTTGTCTTTGTGATCGCTGCACGTCTAGACAGAAGACACACTGTTGGGTTCTAGGCGCTGACACCAAAACCGAATATTTGCATTAGAATGTTAAAGAGGCTCAGTCACATGTATTCATTCATCTGGCAAAGGAAGAACAAAACCCATGAAATGGACAAAGAAATGCGCGGGCCGTGTTAGAACTACTCATCCCCAAATGAACAGATATTTTCAGGATTCTTACTTCTTCATTCCTTGCGGGACGGACGAGGGGCGCTTGAATAACAAATGTTCTTTGTCCTTCCGTTTGTCCCCCATCTTTACCAGGTGGTGTTAAAAAACGCCCACATGGCCGTCGGCTCCTTGACCATCAACGAGGAGAGGTCAGAGGTCATTGACTTTTCCGTCCCCTTCATTGAGACGGGCATCAGCGTCATGGTCTCCCGTAGCAACGGCACAGTTTCACCTTCGGCCTTCTTAGGTGAGGAGTCCAGCCATACTCATTAACCGCTTCGCATGTTTACTTCCTACGTTGTTCAGCAGATAGATCGAGTCTCGATTAGTTCAGCCTGAGTTTGAACTCAATGTAACGTTTCGCTATATGGATCTTATCCTGATTACATCCATTCTTGCACCTTTTGGCACACGCAAGTGATTTAGTGGACACGCAAGTGATTTGAGCCAAGTTTGAACGTGTTAGTATGATGATGAGGAGGCAGACTGCAGAGTGCATGGAAAAATATGGCTAACTGTTTCTGTATTCTCTCTTTCACTCCCCGTCTCTTTGCCCTCTCACATTTCCCACTCCTACTCCATTTCTCTTCCTTCCTCTTCTCAATCTGGCGCTCCACATTTGCATATCTCTCTTGCCCTCTCCCGCTTCTTTTTCACATCCCCCCCCCCTTCTCTTCTTTTGTCCTCATCTCTGTCCGTCCACCCTCCCTCCCTCCCTCCCTTCATCTCTCCCTCTCCTCTCCTCCCTCTCTCCTGCCCTCCAGAGCCCTTCAGCGCGGATGTGTGGGTGATGATGTTCGTGATGCTGTTGCTGGTGTCAGCAATGGCTGTGTTTATATTCGAGTACTTCAGCCCTGTGGGCTACAACCGCTGTCTGGCTGACGGCAAAGGTGAGCGGCTCCAGCTACACACGCGCACACGCACAGGGACGCACAGTCACACACACACACACACACACACACTCACACGGGTCTGCGGGACCTGTTGAGGGTGGACTGCACTTGTTTGAGGATACAGATGCAAATGGATGCAAATACCTTGTGGACGTTGTGCCTCCCTCGTTGCTCAGAACTCATTGCTCGCACCGGACGGGGGGAGGGGGGGGGGGGGGGGGCTTGGGACTCTTCAGCAGCACTGTTGTTCTGTTCTGTTGTGCAGGAAATGTACAGTAATTGCGTTCATCTACAAGACAACAAAGTGTGTTAAAGTGAGCGTCTCTGCCAATACTGAATCTGCCGCTTCAATGTGGAAAAGGTCGATACGGATTTAAAGCACAACATTCTTTGGCTTTTAAAATATCAATATAAAACACGAGTGCAGAGCTTTGTTTGCCACAATCCCCCAGCTCGACCTCCTTCACACAATGCCTTTGGACTGTATTATGTGTTGTAATGTATTATAAGGCGAATGTTCTTAAAGTATCAAAGTGATCAAATAACAGAAAAGGGCTCATGTGACTGAAATATGATTATAATGTGTCCAGAAGTTACCAGATAACCTCTGGTGGGCAAAGACTAATTGCATTTTCTTGATACCTCTAAAAGTACCTAATTGACTCCCCTTCTTGTGGCATCAATGTACTTTTTGCACTGCTAAATTGAGTGGATGTTGCCAATGAAAACACACAATGATGACATTCAACATTCAACAAAAGAGTAACACCATGAAATACTTTCATCCTCGCTGGTGCAGTCAGCCAACGAGCATCCAGAGTATGCAGAGAACATGGTGGCCTGCAATTTGCGCCTCTGCGGAGGGAGTGATCGATGAGTAATGCTCCAACTAGTCATTTGCACCAATGAGGGAGCGCGGCTGCAGCTCTGCAGGTTCACGCTGTCTCTCTCCAGCTGTGCAAATTCTCTCGCTGTGCACAAAAACTGACAGACACATACATGCTCAAAATGACCGCAGCCCGCCTCCACATTGAGACCAGCCTTCCTCGCTGACCCACTGACTTCCTCCTCCTCCTCCTCTTCCTCCCCCACGCTGCTCTGCTTTCATCCTTCCCAGGTGTGTCTCACTGCCTGGGAGTCCACGCACCTCAAGTGCTGCTGCCTTCACACCGGACTAGGCTTTTGCATTCATTTACATATTTCCCCAAAATCCCGTGTCAGCCTTGACAGCTAGGGGCTGGTTTTGTGTTAGATCTCTCCCAGCCAAAAAGATAAGAAACAAAACTCCAAAAACATCAATGTCCCCCCACAGCTCCATCACCGATGTGGCTATATATAGACAATGGCCATCTTTTTCTTTCATTCTTCTCATCCTTCAACATGTACACCTCCCCAAAGCGCTGTTGTCTTCTCCGTGTGCCTCCTTGTTTCGTCTGCTTGTTGCACGGGGGGAGTTTGGTAGCATAAAGAGTGCAGATCGAAGTTCGGCCTCAAAGGATTCAATGCAACAATGTATCAATGGCCGAGTCTCTGCCCGATTCATTTAACCAACTTTCTTCACAAACTTCACGGAGGAGATATTTGGCTCGATAAAGTCTGTGAAACAAAAGCCTCACAACAATGGACACCCACATGCTCGCTCGCAGACTCTCTCTCTCTCTCGCCCTCACACGCTCACACATTCCCACTCAAACATTATGAACCAACTGCTTATCGCCCAGCATAATGGCTGGAATGAAGCAGTCTGCTGCCAGCTCAGCTCCCTAAATGATCCCCCAAAATATATGAATGTGTGACACATGTGTGATGTATGTGCATAGAGCCCATCTAAGAGAAAGTCTGTAGCCATGCTGGCAGCTCCGCGGGTTTGGTGGAGGCTAAATACAAACGCTAATGAGGTAACAGACATGCTCATGTACAGCGGCCATAATGTCCATCGCGCTCTTCAGTTTAGCTTTAGTTAGTATACTGACTAGCTAGCACTAAGAAGTGCAGCTGGGGCCGATGGGAATGTCATTCATCTGCAGGTAGGTGGTCAGAAACGACAGTTTGGGATCAATTAAACAATTGACGCTATTGCGCTACTTGGAAAGTCGATTGATCACCAGAGTCATTCAATTTCCTCGTTAGGGGGACTTAAACGGACACCCAGCAACCGTGTGTCCCACTGGATTAGAAACTAAAGATGATCTGTCTGCGTTTCCTCCAGAGCCCCACGGCCCGTCCTTCACCATCGGTAAGGCCATCTGGCTGCTTTGGGGTCTGGTCTTTAACAACTCCGTGCCGGTGCAGAACCCCAAAGGCACCACCAGTAAGATCATGGTGTCGGTGTGGGCCTTCTTCGCTGTCATCTTCCTGGCCTCCTACACCGCCAACCTGGCTGCCTTCATGATCCAGGAGGAATATGTGGACCAGGTAACTGGTCTCTCAGACAAAAAGGTAAGATGGAAGGTTTTCTGATGCTGTGCCATCTCCGTCTGGTTCATCTGGCCTGCACCTTTAACATAATCGAGTCCTGGCTTTACATGCCCCCTCTCGTCTCTCCACGCTGTGTCCTCGGTGTTTAGTTCCAGAGCCCCAACGACTTCTCGCCTCCGTTTCGGTTCGGCACCGTGCCAAACGGGAGCACGGAGAGAAACATTAGGAACAACTATCCAGAGATGCACGGCTACATGACAAAGTTCCATCAGAGAAACGTCAACGAGGCGCTGCAGAGTCTCAAGGCCGGGTGAGAAACTCGTGTCAGGCTACGTAAACATCTGTTATGTAACGTTATGTCTGCATCTTTTAAGGGAAGCAAAAGCAGGATTGTGGGGCGAATAGCTTAAGAAGTGGATCGATGCCAAAGTCCCGTGTTCATGTCTATGCTCCGAGTCATCATGTGAACGTGCTGTAGCTGAATAACTCCCCCTCATTCATCAAGTGGGGTTTTGTTGCCAGCCCGTGTTCCAGCTCCAGCCTTTGGCAAAAAAAAAAAAAAGCGGAAGTCTATTACACTTATCAGCAGCTTAGTTATTTAGCAGGTTAATTGGAATGTTGTAGCTCCGATGTCTGACTCCTAAGTGCCAATCAATTGTAACCCGTCTCCCTCTGTCTTCCCCCCTCCCTCTCTTCTTACATTAGCAAACTCGACGCCTTCATTTACGACGCGGCCGTACTCAACTACATGGCCGGCCGCGACGAGGGCTGCAAGCTGGTGACCATCGGCAGCGGCTACATCTTCGCCACCACCGGGTACGGCATCGCCATCCAGAAGGAGTCGCTCTGGAAGAGGCACGTGGACCTGGCCATCCTCCAGCTCTTTGGAGACGGTGAGACGGCGCGCCGCTTCCCTCCGATGGCCCCGTGCTTAGATGGCGGCGCGCGGTTTAGTGCGCTCGGCCGGCAGAGGCTACGGTGCAGGCCGCTGCGTGGAGGCGACGAGAAAGTAAGCGACGACTCACGGATGCATGGAGACGATGGAGCCAAGTTCTCCTCGGTAAAGAACAGGACACAAGCGAAACATCGAAGCAGACGTCCGGCTCGTTTCAGCGGTGATCTTACATTGTGCGCTCGGGCCGCTGTTTCTCTTTTATTATAATAACGTTTTACTCAAACATTTATGGCAAGAGCATGGAAACATTGCAAAGTCTGATGGGGAAAGAAACACAGTTAACGTTAAAACACAGAAAAATTCAATTATCCCCAGTATTTAGAATAACCTCTTAAGTCAGGTAAGGAAATCTTAGTTCCTCTAAGTCATTTCTGTGTCTGCGACCACAATGAAGGAGATTAATTGGCTCTGCGAGTCCAAAGTATGCGCCAGGCCGCTCTTGTTCTAATCGAGAACCGACAGAAGAGGTACCAGTGTTTGCGAGGGGATATAACTGGAGATTTAGCTCCACCGGGGGGATCCGGCGCTTTATGATCCCGCTTGCCTTTTATAGCAGACCGTCCAAGCCCCCGGGGGGCCTGTTCTTTGGGAGCGCTTCATTCCCGTCAGCTCTAGCTGCAGCGTTAATGAGTCAGAACACGTTCAAAATAACTATTCCTGACCCGCGTGCCGCACGCTTTACGGTTTTTGAGCAAAAGCGCTTCATCGTGAACGAGTGAAACCGTCTCAAACAGCTGCTGCTCGCTTTGTTTATCGACATGCGTCTAATTTAACATCGCCCCGCTTTTATGTGCAGCCCGATGCAGGATGGAAGTTTGCTGTGTGTGTGTGTGTGTGTGTGTGTGTTTCTCATTGGTTTGGGCACCGTCCAGCATGTTGTGAGCATCCTGAACCAAGGGCCCTGAGGGGGCCCACTATAGAACGCCCCAGTTTGGGGTGCCAGCATAGCTCCTGGGGTATTTCAACACTGCGTAGGCACGAGTGCAAGGGGTGGTGTGTGCATGTGTGTGTGTGTGTGTGTGTGTGTGCGCGCATGTGAATATGGGTTAGACCGCTTTGTGTGTAAGCAAGAATGTGTGTGTGGGTCAGAGGGAGAAAGAGAGAGATGCTGAAGAGATTCTGAAAATGTTTGACACAGGTTTATTTTTATCAACCTACATGCAGTTTGGGGGCGTGATTAGTGTATTAAGTCTGATTGTTTTTCAAACATGTATGTAGGACTAGTCTGTGTGTGTGTGTGTGTGTGTGTGTGTGATTATTGGCCGGCCCGCAGTAACATCCCCCTGTGCCATGCAGCCAAAAGCCTTCAAACAGGAACCGAGCGGCCTTGTCTCGCCCCTCTCAGGATCTCAATGTCACTTCGCCGCGCATCGCCGTCCACTCCCCACCCGCTGTCCTAGAAAGCCATCGGGCTCACGCGGAGGGCCCAGCGGCCCGGCAAGACGGCCGGAAAGGGAGTCTGGGTCGCCATTTCATCCCTCTGTCAGCCGACAGAAAGTAGCGTCTTCTCTGTGACTGCGTTTGCCCGCGCTTGTACCGGCGTCCGTCTATGTGTGTGTGTGTGTGTGTGTGTGTGTGTGTGTGTAGTGCGGCGCTTCTCGCGGACGCTCAGAGGCCGGCCAGCGCTGCGGCCCGCGACAACGGCTGAATGTATGATTAATTAAGCGAGGCCTGTCCTGCCACAGTCGGCTTTGATAGAGAACAGCTCGTGGTGAAACAGAAGGTGACCCACAAAAGAGACCAGAAGCTCAGGGGCCGGCACGCACACACACACACACACACATGCACACACAGCCTCTTGTGTTTTCTTCTCTTGACGCATGCTCACACTGAACCCGAGGCTTGCACATATTGTGCTGCAGAAAGGAAAAAGATCAATGTAATTAACATGTGTTGCTCTCTTCCAGTCTATAATGAAGGTACTGCAAAATTTAAGGCTGTGTTTCGTTTCTAACCCCCCCTTCCTCCACTGTCTGTCCGCCATCTTCCCTCCTCTCTTCTTCTGTTGCATCAACTCTCCGTCCCTCTTGTTCTCCAAACCCCGTCCTGTTATTACATCATATCTCTCCTCTTTTTAATTTCACATTCCTTCCCACTTCCTTCTGATTCCGGTACCCATCGTGAAAACATGTCGTCATCGTGCACCCAAACATCTGTTTTGTCTCCTTTTCTTCTCTGCCTCCCTTCTGTGCATCTCCCCTCCTCCGCCCAGGCGAGATGGAGGAGCTGGAGTCCCTGTGGCTGACGGGGATCTGCCACCACGAGAAGAACGAGGTGATGTCCAGCCAGCTGGATGTGGACAACATGGCCGGCGTCTTCTACATGCTCGGTGCCGCCATGGCGCTGTCGCTCATCACCTTCATCTGCGAGCACTGGTTCTACTGGCAGCTGCGCTTCTGCTTCATGGGCGTCTGCTCCGGCCAGCCGGGCTTCGTCTTCTCCATCAGCAGGGTGAGACGGGGACGGGAGGGGAGTCCGTCTGTATTTACCACCGTTTGAGACACAACATCAACTTTTTAATGCCCTGTTTGCCGGTCAGGAGCCAACCTTTAAAGAAGCAATAAAACAAGCATTTGGTGGCAAATTCTATGAACTTTAGATCCAAATCGATATGTGCTCGACAATACGGACTCATTTTTTGCTTCTCAGCATTCACTGTGATCTCTTAAATGGTCAAACCCATCCGATCACAAACGATGAATCCTGATAAATGGGGAAGTGGGGGGAGCATTTAAAGAAAGTGATCAGGAGTCAGTCAGTGAACAGAGGGACTGATGTTCCACATATGGTTGCTTAAGGTTATATTTCTCTAATTTACCACTGCGGTGCCGACGGTTCCCTGTCGGCGAGGTGACCTTAATTACCTCTTTCAGCCATGTTTGGAGAACATCGTGCTCTGAGATTTTAGAGGCTTTGTAAATGAGCACGCAACCAATCCAGACCCTCACTTGCAAACTGATACAGGAGCTTTTTCCTCTTTGTTTTTCGGTGTTTGGGCCTGTCTGACGTCCATGGGGGTAAATATTTACGAAATGTTGAGCCAAAATCAATATTTCACTTAACAAAACTCAGGCCCCAGAACCGGAGAGGGTAGATTACTGGATCCCGGGAGACCAAAGTCACCCCTGAGGTATTTGATTTGCATTCCAATTGTTTTGTCATGGCTCCGGTGTAATTCACTGCGTGCCTCTGAAGGTGAACCGCCGCAGGCAGAAACCACGTGGCTAATTTACAGCAGAGGGCCGTACGCTGCTGCAGCCCCCCCCCCTTCCATGTGCTGCGATAGCTGCTTTTGCCAAGAAAGCAAAGGCTACGGGGGAAAAAAACAAACACATCTTCCCCTCTTTGCTCTTAATATTACGCTCCGGTGCCCAACTTTGATATTTTTTTTTTTGTGTGGTGTTAATTTCACGTTGGCGCTGTCGCCTTGTTTATGGTCGCAGTGCGCGCGTCAGTTTGGGACGGAGGAGCATGAAACATCCGTTGCTAAAATGTCACTCGACTTCTCATTTCCAAATCTCATTGTTGGTGTTTTTCTTTTCGTTTGGTCATTATATTTTGTACGGTGACTGAATCTGAAGGCAATCATGCTTTGTGTGACATCCAGTTATTGCTCCCATTTACAGAAATTACCTCTGTCACTGCTACAATGTGACAACATGATTGAACGCCAGGTGTCCACAAATACAGCGAGATAAATCAGTGTTGGAACATCCACTGCAACTATCCAACGAGCGTTCATTTGCTCGTGCAGCAGCGAGCTTTCGCTCAAACAAAAGTGGAAATTACAGTTCATTATCTTTCCACAGCGTCACATTGTGCCTTCTCATTTGCTCAAGTGTTTTCTTTCCAGTCTCGGCCATTTCTTCTTTTCTTTTTGCCCGCCTCCCCCCCATCCCCCCCCCTTCCTTTGCTCTGCCACTCAGATTAATTACGCTTTTTTAATTTCACAGCGTAATCCAATAAACTTTATTGTTATTGCTGCAATTAACATTTAAGCTCGGCAGTGTAAAAAATGAGACATCTGTCACGGTCGAGTCACGTGGTTTCGGTCACAACTTCGCGGTCGGTTAGCGCTCCCGCCCTGCGGGGGGGCTCAGCGGCTCTCCCCCGGCTACCTGCTCCTTCGCGTCCCACCTGCAGCGCTAAAACTAATTAATTATATTGATTTAAAAAGCCTCTAATGGCTTTGGAACAGTCAATGCATTAGGACTTTAATCACTCCTACTTCGCACAGCCCTCTCGCCACATCGTGGCGCCCGTTGGCATTTAGCCGCGTCTATACTTCCACCACACGCGGCCACTATGAAGTCGTGAGCTGAACATGCACTCCACAGCATATAAGTGCACATCGGGGTAGCTAGTTAGTTGTTGATTTCCTGCCTCCCCGTTCCAGTGTAATCACTTATAGATTTTGCCGTGATTCCCCCGGTGGATTGAGAATTCTTAGCACGCCTCAGGCCCCCAGTTATTGCTATTCACACATCCTGCCCAAATAATCAGCTACAGTAGCACCAGGCCGGCAGCAATCTGCCAACTGTTACATTGTGTGGGCATGTGGAGTAGACTAAATCTGCTGTTGAATACGAAGCAGCAATCACTTTGTTAGATGTGATTTGATGCACTACAGTATTAACTTCTTGTTGCTTATTTATGCTTGTGCATGCGTGTGTGCGTGTGTGTGTGTGTGTGTGTGTGTCACACAAGCATTCAATTGAATATTGCTTTCTTCCGCTGTCGCTGTTAAATGCAACATCATTTTTCCGCCATCTACGAAGTTCAAAACCCAACCGGGAACTGGATGGGATGGGATGGGATGGGGGGGCCGAAACATCTAAAGATGAAGGTGGATGGTTCTGAAAAAGTCAGGCCAAGATGGGATGCGTCACAGAAATGTCACGGGAGGGAAGGCGTGACAGATTTGGCGGCATGTGGGGTGTAATCAAGACGATAGAAGAAGAAAAACAAAGATATGAAGTGATGACAAATTGAATAAACAGGCAGATGGAAAAAAAGAACACAGATAAGACGGCGAAGGGCCAGATAAACATTGAAGGATCTTTCTAAACCCCTGAGATATCTCGCTGGTGGGCGTTTACATTTGTCCTCCACTTTGAGATCCGAAGTCCTATGAGGCCTTTTGTATTCATCTTAACCTCACATGGTTGTTAATCAATGTCAAGCTTCACATGCTTGGCCGTTAACAGACTGTGAACTTGGACAACGTAATGACCTATGAAGGTGGAGTGAGGGATGCAGGCCTTTTCCGCAGCAATGTGCAGGCTAATTGACTAGCGGGGACAAGCGGCCAGGGAAAGAAGAGCCGAGGGTCAACGACTCGTATCAGCGGATAAAAGGAGGGGGTCGGTAAGCTGAACAACAGCGAGGAGTTGACAGCCAGCTGACCCCTAAACTCTCCTCCCGCCCTCAGCGGTGGCGAGCAGGACCGAGGTCAGCGGATCTCTGACCTTTGACTTTGGCCAAAGGCCTTTTATTTCCATACTCCTCCACGGACGTGGGAAAAAAAACGGAGCAAAATCATTGTTTGGAATTGATCTGATCCTTTATTGTGCCCATCCATCACGCCTGGTTTGCTCTCCTCCTCGCATCCATTTTTATCTATATATCGTATCGTACATCACTGAATGCAAATGGTGCAGTTTGTCTCTCTGTCACTGCGACGCTCAGCCGGCGTCTCCTTGGCGCTGCCTTTCTCTTAGGAGGAGATTCGGGAACTAAGGTGTTTAATAACTGCCGCAGGATATTGTCCAGCTGAATTCTAATCGCATTGATTAAAGGTGTTTACGGCCCCTTTGCCTCTATCAATCATCCCGCATGCAGCTAAGGCGTCCTATCTCAGCCTTCACACTGTATGCCCACTTTGTCTCCGATGATGAGTTGATATTCCACATGCTACTGTCTATAAACGACGTGTAACATCTGCTTTGACTTTTTACTGAGCGAGGCAGAAAGGGCATCAGCAGAAAGAGCTGGATTCACTTTGCGTCAGCTGGATTTTTAAGGATTTTATTCAGAATGCGATGCAGTTGCATGGTTTTGTAAACGTACAATATTATTGCTGATGGTAAACGCTTCCCCCTCTCTAATGCTGCCTCTTGCCTGCGTTTCCGCACACAGGGCATCTACAGCTGCATCCACGGGGTGCAGATAGAGGAGAAGAGCAGCTCGGCGTTGAACTCCCCGTCGGCCACCATGAACAACACCCATTCCAACATCATGCGCCTCCTGCGCACCGCCAAGAACATGGCCTCCCTGTCGGGGGTGAACGGCTCGCCGCACAGCGCTCTGGACTTCATCCGCCGCGACTCGTCCGTTTACGACATCTCCGAGCACCGGCGCAGCCTGGCGGGCCACTCGGACTGCAAGGCGCCGTACCCGCCGGAGGACAACATGTTCAGCGACTACATCAGCGAGGTGGAGAGGACGTTCGGCAACCTCCACCCGAAGGACAGTAACCTGTACCAGGACCACTACCTGCACCACCACGGCTCAGCGCTCGGGCTCAGCGGGCCGCTGGCCAACCGGCCCCACAGCCTGGGCAGCGGCAGTTCCCAGGAGGGGGGCATGTTTGACTGCGACAGCCTGGGCGGAGGGGTGGCCCCTATTTTCACCACCCAGCCCTGCTCGGCGCTGACCCACAGGAACATGAGCAAGTTTGACCTGCTGTCCGGACAGACTCCGCCCTCAGGCCCGGGCTTCAAAGGAGGGCTTCCGGACCTGTACGGGAAGTTCTCCTTCAAGGGCGGCGCCTCGAGCTCCACCTTTGTCCCGGGGCACGGCTACTGCGGAGGGAGAGGAGACGACGAAGGAAACATCAGGTCCGACGTGTCCGACATTTCCACGCACACAGTGACTTACGGAAACCTGGAGGGTAACGCCAAGAAGCGCAAACAATACCGCGACAGCCTGAAGAAGAGGCCGGCCTCTGCCAAGTCCAGACGGGAGCTGGACGAGATCGAGCTGGGCTACAGGAGGAAGCCCTACCACATCAGCCACCACCACTACCACGCCCGCCGCTCCACCTCCCCGCCGCTTTTGGCCCCCGACCGCAAGAGAGGAGGAAACAACGACGGGAACTCCTATCTCTTCAGAGAAAAGGAGAGCGTCAGGGATTTTTATTTGGACCAGTTTCGTCCCAAAGAGGGCGTCCCCCAGTGGGAGCACGTGGACCTGACGGAGGGCCCCGGGAGCAGAGACGGAGGAGTGGGGACCTGCACCACCCTCGTTCCGGTGGATGACTTTCTTAAGAGCAAACCCAAAAAGTCCGATTCAAAGAGCGGGGGAGGATCTGGGCTAGCAGGAGGAGAGTGGGAGTGCAGGAACTGTCGGGCTAGCGGGGGAGGATTGAGCAAGCAGATGTCCATGCACGGGGGCGGCGGAGGGTACGGCGGCGGCATGAGCTGCGGCTCCTCTGGAGGCGGCGGAAACAGCCGCCCCAGCTCCGCCACCTGCATGCGCTGCGAGGGCTGTAAAAAGACAGGAAACCTCTACGATATCAGCGAGGACAACAACCACCTCTTGGAACAGATGGGGGGAGGGAATGGCGGCGGAGGAGGGGGGATGGGCGCCGGCCCTCAGGGCCAGCAGCGGAGGAAGAGCGGCGGCTTCGGCAAGCCACTGCGGCGGCAGCACTCGTACGACGCCTTCGTCGACCTTCAGAAGGAGGAGTCCGGCGGGATGGGAAGTTTGATGGGGGGCCTCGGAGGCGTCGGCGGGATGAGTGGCGCCGGCATGGGGGGGATGCTGCCGCCGCCCAGGAGCGTCAGCTTGAAGGAGAAAGAACGCTACTTGGAGGGCACCAGCCCCTTCGCGCACATATTTGAGCGCCACGGGGGCTCGGAGAGAGAACGGGAGCGGGACAGAGACCCCTTGTTCTACGGGGGGGAGGGCCGGAAGGGCAACGGCTCGCCGTTCGGCCTGTTCCGCGGCGGCGAGGGCCTCCACCGCCGCTCCATCGGAGAGAGAGACATGCGAGAGAGAGATAGGGCTTTGATGGAAGGAGGAGGAGGGGGAGGGTTCTCTCTATCCAAATCTCTTTACCCGGACAGGGTAAACCACAACCCCTTTATTCCCACCTTTGGCGACGACCAGTGTCTGATGCACGGCGCCAAACAATATTACATGAAGAAGCAGCAGCAGCAGCAGCAGGTTGCCAAAAACAGCCGCAGTGACTTCAGGAGCCAGATGAGCACGACGTCATACCTGCCGGCGTCCGCCACAGCCGGGGTGATGTCCAACGCGGCCCCGCGGTTCCCGAAGGAGCTCAGCCTGGGTGGAATGAACCACCACGGCTCCATGCTGGGGGTCGGCCCCCCGCGTCCCTTCAATGGAAGCAATGGCCATGTGTACGAGAAACTCTCTAGCATCGAGTCGGACGTGTGAGAGCAAGCAGAGCGGGAGGAGCGGACGTTTGGGGGGGGGGGGGGGGGCAGGGAGGGGGGCATGTAGTGTTGGGAGATCAGGGATGATTTTAAAGACACTGTCCACACACTGCAACCCTAGCCCATATTGGGACAGCGCGACGAGGAAGACGGGAGGGAGGCCGTCGAAAAGGGGAAGTTAGAGGGAAAAGAGAAACGCGGACCCTCACTCAGAAACCACTCGCAACGCCGTCAATGGGCGTTCGGCAGGAGCCGATGTACTCGGCCATCATCGCCAAGAGGCGACACCTCGTCTTCTTGGTTTTGATACGGGACGCGTGAGGCTGGTGCGATGTGACGGCCGTCTGAGAGCTCCGGCTGAGGAAACACGGCGAGGAGCGAGTGGCCCATCTGCCGCCGTGTCACGGCGGAAAGGGGACGTTACACAGCAGATGACTAGTGCATCTCTCTCTCTCTCTCTCTCTCTCTCTCTCTCTCTCTTTAAGGAGACGACCCCTCCTCCGTCCTGCACTCTTCTCCTTCTACCCCTTCCCCTCTCCCCCTCCTCATCCCCAGCGCCAGAAGAGCTGATCTTCGTTTGCTATGAGAAACACAATCATGAATGATAATAAGATATTCTTATAGAAGGAGAAAAAACAGGGTATAAGAACAACAATAATATTGATAACATTGTTTGGATAACAAAGACGTTTGTGCTGATTATGATATCAAGAATAAGTTTTCTTGTTTTTTGTTCTGTTGGTATAATATTTCACTACTGTTTTAGTACCTGTAGTTGTATCCTGTCTACCCGAGTGGCAGCAGGAAGGTTGTTTTTATTTCAACCAAAAAGCCAGAAAGACTCAAGTCCTTAACTCCTGATTTTTTTTTTTTTTACTGTGTTCTGTAGAATATTTTACTCCATGCGCATACATTTATTTGCTGCTTGTGGGAAAACCGAGTCTGGCGGACAAATTTAGAGACGCCAAATCCTCATTTGATGTTTGAAGAAAGTTTGAAATGCACACACACACACACACACACACACACACACACACACACACACTCACTACACTTAAAACACATGCAGATTTTGTGGGTCTGAACTTGTTTTACTGTGAACGGTGCGTTTCGTCCAGAGCCGAAGACACCGAGAGGAAGGACGTGCCTTAATGGTCTCCAGTGGACGTGTCCTTCCGCTTCACACGCGGCGCTCGCTGCAGGCCGCTCGCTGTCCTCTGGGAGTTTAACGGCCTGCTTCAGACCCGTCGAACCGACGGCCAGAACACAAGGCGAGGTGGCGTAACGTTATTTTGTACTTTCAGGAGGTTTCGGACGGACCGACGCATCCCGCTTCACAACCCGGCAGCCTTCAGAACACTTCTTTTCATTCAGGTTACACGACACCGGTCACAAGGCACTCGCTGGTTTTTTTCTCGCCACTTTCTCGATGTAGGCGTAACTTTTCACTCATGTAGGCAGCCTGAGAGGCGCGCACACTGAAAGCTTTGTTTGTGCATTGTGTATGATTAAAATATGCATTTTCTTTTGTTGGCGAAATGCAACAAACCGCGTAGGAGTCGTGTTGTTGCCCGGGTGACGACGATGTCGCTCGAGGGTCGAGGAGGATGTATATTTCAAAGAGGCCTCTTAAACGCGCGTGGAAGGCGGCCAGATGGCCCTTCAGCGGCTTTTCACTCCGATGTCGCTCGTCCTTTTGGGCTGCAGAGGCCTCATTTATCGCACAGGACCTTTTTACTCGGTGTAGGTTCAGGCGCTTAGTAGACATGCCTTATCATCCCATCACCCCCAACCAGAGCTGTCTGATGGTGACTCAGCATATTACTGTACAGAATAAAGAAGCCTCTTTTAGACATTTAAAGGTTTGATCTTCGATTCGCTGGCGGTGTCACAAGTTCAAGGGCTGCAGGAGACTGAGTGCTGGCCTGGTGTTGGAGTGTGTAGAGAAGGATCTTTGTCATTGCCGACTTCTATCTTTTACCCCAATCTAATTGCACCAGTTGTAATATCTTGGTGTGCGTGCAAGCGTGTCTGTGCGCGCGTGTGTGTGTGTCTGTGAGGGGAGGGAAGCAAATCACGATTGAATGATTACAGATTATTTTTGTCCCCCACTAACCTGCTGATAACTACTCATAAGTTCAGCCGCCGCCCCCTTTTCCTCGCTCCGCGGATGACCCCATCAACGTGAGACTGATCGAGTTAGCCTTAAATCAAACGGATCCATCCGCCTGCCCAAGCACCCCCACCCCCCCACCCCGACGACTCTCCTAATGAATACATTGGGATCTCTGGAATTTTTATATGCACACATTTTTGAAAGTTCAGGTCAACCATTATGAGCAGGAAGGAACGAGGAAGAGACCAGGAACCGAGGAGGAAATAAGCAACGAGACTCCGGAGTGGGCATCAGTCAGCATTTGTACCTTCAATCTTTTCCATGTAAATAGTATATTTAAAACTCTTTTCACTTTGTACAGTAAACAGACAGACAGGATGTAACTTTCAGTATGTTTTACAGCAATTTAAGAAATAAACAAAACAACGATAAAAACTCAGAAAAACTCTAAAAAACTCTTGAACAAAAATATGCAAAATATAGTTAAGACACAAATATTACTAATCATAAGTGATATAATTAAACCTCTTTCTTTCAATCTCATGTTTACTTAATTATAGTTTACCAATGAGTATACTGGTTATGTTAAGAATTATGCTTTTTCATATTTTCACTAAAGTGTTGGAAATCGAGGATAATTTACTGTAGGTGTAGACGTTTGGTGATTAAAAGGGGAAGTTTAGTTTTAAGAGTCCTTGCTAAGCTTTCCCTCGAATCGTGTTAGATTCTCTCTTTTTAAGGTAAGCTCTTATTCATGCTTTTTGAGATACAAATCAATTATCTACACATTTATGGAATACAATATTAAGTGTATACATAGATGATATTTGCGTATAGAGGCAGTACATTGTGATCCTTCATTTTGGGGCAGCGATCCTTTTAAACTTACAGGATATTTGTGTTTTTTTGACCTGGGCTCTAGCGGTGATTGCACACAGAATTTAGAGCCATCGTCGGGCCGGCCTACCCTGTTACCCTATACATCACTGTGGCAAAGGACACACACATACACACACTTATACAGACAGACACACAAACGCGCACTGGACATTCCCCAGAGTTGATGATGTTAATTCTGCTGAGGATTTTCGGCACAATATTGCCGTGAACCGAGAGCGAGTGTAGTTTCATCTTATTGAGAATCCATTTGAAGCGGAAATGCATTTGTGCAACCCCTTATTAAAAGGTGCAACATTTGTCGTCTCACACGTCTCATTTTATGTGGAGATTTGCTCGAGGGAATCAACTGCTTTTGCTACATTTTAGCTCGCTTGTTGTTAAACCGTGCTGTTTGGCAACTGGAAACACTTAAAAGCTTTGGATTCTAATTTATATTTGTGCAACTTTGTGCACTGCTTGTTTCTCAGTTTGAGACGTTAGGTGCGGTTTGTAATTTGTTTGTCCCCCATGCAGTCAGAAGTTATTTCCCCCGGTCTTCTTCCGTACGGCACTGATTCCAATAAATCTCTCTAATCCTCGTCCCGGCCCTGAGAGATGAATTCTGCTCTCTTATATTTTTCACAACTGCTTTCATGTCTAGCGAGTTTGATTGAAAAGGGAAAAAAATGTGTCTGTGTGCACGTAAAAACCCTGTTGGGTTTGCATATTTCTCACACGAGCCACCGCTCTTTTGCAATAAACCGGATGACAAAACAGAAAAACAAGCTCTTGCTGTTCACTGTATGTGCCAATTCATCACTTCCTTTTATTTCTTTCATGCAGCAGAAGGGGCGAGCTGTAAGGGCCGGCCTCCAGCTGCTGGTTTGGGGGGGGGGTGGGGTCAAGGTGCACGTGACCCCGTGGTAAACATCCTACCACCGGGCCTGTACCACCTCCAGCTGCTCGCCGGAGGTGTTTCCTCTTTTCCTTTTTACTTCCATCGGTCGGTCCCGGCCTCACTTCCCTGCACACGAGCGCCCCGCAACACATCCGTTCTTATGGGGCGGCTAAAGCGAAAACACTGTGTCACATTTTTACAACACAACAACGGGCTGTGGCGAGTTAGTGGGCCGGGGACATCCTGAGGGGGGGGGGGGTGAATCTGTGTTTTTCTGTCTGGGATTCTGACACATGGGACCAAACGAGAGCGCGACGCAGTCCGCCACAGGGATCGATGTACCGGTTAAACTGACTCGTGAAAATGCATTTGACATCAATATTTCTATCATGGTGTGTTGTTTTTTAATCGACAAATCACATACACATAGGAAGGATTATACTGTGATTTTATGCGATTTATTTGTTGTGATTTAGCTACTTATAATTTTCCAGCTCACTTAATTCATTTGCAGATGCTGTTTATTCATATTTTAAAGATCTCTCTGTGTGTGTGCGTGTGTTAATATGTGTTGATATTGCTTTATATTGATGCATACAAAATTTTCTATTAAATTGTGTACAGTTTTGTTGGTTTAATATTGCTATTTTCCATCGTCATCATTTACAGTCAAGAATGCAAAAGGCATCAGGGGTTGCTTCTAAATGTATTTCACAAGTTGAACACACATTGATTAGATTTACTGTGGGTTGACAAAGATGTAACATATGAATAGAATCAATTGTATACATAATGATATACAGAATATTACTCTTGGCCATTCTTTTATCTTTTTGTGGCCCTTTTCTTTGAATTAATCCCCCAAATTTTTACACCATATGAATAGAAAAACGACACAAAAACAAATAATTGTACAGGCTGTGTAAATACTGAATATTCGGGGGAAACATTTACCTTGTTTGTTTGTTTTTTTGTATGGAAACATTCAAAGTAATCTCAATAACAAAATTAACCACGTCATGAGAAAATTGCAAAAAAAGAAAACCATTAAGGTACTTCTAATAAGGATAATACTGATATCTACAATTATAAGTGCTCAAATAAGACTATCCTTTCTCTTTGTACATGATGAACAAAATGAAGTGTTGAGTATTAATAATAAAAAAAACTAAGTTTCAAGCAAATGGCACTGAGTCTTTTTACACACACACACACACACACACACACACACACACACACAAGTAGACGCCGTTGCTGCTCCAGCTGGACTTTGCAGCAGCACATGTACCGGCCTGAGACCTGTTGTGTGATTACATTTCAAAACGGATCGGGCACCGATTTGGCTTCACACTGAGGATTTTACACGTATTCATCCGGGAGAGATCAACCCTGGGGTTGGGGGTGTCTTTCACAATGCATAATAATTCTCTGAGGTCGGGGAAGCGGGACAGATTGAAAAATCTGGTTGATGGAAGTAAATGAAGAAAAAGCCTCCCCTGTCTCAGCAATTGCCATCAAACTGACATTGAGAAGGGCATTTATCTTCCGGCGGCCGGCTCCAAGGCTGTTCAGTTGCCAATGGTGTAATATTGTTCTTGCACTGAGCAGGTCCCCTGTGCAAATGTATTCAAATGCATGAATAATAAGCAGGAGGATACAGCAACACATCCCAGAGAAAGCTGGACGTGTGTGTATTTATCTCAGCTGCTAGCGTCTTTTTTCAGCAGTGAGCAGCCTAAGTTGCACACGCGACAACAGTAGCCAAGTTTTAATCAGTGTTTAATTAAAATGGAACGGCATAATCAATATGGAGGTGTGCGTGATTAGCTTTGGTTACCTCTCACTTTACATAAAGCACATCAAATCCAAATACAACCGTTTGCTGTGTCTTAAACAGCTGTGGGTGCGTCGTCTGTAGATTTAACATTTGGACATTTGACATTAAACAAGCGGAGCTTATCCAGGGTGACATAAACATGCAGTAAGAGGTTTTACACCAAAGCCTTCAGACGTGTATTGTTTCAAGTAACGGTGTGTTTTCAGTGAATGGAAGGTAACTGCAGCATTGAGGTTACTTCTGAATAGCTTCTTTAGCTTCAGAGTGCCGTTGTAAGAAAAGGCCACTGCCTATAAAGCGATTGCAGCGGCAGTGAGTGAGAATATAGAACCAGGCTGTGCGGCAGAGGCACAGCTTCCAGCTAAATGCTAATGTCAGCATGCTAACATGCTCACGGTGACAATTCCACCGCACTGTTGTTTCAAAGGTCGTATATACCGTGTACACTGTTCACCTGTCGAGATGTTTTCTATATAGGACAGAGGGGATGTGAAAGGTTGCTAGCTTTAACCGCTACCTGTCCAAATGGTGATGATGCGATGACGTGGCTGAAGTGGGGGGGACCTGGAAGTTAATAAACCTGACGGTAAACTTGCTGACAAGAGCAAAACAGGCCAACACGGTCAGGTTCTAGCAGCGTTGATCAGCGCAAAGCATGCTGGGAGCGCGGCCACCAGCTGGGACAACACTAACTAGCTTAGCATTCATTCTGAAGGCTAAATGTCTGACCTGTCAGCCCGCATTGTTCCTCCCCCCAGCTTCGGTGACACCCACCTCCTCATCCATCATCCCCTCACTCCTACCTCCCATTAATTTTTCACACTGGCGAGCAAGACTAACTAAATTATTGATGGAGGGACTGAGGTGTGTGTGTGGGGGTAAGATATATTAGTAAGAGATTCACATGTGAGTTTGCGCTTCGCTTTGAATGGGAAACATCAGTGCGCTACAGTGTGGCGCTTTTGCTGCTGTCGCAGGTGAACGAAATATAGTTCGAGGGTTTTTTTTCCTGGTCCGGGGAGCCGGAAAGTCTGACCGTCTGGGCGAAAGCCGGGATCTCAAGGCCAAAACCATCAACAGCTCTTATTCAACCGCCAGTCAGAGGCACGGCCTGGGTCTCGACCTGCCTCTCACCCTCTCTGGAGGCCTCTCGCGGTTGTTCTGCCCTGTCACACCTCCCTCTTCTCGTGTCTCCCACCTGATGCTCTCTAACACCGAGACAGTGTCCCTTCATTCCTTCCTTCAGTCTCTTTATCACACTCGTTCTCTCTCCAATGTGTGCTTATACTGTGCGTCAGCCTGCGTCGGAGAGGTGGTGGGACATCACTGTAATAAAATAAACAGGGGCCCGCGAGTTATGGAGGCTGATAGGAGGAGCAGGACAGAGGGAGGAGAAGAGGTACTTCCAGTCCGATAGAGGAAACGGAGCCTTCAAGGATTTAACTGACTTTATCCTCCAAACTTGACCGTAGAAGACTTGCTTGTTGTTTCTTGGCTATTTGTGTGTGTGTGTGTGTGTGTGTGTGTGTGTGTGTGTGTGTGTGTGTGGGCTTGTCCACCACAAGGCACTTCTCTGTCACTCCAGCTCTCTCCTACTCTTTTTTTTATACATCCCTGTCCCGTCTCTTTCTGCTCTTTATTAAGTACCTGCATTTTATCAATTAACAGTTACCTAGCAACAGCATACATTTAGTGAAAAGTATCTTATTTACAGTCATATTGCTACATTACATAAATATATGTAGGAAGTTGACGCATGCTGATGATCTCCGCACACTGCGGACAAACTGTTCCTTGAGATTTGATTTGGCTGAACACTTCATGTCATCGTGTGTGTGTGTGTGTGTGTGTGTCCACGCATTGAGCTCCTTGTGGAGGAATATCAGCCAGTGATTTAACACAGCAGTTGGACAGTAAGTGTGATGTATGCAGTGTGATGAAACTGCCTGTGATCAATAGATGAGGCATATAGACTTCAAGTGGCAATGTCTGCCACAAGCATTTGTTTTGTTTATAATATTTGAAATTCTGGTTACATCACGACGGATGTCCGTTAGAGCTGGGCGATGTAGAGAAAATCACACACCGCAACATTTTTAAACCAATGCTTGTCCTGGAGGGGGACCCTCTGCCCTCCCCCAGCTTCAACCCACGTGTGAATTACAGTTTGATTTGGTTTGGCTGAAGTTGTTAACTTTAAGAGTAAAACTGTGGCACTATGTGTACTCCAACGAGGCGACTACACACAGGTGGACACAGGCCGGGCGTGTTTATTTAACCCGTGAGCGTTTTGCAGAGGGTTATGTGCTGATTGGCTGAAACTAAGTTATGTTGTTGCCCCTTCATGTGTGAAAGTTGTCAAGTCATCGATAACACCCGCGGTGAAGCAATGGCTTCCTGTTACACCGTTTAGCACAAATTGTTACTGTACTCGAGCCGCGAATGACTCAAGCACACGTGTGCAGACAAAACAACAGGTGTGCAGTCATGAGGATGAGTAACCGGGAGGAAGAATGTGACCAAAGCGCTCACAAATCAGACGCGTGGAGCGAGATGGAGAGCTGAACGGCGATAAAGAGAGGCACAGATGGAGTGAGAGGACATCAACAAGTGAGAGATTGCCGCGATGGTAAAAGACGGAAGGCGAAAAGGAAGTGCTGAGGAGAAAGGGTTAAAGAGACGGGGGGAGAGAGAGAGAAATGGTTGCCTCGGCAACAGCAGCCAGCATTTCCTCTCTTTCCATCAATCCCTCCTGCACACACACACACACAGGCATACATGTTCTCCCTCTCCCTCCTTCCTCTCTTCAGAGTTAGACTCTTTGCAGGCTTGTAATGTTAACACGGAGCTCTTCCTGGAGCGGATTGCTTCAAAAGGACGATGAATTAGCCTGAATGCTGCGGAGGCACAGGATGTGCTTTGAAAGGAGACGAGTAGTGCGACTTCATCCATTGTGTCACTGATTTATAGATGCTATGTGTGTATTCTTTATAGGTCACATGTGCACAAATGTGTCATTGCAGCACAGAGGCCCGTGTACATGTACAGTAATCGCAGGATACAACAGGCTGGCAATGTTGAATATTGATATTTCTACAGATAATAACTCACACGTGCAATCATATCACAATCTGTGGAGTAGAATTAGTTTAAATCCACAGCTTTCCCTCTTCCGGACTAAACTGTGTCATACGTGTGTCTGTCCGGTGCATGAAAGGCGCCACAAGGGAGGGGGGGAGTCCCTGAGGTAACGGTGGCATCACATGAACGGCGTGTGAAAGCTTGTGTGTTGTGATTGAGGGATGAGTGCGTCTGTAGGTGTGTGATGTGTGACTTTGTGGCATTTCTGGCTGTATAATTAAGTGACTTGTGTGTGATGCAACCGCAGACTTCGAGATGCAATGTAGGATGCTGTGTGTGTGTGTGTGTGTGTGTGTGTCTGTATGTGTATCCCCTGTGAGAGAGCAACATAGATCACCAGGAGAAGAAGACTATTAAAGCACAAGAGCCCCACCACGAGTCACAAGGACGCTGCCGAGATGATGATGCCACTATCACATTTAATGAAGTGGAGAGGACGGGACGGGTGGGAGGGGGGTGAGCTACCAAAGTTACAGAAAAAAGGGACCCGCGGGACCAGGGATCCACTGTCCTCCACGTCACGATTGGAATTATGAGCTCAACGTGTCCCTGAGAAACCGTGGCTCAGCAGTTCACCTCTCAAACCCACGCGAACACATCCACACCTGGAACCGTCACTTCCACGTGACGCTGGAGCCCAAGCTGCCATGCATCCTCCTCCTCCTCCTCCCCCGCTGCCTCTGTCACATTCTCCCATCCTCCCTCCATCCCTCCCGGTATCCGTAGTGATTGGAGGCAGGGTTCTGCGGTTGCTAGGAGACAAGGAGAGTGTGGCAGCCGGCCTCGTTGTGGGAGAGCGGGGAAGGGACCTCATGGGAGGGAGCGCCCTCTGCTGCTTCCTGTGGGCCACTGAGTTTGGTGGACGGGCAAAGTGTTCACACAGAAGTGAGTCTTTTTTTTGTCCGTGGGAGCCCCTGCTATTGATTTGAAGCTTAGGTAAACATCCCTCGTTCGATTGGAGCACTCACTTAAAGAGCGGTGAGCAGAGGGAATGCGGATTACGTTCCGCAAGTGTCACTCTGAGGAGGATCCATCTTTGCATCATCGGCCTCTGTTAAGGTCACAGATTTAGAGTCAGAGCTGTTGCAAGTGTATTTCAACCGGGCTGCGTCATGCTCTTTGATCTACGAGGGTCTCGATGAGCTCGTGAGAAGGGCAACACACCGATTAGCAATCAAAGTTCACCATCATGTCCTCAGAATCATGGTTTCAACCCCACACGCTGTCAAAGCTGTGCCCCTCTGCTGATATAATACTTAGTGTCCGTGGGACACTAATTGTGGTAGTGTAGGACACTCCGGATGGAAATGGATCAAAGACTGTTAAATTGCATCAAGGCATAACTTTAGAAAACCGCACTTCAAAGGGATGAACTGGGACTGCAGATAAAATAACGCGAGGGGACGTTTCTCCAAAGCCGGCCTCTGAGCATCATGCTGCATGTTTGTTGGATGACTCTGACTCCATGTGGTCGCCAAGAAAACTGCAAATCACTGCTGCTTTGATTCCAGAAGGTACGTTGATTACAGTATATATGTATTCTACATAAACGCCTCATATGCAATCTCAAAGATTGAGTACTTCTTTAAATGGCCATTTGCCCCCCCGTGGTGACCGCTCTGCTGTGATGGAGTCATTATTGGTTATTATATCCGCAGGTGTTATCCGTCATGTGGCAAAAAGAGCCGTCTAACTACAAATCAAAATGAAGTGCATTCACGGGGAAAGCGGTGATCACAGCACGTCCCCGTCGTCCCTCTCGTAGTGTACTCCGGGTACAGAAGGCTGCTCCAGCTGAGCTCGGAACCGCCCATTCACGAGCAACGTCCAGCGTCCCAGCGTCCCAGCGTCCCAGCTGACATTGCAGACGTCCTTTAGAGAAGCAGACCCATTCAACTCGTTGAAATGAATTCCATGTAAAGGTTTGCACACAGTAGCGACAATGTCTTCGCTCAGTTCTGACCTGTCAAGGGCAAAGCAATTTAATTTTTAGCGTGAAGGCTTTCAGATTAGCTCTGGTTGCTCAGTGCAAATATTTGCTCAGAATTTTTCGTACAAGAAGCAGGTGTCAAAAAATGTAAATGCAGTGTAGTATCTTCTCAAGTTGCACTTTGTAAACGTGAAGGTCTAATACATAATGGAGTGGACATATTGTTCAGCGCTCATATTCACCCAAGGTTCCATAACCATTCAGCCATCCCTCTGAGCAGATTGGGTGCGGGGGGGGGGGCAGGTTGTGACAGTATCAGGGGAGAGCGTTTCAGCCTTGAGATGTTCCCTGCAATGAAAATACACTGACATGAAATCAAAGCTTTCATATTTTTTTAATATGCATTTTGAATTGAAAACCATTGCCAGCGGATCTGAGGCAGCACACCGAGCTATAGGCGCCAATCGACCACATCCGCCAAGGAAGCTTTTTGCCTGAAACATCGTTTGTTCCACAGAAAACGGAAATGAATGTGAAGAAGTCTGTGGAAGATTTGAAGAACTGTCTTTCTGCATTGTTGGGAATTTGTCTTAATCTGCCCCTGTTTGGGTTCAAAATATATCAGCAAAAGATGGACGGTTGTGCAGGGCTTTGTCTGCAAGATTGTGTGTCTGTGCGTAAATGTGGAGGACATTAAGTGTGTTCAAAAACGGTCGCTCTCTTTACAACCGTTTTTTGATGAGCTTCTCTGCAGAAGATTCGGTGCCCTTGTCTGTGATGGAGTCTGTGTGTGTCCCAGCAGGCGTTCCTGTTGATTGGACAGGCCTGGCTGGCTGACTTGCTGGCACAGAGTATCAATGCCCTTTTTCTCACCTCACAGCTCTCTCACCTTCCACTTTGTGGCAACGCAAACGCAAAAAATTGCCTGATTTTGACGGCTGGAGTTTTGTGCGCCGGCGAACAAGAAGGTCTGGATGAAATCGCACATGTGAAAAGCAAGTGTACATACGTAGCCTAGAAATTATCCACAGTTAAGGCTGTGTGATGCAGTTGCTATGGCAACTATGATAGAAATAGACGTGTATCTGCAAGGGGATTGAAATGTATCGAACAGTTGTTCGTAACACTGAGATTTTTACTCTTTTGATCGGCAGGTTCAATGAGAGACTTCCCATGCGGATGTGCACGCCGGCTGTGTTGTCTTGGTACGCACTTGTGTGAGTTCATTGTGTGTGTGTGTGCGTGCACGTATGACACACTGCAGTGAATTAAAAGTGCAGCAGCGTGAATGGGGGGGGGGCCATAGGGCACACCGTTATTACGGTAGGAGTGCGTGAGCGGGTCTGCGCTGCATCGCTGGCCCTGTCTGCGAGGAGCTCGGGCAGACACAACAAAACACACTTAAATGGGAGGGGGGTGGGGGGGGGGGGGGGTGGACATTTGTAGCCCCTCCATTGTCCCCCTGGTCGTGATGATGTTTCCTGAGCGTGTCGTGTCAAACATTAACCGATGGCTGGCCGTTATCACGATGATTTAAGTGGCTTCTTCTTTGGGGAAAAACAACAATACAGCTGCAAAGTGTAAATAAAAGGGGGTCTTCAACAGTAAGAGACCACAATGAGATGAACCAGCTTCAACCGCCATCTCCTTCTAACTCATTCAACGGGCATTCCTGTTCGCTCCCAAATGATCATTTGATCTTTTATTGACTTGTTCACTCGAGACGTAACCTATGGATTCCGTTCTGCCCCGTAGCCTTTGTGCCCCTGTGCCTTCATCAGGATTCTCTAATTCATCCTCACTGGAGATGAAACGGGAACAAAGGAGCTGCGCTAAACCCCTCTGCCCTGACATGCAACAACAAAATATAGAGAATTGCATTTGCAATATCACTATGATCTCACATGTTATTGTAGAAATGAAGGAAAAGCAAAAGCTCCAGGGAGGGAGGGGGGTGTGATGGAGAGAGATGAGGGAGAGGGGGGGGGGGGGGGGTGCAGCAATATGAGTGTGTATGCATTTTCAAGGCGGTCTTTCTGTAGCAAGAAGAAGAGGAAAAAAACAGCAGTCTAAGAGGGAAACGAAGAGGTCGAGCTCCCGGTGAAGGCACGCAAATGCGATCCGGGCTCCGAGGAAGGACGTTTGACATCCGCGCGCGTTAGTGGACACTCGTGAGATGGACATGCGTTTAATTTCGGCTGGAGATAGGTGGAATCACCTCGGCGGCGTGTGAAAGAGGGAGCGAGCGAGCGAGCGAGCGAGAGCGAAGGGAGCGGGAGGGGAGGGAAGGGGGGCGGGGGTGTATGGACCTCACTGGCTGCGGGACCCTACAGGCGCCCCGATTGTGTTCCGCTCGCATCATTTTCGGAGGCGAGGACAAAAGGGAAAAGGGGGAAATCGGAAGAAAGGCCCGGGATCCGAGTGTCGTGACGGGCTGCCCTCCCTCCCTCCCCCCACCCAGCCAGCCAGCCAGCCAGCCAGCCCGACTTCGCCGCCGCTGGTTCGGGGCTGTCTGGACTCAAAGAGGGTGAGGGGAACCGCGGCGGAGCGCTCGACTCGAGGCGGGGGTTTCCTGTCACAAAACAGCCTTTCACTCCTCCGAGGGGCCTTGCGCTGCTGCGTTTTCAGGTATGCTTCCAGAGTGCGTTAGCTAGCTTGTCTCTGCCCCCCTCCCTCCTCCCCCTTCTCCTCCCCCCCCCTCCCCGGCACACGTTAGCTCTGGTTGCTCAAGGGAAATGTCAGGCTGCGTGATGATGGCTTTCTGATGCGGTACCAAACACCGGGTCCGCCGCCAGAACGCGATATATTTATGCTAGCTAACCCGTGTGGTCCACAGCCCCTCTGGATTTCTCCGGGTGGGGGTGAAGGGTGGTGGTGGTGGTGGGGGGGGAGACATCTGCACCTAATCACCTCTCTTTTGTAGCCAAACGCTGCCTGGCTGCCCCGTGCCTTTTTCTGTTAGCCTGCTACGAACCTCCGCTGTGTGCGGAGATAAACGCAGATTAGCCGGCTTGCTAGCTGCGCGCGCGTGGCTCAGCTCGCCCCACAGCGCACGCGACCGCACCGCGTATTTGATCCCTAGTTACGCGGTGTGTGTGTGTGTGTGTGTGTGTGTGTGCGCGTGTGTTTCTTTTTGTTGTTTTGTTGCTAACGCTAACCCTCTGCGAGCTAAGGGGGAGGCAGCACCGCACAGCTAATTGTAATGCGCACTGCTAGCGGCTAACGCAGCCAGCGGGTAACGTACAAAAGCCACCGCGGCGCCGGTGACCACCGGAGGCAGAACAGCACGCAGCCGGCCGCCGATCTGCGAGCCAGCTGTGCGGCTGATCGACTTTCTGGCGGACTGCGTCGAGCCCGTGTTTTATTAATGCTGCGCTGTTCTATTGTGATTCGGCTCTGCCTGGTTTTCTCCCGCTGAGGTTGATCAGTAATGCAGGTGAGGGCTGACGGACGGACGGATGGAGATCCACTGTGTCCTTTCTAACTTTTCCCGGTTTAACAGCTGTGACACCTGGACAGAGTCCTGCATGCAGACATCTGACTCATTTAGATGTACAAGGAGGGACGTGATTGTTTCTGCTTCTGTCACATCGCCGTCCCTGTGCAAGCAGCAGAGCATTGCATTGGCAAAGATGGGTTCACACTGATGATGCTGCAGACCGACCAGTGAGACCAGTTAGTGATCGTAAACAGCCAGGCCTTGTTGTCCTGTGTCCCGGTGAAAGTCGACACTTAACTAAAGTAGCCCAAACTTGTGTCGGGGCCATTAAACGTTTTACAGTGGACAATGGGGGCCTGTGTCACACGCTGCAATTATGGGTGCTGACCTGTAAAGATGTCGTCAGGCCTTTAATTATCACCCTAATCATTAAGGCCTGTTAAAGCAAGTTAAATACACTGACGTTTATGGTCTCCGGCCTCTTTATAGACTGCCTCTGTCTAGGCTAAACACACTTGTTTGTGTACTTGTGAAGTAATGTTTGTGACTTTGTCTGTGTTACTTTTGTTGCACTAATTATTGCTGCCGCTAACCCATTTTTCTTCAACAAGCCTGTTTTTTATCAGTCAGAGGAGACAGCTTAGTATTGTTAAAGGTCCAACCACAATGAAGGCTTGCTCCAAGCGCATATTAAAAACGGGAGGGTTGATATGGGGCCAGCAAGCCGTTTTAAGTTTAGTGTGTGAAAACAAGAACTATTGAATGACCACCATTAATTATTCTGTATAACATGGCTGTAGCACAAAGGAAAGTAAATAAATGATGCCTTTTCATTTTTGTGTGCTAACTATTTTTGATCCATCTTTTGTGTTTGCAGATTTGCAAAGGCTTCTAGTGAGCAGCTCCTGGAAAATGAACTTCTCTGCATGGAAATACTGAAGAGAAAGCAGGTGCTTGAATTGACCGAGCTTGAGGTGGAATAAATGGATTACCCTCCCTTTGGAAAATTGTTGCCATGGAACTAGGTAGAGTTAAGTGATGGTTGGCATAATGTAACAAAGGTAAGACCGCTACATGCTGAAGATACTGGCGAGCACCACGAAGAATCTGAACACAGTCAAGGAAAGAACGCTTACTAAATAGGGACCAAAGACTTCTACAGTCCGAATGAGTTCACGCAGTAGCAAAAGAAATCTAAAAGCAGTATTTGAAAGGGAATTCGCAAAGAAAAAGAACATCTCAAAACGTATTACACTTTGCATCCAAGACCTGAAGAGCATATCAATGGGGTGTTTGCCTCTGGGAGAGTTCAATGAACGTCTGTATTCAGACCTCTTGATTCAAGTTACAGCCATTTTGGTCTCACACAGGTGTGAGTCAGGTCCTGGCAAACGTATTGAAGGGCTGAAAGACTGTTGTGACGGAACGCATTCTCAATGGTTTTATTGAGAGATTTTTTTTCTTTTGTTTATTTGCACAAGATGCTATTGGACCACACTTTAATCATCACATAGCTCTGTTTGCTTGAGCTATTATTCCAGCAGAGGGTATACATGTAAAGACATTTGAGGTCGAGCATCTCACATGCTGGTGTGTCAGACGTGATATCATCGCCTGCTCTGTGCCAAACTGCTTCATGGGAATGGCTGCACATTTTTAATCTTGTTTTTCTGCAGTAGTAACGGCTTCGCTATATATTTTCTTTTCTTTGAAAGTTCCGTTTTTTAAGACCTATCTGTAAAGTGAACCTTTTTTCTTTTTTCAATGAAAATAACCATACTATTATAATGTTGAAGAACTAAGACTTCACCCAGAAAGTGATCACCTGCGTTAGATATTCCTCAGCCTAAACCATTTGTTTTTTTAAGGCATTTCCTTGTTTTACTGCCAGGCCGTAGACTCGTGTCATCATTCATGGTTACTGCTCTAAGCCTTCCTGTTCCTGATCAGAAGCATTCCCTGGTATAGACACCGACGGTTATTTCTGTTTCTTAATCCAATCTTGGAAAAACAATGCAGAATTTTTCTAACAGTCCGATTCCCAATTTGCTTCCCCCGGGATTCAGTGGGAGGGGTGGAGGGGGAACTCCGTATCCCCCTCAGCCAGCAGAGCCCCAGATTTCGCCAAGGATGACCGATGATTACGCAGGGATGCAACAGCAGAGTCTGCACAGAGGCCATCACCACCCCAGTCAAGTCAGCCACATGCTTGCGTACAGTGCTCGAAACAGAGGTGCTGTGGAGGCATCACCAACACAGAGTAACATTCACAGCGGCAACACTAGCAACCCCTACAGGAAGGACGCCATGGATTACTATTTTTCCATGGCAGGAAAGGAAAGACACAGGAGGGGAGGCATGGCATATGGGGCAGGGTTTGGGTACCCTAATATTGATGGACATATACCTCACCAGTATCGACATGCTGGATCTGGCTCTGCACCAGCATCCGGCCTGATGTCACCATATCCAGTAGACTATGGCTCAAGTGCTGGTTCTGGTGGAGGTGCTGGTGTTGGAGGGTTCTCTCCTTCACATCAGTACAATATGAGTCAGAATGCTGCAATGCAGTCAGTGCCAGGTTCTCAGATGCAACACCGCCAACTTGGACAAGCCTTCCCAGCTGTCCACCATGGACAGCAGCATAGGAGCTATCCGCACTCTGGGCACAGAATGACCCCTCAGTACTCTCACTACTCCCCACAGGGTGGAGCATCCACGGGGTCATCAGGAATGTACAGCCCTCCTCCACAGAGATACCTTGACGGGGCTGCTGGTGCGGGGTTCGATCCCAAAGTCAACAATTCCCCCAGTGTCAACTCTAGTTCAAACTCAGTCTCCAGTTCAGTTGCTGCTAACAATGTGGGGCCAATGGAGAATGTTCAGCAGAGTTACCATGCTTCTAATTACCCTGGCTATTCCCCACAGACACTTTCGCTTCACAAGCAAGCCACACTACAGCACCGCAACTCGCAGCACAATTTGGGGGTAGGCTACGACAACTCTCTCAAGATGCAGCACCAGAGCCCGTCTCCAGGCTCTGTCTATGCTAAACATCATCAAGCATCCAATCCCAGTATACCTCAAGCAGCATCTCAAGAAATAGCCAAATCCCCAATGCATCCCAATGCTCAACAAGCCCAAATCAACCAAAACTTTAGCCCGATATCCAACCCCTCACCAGCTGCCTCTGCAGTGCATTCCCCAAGTTGTAGCTCCTCTCCTTCCCCTTTGATGGGCGTCACAGAGGTACATGCGAACCCCTCAGGTCATGGTCCGTCACATCATCCGTCGTCAAACCCCCGTAGCAGCCATGGTCAAGGTAGATTACTGCAGACCATGCCACAATTAAGTCCCACACCCAACTCAAATAGCAGCATCAGTAGTGGTGGTAGCGGTGGCAGTCATAAAGCTCACAGCATGTGTGCGGGTGGAGGGAGCAGTGTGCCTTCAACAGGCCGAAACAAATTGGGTTTAGGGACAGGAGTTGGATCGCGAGACGACGGCTCTTCTATTTATTCATCCTCTCCGCTAGACAAAATGCAGGATGCTGCCCTGAATAGTCTTAATGCCTTGAGCTCACAAGTTGCCAATTTACCAAACACAGTGCAGCACATGCTCCTCACCGATTCAGTGCTTTCACAGAAGAAGGGGAAGGATGTGGGCCAGATGCAACAGGCAACACATGGTGTGTCCCCGTCACAACCAAGAAGTCGAAATGCAAGTGCAGCCTCAAGCACTAGCACAGTTAAAGACGGAAGTGCTCCAGGGATTGGTGATGGTGCCAGTTTAGATGCTGGTGCCGATGAAGACTCCTCACGAATGTTAGTTGGAGGCTCGTCGTTGACCAAGGTGGACCGGGAGGAGCAGTTTTCTGAAGGGGAACATGGGAGGGTGAGGCAGATGAGTGGTGCAAGCAGTGCATCTGAACCAACTGGGTATCCCCCTGCCTCTCACAGTGAAACACGGACTGGGCCAACATCCGCTGGTAAAACCATCGCCCCCCATTCACCGTCAAAAGAACTAAATGTTTCCGAAACAAAAGCAAGTGAGGCACGCGCATCCCTTTCATCATCATCCCCAGCTTTTGGATGTCAGTCATTGGAGACTGGCACAATTTTACATTCAAAACCTCCAGTTTCCTCCTCCCCATCAGCCACCTCTGCCACTGTTCCTCCTCTGCAGCCAAATTGTATCTCAGAGCCTGGTCTGACATACGGTGGCCATAGGAAAACAACGGAAATAAAAAGTGAGGTCGTCAAAAATGAAAGTGAAGGCCCCCTCGACAAAACGGAGAAAGGCCGTCTTCAAATGCAGCGAGGTGGAGAAGTCAATTCCAAAAATTGCCAGGATAAAGAAAACAGGTTGCATACTGCGTCCAGATTACACAGCAATGAGAGAGGAGAAAAACACACGTCTGAGGAGCTCCAGAGTGCTAGTGGTGTTGGTGTGATTGTTTCAGCTCGGTCTGAGGGAAGTCAAAATGAAAAAAGCAAGCATCCCCAAGGCAACTGCATAGAAGAAAAACACTCTTTCTTGAGAGAGTCGAGCAGCCATAATGGAGAGGAAGGTGTAGATCTGAGTTTATATTCCTCCCATCACCAAAAATCTAATTTTGGACAGCCTCAAAATCCTCCCCAGTCCGGGCCGCATAAATACGGCTATCCAGAATCAACATATGGCTCAAATTTGACAATGAAAAGCAGAGCGAGGGCTGGCCCGGTGGGTGTCATGGAATCAAATTCCAGATACTTAGGGTATCAACAATCCCAAGCTGGTTATGGCCATGTGCATCCAAAAGATGCTAGTTCTGCGACAGAGACTTTGGTAAAGAGAGGGCAAGGCACAGGAGCTAAAGGTCAGGAAGATAATTTGCAGCAATTTCCAAGCCTTTTGCAAGAGGTTCTTCAAGGTTACAATTTAGATAGACGGTATGGTAGACCGGAGCAGGCCTTTCCGTCCCATCAGCAAGTTCAACAACAGTTTCAAACTAGACACCCGTATGGCATAACTGAGGCTTTGGCTCATTCTGGACAGATGGGTAGCACTTTAAAGCATCCACAGACAAACCAGAGGCACGAAAGCGAGCCTAGTTTTACCACAGATACTCAGTCCTCAGTGAGGTCTGATGTGCCTATTACTAAGATAATGCAAAATGCTGACAAAAATGACATGGGCGTGTCCTATTTGACACAGGCTACAGAGTCTCAGCAACCCCCAACAAAGCATATAAACTTAGCTGACTACTCTCTCCCACAGAGAAAAGCCTCATCAAATGTGTGCACTCCACCCTCTGCTGTGCAGGAACTCCTTTTGCAAGAGCCAGAGCCGCTAACCGGCATCATGGGTCAAACTGAGTCTCAAAAATTATCAGGCTCGATATTAGCCCCATCAGAGCGTCGCTCTGTCATCTGTGATGTGTCACCAAACCGACGGGGCACTCCGGAAAGGGAAAGTGACAGAGAGAGGGAGCGGGAGAAAAGTGAAGCCTCTGTAATTCAACAGCCATTTTCCTCTCCAGCAGCTGCGAGTGATATGAGTAAAAAGGATATTAGAGAGAAACAAGTGGTGAAAATTGAAATGGCATCAAAAAAGGCTGCCTTGGACCCTGCAAATTTAACGCTTGCTCATCGTGGTGGTGGTTGCGCTGATGCTGAGATGGAGTATCATTCCAAGTCTGGTCATTCATCTGTTGTGATGAATGCTGACCCCTACAGGCGAGGTAATATGGATATTCCACCCTTACCTTCTCATCCTTTGAGCGCTAACCCTTTATCTTCACCTTCAAGGCATCAGTCTTACCTTCATGGTGTGGATTTATCAACTGGCAGTGGCAGCAGCTTTCCTGCTTATCGATTTGGAGATACACGAGAAGCCAATATGATACCACGCAGTAACCCCCATTTTCCCTCCCACCATCCCTACCACAATTTATCCCCCCAAGCGCAGTCCACAAATAAGCTTCAGATGTATGCTCACCCTCGTGGCGCCCCTCATCACCCCCATGACATGAATGATTGGGTAAAAGCAATGAACAGGCCATCAAAGGAGATGATGCTGCTTCCTGGTTCTTCTCCAGGAAGACATAAGGTCAGCCAAACAGAACCGAGGCAGAGGATGGTCTCACAAACCGACATGCCCGCTGAGCTACACGCAACCAAAACTTCGCTCCATCATCAGGGCGCTTTCTTTGATTTAAAAATGTGGGAGTCAACACACTCTCACGGAAGAGACGGTTCTAGAATGATGGAGGGAGATTCCTTTTACAGAACACAAGCGCCTCCTCCTCCTCTTCCCCCTCCCTCTGCTCCTGTGGCTTCACACGTTCCCATTCCACCACAAATGAGTCATGGCCTAAATGTTGCTGAACCGCAAGTCCCCAGAGTAGCCGCAGAGGACGCCAAACATCCCTGCCCACCTCCCCCGCCCATATCCGCAAAGCCTTCTGCCAACATTAACTCCACGCAGCCACAGGTGTCGCGTCAGACTAAAGCCAGCGGTTCTGGAGACACAAATCCGCTAATGTTGAGAAGGAGAGTTCGTTCTTTCATCTCTCCCATTCCTGCCAAAAGGCAACTCCAGGATGCGTCTCAGCACAGAGCTGCAACAAATTCACACCATTCGCCTGGGGCTCAGTCTGAGTCAAGCTATCACAATGAAGATGACTCTAGTTCAGATATCCCATGTCCCAGGCTTTCTTCGCCTCTGCCCGGAGAGAATACCTACTCGCAACCTCTATCTCCATCAAGTGGTATTACCAGGGCTATGCCTCCCAAAAAAGGCAGAGGTTTGAAACTAGAGGCAATTGTGCAGAAAATCACACCAAATATTAAAAAACCAGCAGTACATGTCGATGATGACTCAAATCATTATCCAGGCTTCTCTCACTCTGAAATGCTGCCGTTTAATGATTCACAGGACCAAGACTTGGCACATTTCCCACGGGGTGTAGGAGGGGAAGATAGCTACATGGACGAAAGTCATTCATTAAACGATATTATTTCCTTCAGAGGAGTTGATGAGACTGGGCCTTTGCCTCCATCTGCCTACCCCTGTGAGCCTCATCAGGCGTCTCGAGCCCTAAAACAAGACTTTGACTTTGGATTAGGATCCACTGTTTCGTCGGCATCAGGTGACAAGGAGGATTTTGCTTTGCTTGGACCGTTACCCCCTCCTCCACCTCTCCCTCGCCCGGTCCAGGGTTCCCCGCCTCCATCTTCGTCTGCCCTGTCGGACATTCAGCATTTCACCAACACTTACCAGCAGCTCGAGACAAGAAGAGGGGAGCAGTCTGCAGCTAACCTCCTTCGACAGAAACTTCAAGAATCTGGCATGGGATTTGATGATTATCCTACCAGTGACTACTATGGAGGCACCCCGCCCCACCATAATCAGGCACAGGGGCACATGCTGAACAGGCAACATCAGATGTCCTCTGGCAGGTCCAGCCTGTCGCCACAAGATCCCAAGCTGCACGACAGTTCTGTGCCTAAAGGCTATTTCCCATCTGGCAAGAAGAAGGGGAGACCTGTAGGGAGTGTGAATAAACAAAAAAGGGCCCAGAATCAAGCCCAATCGCCGGGGCAGGGTCAGCCCCAAGCCCAGGCTCAGAGCACAACTCCAAGTGCTCCCTCAGTTCCAACCGAGCCAACCACGGTGGATGCAACAACCCCACCGTTGGTGCCGACTACAAGCAGCACACCGCCTCCCACAGCCCCTCCCCTGTGTGACAGTAACAACTCGCCCCCACTGACGCCGCCCATTTTAACTCAGATCGTGAAAGTGGATGTTGAGAGTGAGGACACGCAGCCAGTGATCGAGGTCAAGCCTGTGCGGAGGAGACGTAGAGGTGGGAAAGATGACAACGAGACACTAGAGGCCAGAGGGCGACAGAGGAGGAGAAGGAGAGCAGCCGGGCCGACCGCACCATCAGTGGCCAAAGTCGACCCCGATACCCCTTTAAGGGGAGGAGGGAGCCCTGGTCCTAATAGAGTATTTGTGGACTCAAATAGAAAGGGTCTGTTTGTTCCGCACATACACGTGGAGAACAAAATACCAGAGATTGGGGCGGTGTGCATCATCGTAAATGCTGAGGAAGAGAAGCTGAAAGGGGAGCGTAGTGCAGTTGGAGGGAAAGTGGGGGGGGATGGGATTGATTCTCCCCCAGCTCCTTCCTCCCAGTTATGTAGGAGAGACAGAGAGTCGGAGAAAAGGGACACGGACGAAGCGGAGACGATACTTCCTTCGGGAAAATCGCTTCCCTCCACTGGCTATATTGTTACAGGCCCGGTGATCACAGAGACCCATCACACTGGCCGCCTGCTCTGCTGCCTGTGTCAGAAATGGGCAAATTACAAACACCTTGGCGATCTCTACGGCCCTTTCTATCCGGCCGAATATGCAGCAAAGCTCCCCAAGAACCCACCCCAGGTCCGACAATGTCAAGCGTCCACGGGCACAAGCAAAACGGGACAGAACTCGGACATGAGCTCAAACGCTGTGAGGGCCAACCCGGACACGCAAACGCAAGATGCTCAGTTTACCCACCCCCCCACTGTCAGCGACTACGCCATGAGCCAAGCGACAAACCCTGTGCTTCTCCCCGCCAAAGTCAGAACGGCCCCGACAGCTGCCGGAGAGGAAATGATGATGCACATGACTGGCAAGTTCAGTAATGCCTCCTCGTCGTCCTCCTCGTCCTTCTTCTCCTACATCAGTAAAACAACGCCGTCCCTCACCTGGGACATGAATCTCGACATTCGGCCTATCCCGAAGCTGAAGAGAGAGCCAGACCTTGATACCGACAAGCAACAGCCACAAATCCAGCAGCAGCAGCTGCCAACAGACGAAGCTCAGCAACGACCGCAACACAGAAAGCTGACCTCACACCCCCGCTTTAAAAGGAGGCACAAATCCAGTGAGGATTCCCCCAGAATGGTGCCTTCCAACAGTAAGGCGTCTCTGCCCTTCCAGCCCCCTCCCCCTGCCTTGGACTCCCTGGGACCTTTGGCACAACTCGCCCAGCTGCCTCAGATGCCGATGGACCCAGAGGAGCTGTGGGTCCACGAGGGATGCATGGTGTGGACCAGTGGGGTGTATCTGGTCAATGGGAGACTGTACGGTCTGCAAGAGGCATTAGATGGCGCCAGAGAAACAGTAAGTGTCCTCTTAATCTACCAGTTTTTGTTTTGGGAGTTTTTCGTCTTTGTATCTTATTTCTGATGTCTTCGCTCAGTGCTGCTCCTACTGTGAAATGGTTGGCTCGACCCTGGGCTGCTACAGCAAAGGCTGTACGCTGCGCTACCACTACCTGTGCGCCATTGAAGCAGGTGAGTGGATGCATTAAAAACAGACACACTCTAGTAACTGTGTGCATGTTAATTTCAGTTTCTTTACAGAGTGGGACCTTTTGTGTATTGTACTTATTCCCTGTCCCTCTTCCAGATTGCTCTCTGAACAAAGACAACTTCTCCCTGCGTTGTCCAAAGCACAAGGTAAAGAAGGAGAGGTTGGTCTTTGTTTTGTGTGATTCGTTTTCTTTTGCCATTGTAGATCCTCACCAGCCACTCACACGTCTTTTCATCTTATCCTGACAGTTTTCCTTCCATGTTACTCCCGCTTTCTCCCCCCTCCTCCTCCCTCCTTCGTTCAGTTTACCCAGAGCATCCGGCCAGCCAAGCCAGTGTACCTGGAGCAGTCAGAGAGAGGCTGAGAGAAGCGCAGAAGAAGAAGAGACACCAGAGTCTTGGAGCTGTAAGTTTAGACTTGGTTGTGTGTGTTTGTTTACCTGAATTTGTGTGTGTCTACAGCATGTGTCATAGTGTGAATTAGGGATGTCAATGATTGTCCTGCAGGAATAGTTTGGATTAGGTTAATTTAAGGTGGAAATAGACCTACATCTTTTCAGGAAGTCTTGGTGACGAATAGGGCTGATCAGACGGGACATCCTGCCGAGGGTGTGTCCAGCTGTGTCGCTCTCAGAGGGAATCAGAGAACAGTCACATAGGCAGACAAATGAGCATTGACACCATTTTACAATTCAAAATCAGTGTGTCATCAGAGCTCTTCTGATCTGCCTTCATAGGAGCCCGTGGTCGAAACCTTTTAGCGCAATGGATGGCTGCGATAGGTAGCTGATCAAATTAGAGTACCCTAATTATTTCTTCCTTTCAGAAATTGTGATGGAATAGCTTGTGTGAACTAGTGTGCGTCCATGTGAGGCTTTGACGATATGACGAGCTTATCATTCAACACTGCACTGGTTGGCCACGGTAACAGAGCCATATTCCATCACACTGCTTGTGCACTATATTCAGGCTTTTCCTGCTTTCTCTTTGCTTCAAGACATTGAGGTAGCATATTAAAAATAAACTTGAACAACATTTCTGATTTAGTTTGATTGTGTTTGAATTTGTAAATGTTATTCACGGTGCTGATTCCTGCCAGACCATCCTGTTGATATAGGTGTGTGCAGGAGGATTTTTGGTCTGTGACTCAAACACAAATAGCAACCCATCCGCTGTTGGGCAGTTACTACTAACTGTGTGTGTGCGCGCGCGCCATACATACATGTATTTATACTCGGCCCGCAGAGCGTCTGTCTCTTCAGCCTTTGCTTTGAGTGATCATTTTGTATATCAGTGTTTTTTTTTCTACACTCCTGATCCAGATGAAATGGTATTTATTGCCTCAAGGCTGTTTATAACTTCTCTATTCAGACCGTTTCATTTCAAGGAGCGGTGCAGTACCTTCTCTACTCTTTGTTGGCTGCTCTCACACTCCTCCTCACTCCCAATCAGCCTGTCCTCATGGAAACCAGAGACTCGTATATCGCCCTTTTTCTTTCTTTTCGTTTTGCATTGGATTGAGCAACCCTATCCCTTGCTTCATCACTATTTGTGAAAATACATCCTTTTTGATGGCTCAATGTGGAGTCTGTCAGCGCCTCAGATAACCAATAAAGGACTGTGTAGCAATAATGAAACCACCTGTGATTCGCTGCCTAATGCTCCACTTCAAGACACTTTGAAAAGAGGTCGTCTCCATAAAAGAAATTGTGCTAATTTAAAAAGCCCTTCATTCTTTGTGTCTACATGCGTGGGTCCTGTTTTAGATCATACTAACCTCAATTTGTTTGTGTTCCCTTTCCAAGGTTAGTTTGGTCAATAGAAGACTGAGGAGTGGGACTTGTTTGCGAAGCAGCCCGAAATGGGACAGGACTGGCATCTATGACGGAGACCAACATAAGGGAATGTACACTTTCTCAACGGGAATCAGCATTATTTACATTTAAAACAACGGAGAAAACAAGCTTTTTTTTCCTTCTTTTTTTCTGAGAGAATTGTTGCTCTTGACTTAAAAGCAGAAAAAGAAAAAAACATGAACATGTAACAGAGCGGAATGGAGCTACAAGTAAAAGAGGAAAAATGTGACCACAAGACTAGTTGGAACTAAAGGAACATTTTTCTAGAGAACAAAAGAAACAAACCTCCTCTCTGGGCTTACTTTTATTTTCCTCGGACACCCTCAAAGTTTAACACTCTTGTTTATCATCTGTTTTGTCATTATTGTTTTGTTTTTTCTTTAGGTGTTTGTTTTTTAAGCAAGTTATCCCATAAAAGATATCGAGAGAATTTGACATCTTCTCACGAGTAGTAATTCTTACTTATATTAGAATTACCATCATAATTATTTTAGTCCTCATTATTATTTTCTATCCTCGTCAGTATTTACTCATGAATATAAAAATGGATGTATCTCACTTTATGTTCTGACAACACATGATTTGGATTTATTTTTTCATCCCTGGAGAGGGAGGAGCCAGAGTCATGTCTGGAATGTCAGGGTGGAGTTTGCCACAAAGACATTATTGCCTTGGAGAACGGACATCTGTTGCCTTTCAAAAGTCATGTGTGTGTGTGTGTGTGCGTGTGCGTGTGCGTGTGTGTGTGCGTGTGTGTGAGGGAGCGAGAGAGAAACTGAAAAAAAATGCCGATATCTGGGTCTTTGATTCCATTTTTGGTCCTTTTAAAAAGTGTTCTTATTTTTCATCCCTGGGGTTTTTACGGTACAGAAAAAAAAAATCCGATGGACACAATCTTATTTTTCAAGTACAAATGTTCATTAAATGTGCAAAGCAAAGGGGGGGGGGTTGTAACCCTATGGACTAATGCGTGTCGGCCATCTTTGACTGCTGACAGGAGGAAGATGAACAGGAGGACGCTAAAGGGTTTTCATTCTTGTGGATCTGTGTGGATCGGTGCACAAGTGCGCACGTTCCACGTGGGAAGTGACGTATGACGGACACGTCGCACAGCGATGGAAAAGCATTTTTTGGGAACTGGAACCTTCGGAGAGGGTGTCGTATGAACGGCTGTGATTGGCCTCACCGAGTAGTTGTGAGCGGTTTCGCTGTGGAGCGCCGCAGCAGGAATTCGATTGGGAGATGCAAAATTCATTCAGAAAAACATTGCCATACAATTTCAAAGTGAGTCGTACATGGTGTTGTCTTTATCATTTTCTATTGTTATTCTTGTAAAAAAAAAAAGGAGAAAAAAAAAGGAAAAAACGTCAACCTGAGAAGACGGTTACACTATCAAAACCATGCTGTATTAGAAATCTGTCAATATGTATATGAATTATGAATACACTTTAAAAAATACTTCAAGAAGGCTCCTAGTTATTTCTGCCAATTTTGTTTTTTGTTTCTCTGACATTTAATTTGCCCATCCTGCCTCCCTCTCTATTTAATTCATCTCCGTCTCTATAGATCTACATCCATCTATTGTTTCTTCTTCCTGCCTTCTCAGTTTGAGGGGAGTGCATACACCTAATTTAACAGTCGCACTCTTTAGAAGAGGGGCTTCTTCCGATATTGTTACATACAGCGCAAGTGGGGAAAAGTAAAATCAGTGAATACATGGAAAATAAATTACAACTTACAAATGTATTTTGTCTTAATAAAGCGATAGGGTGGCTACACATTTTAAATAGTCAACCATAACGGATAAATAATTGAAATAGTTACAAGTAATGAATAAACAAACGGGGATACATTGTTAAATAGCCCTTAGGTCGATCACCTTCCATTGAACTACAATCCGTTCTGGCACACGGGTCACTGCGCATAGCGGTCGACCGCGGGAGCTAACGGATATAATTAGTGCTAATTAGCATTTTGCATTTCATTCAAAATGAGTGGGGTTGCTAAAAGGGTTAGTAATCTGCATAATGCCCTAAAAGTTTGTAATTATTATCACAAACGGGGTACACAGGAAGATTGACGGTAAATGGTTTAAACTTTGGCCTAGAAGTACTGTATGGTTCCAATTCTAAAGGTATGCCAACATGTAGTGCAAGTATAAAGTTCACTCAGTATACATGGTATTATGCTGTATAAATTGATATTTAGCATTTTAACTTTAACGTAGATCTCAATGACTTAATCACTTGAAAAGAAGCTTGCGAGCCAAAACACGTGTGTTAAAGTAACATATCGAGTTTAGATAGAGAGCCAAATTCATTGGCTACGTCTTTCAAACGCTTGTGGGCTAAACCAACAAAGAACTTGAACTTCAAAATAAACACGTCCGTTTCGAGAAAAATAGATGACAACATATATTAGTATAATTGTGAAGCAGGACAGGATAGGTTCAGGATGTGTGGACCTTCTTAGTAAGGGACTCACTTTTCCCCGGTAGCAACATAAAAAGGGATTTGATTGCGGCTCACTGCAGGTATTAAATTACCCACACTTAGAGCCCCCTCTTGTGGAGCCGCCGCCTCTCAGAATCAAAGAGTTTGCCACTGAAAGACATACACATACATTGCTTTGGTACTGCAAAGCAATATTACCCACGTTCAGTGAGTATCTGACACATTTTTTTATTTCAAGGTCATGTTGATTTTCACACGAACAAGTGTGAGTGCTGCAAGCGTTGACAGGATGATGAGGGGAGGACGATAAGATTAATGAAACGGATCAAAAAGGAGTCTAGGAATGATAATGGAAACAGACGGAGCAGAGATCTCTGGTTTGGATTTATACAGAAGGATTAAAGAAGAGGAGTGTGTGTGTGTGTGTGTGTGTGTGTGCGACTGCTGGGGTCGCATCATACACAATGACACTCTGCTCACAGAGGTCATCGCGTAACTGCCCAAATCCTCTCACTATCTGAAGCAGAGTGCAGGGGAGAGCAGGCGGGTGGAGGAGTTGGGCCGGATGCTCCTTCCACCTTTCACGCTTCACTTGATGAGGGAACTGAAGACAAAGTAAGAGAGGCTGTAGTAGGTGAGTGCTTTTCTTTTCTTCTTCTTCTCTTCTCTCCTTCAAATTGAATTCACTGCTTGACGTTGAGTGCAGGGAGGTATTGGTCCGGGCATCCGTCTCTTCGAGGGGTTCCATTGTGATGGCAATGTTCACCTTTTTTCCTCTTATTCAGCCGTCTGTCTTCCAACCAATTACCGGGAGTGTGCTGATTTTCTGTCACAGTCTCTTTTATTCTTAATGCGATTAGTCATGTAAAAAACCGCTGGCTCCCCCTCGCTTTCCCGTTCTAACACCTCGGGAAGCGATTCGGGCAGCGCTGCTTCTCCTTGGCAACTCGGAACATGCTGCCGACGTGCGAGAGTGGAGGTGTACCAAAGTCAGAGTGATTAACAATGAAAAGCTTGCCAGCTCCTTTTTGAAAATGATTGTTGTTTTTCGCATTCGTCCAAAGATGCTCTTCATGGTTCTCTCTATAGATCTAGATATCTTGTAACTAAGTCTATAAATCCAACTCAAACCAGATTGCCTCCTCAGTATGGTTTAAATGAATAACTATCTTCCTCATTGCCGATGTTATGGTACATTTTGTAAAAGGAAAACATTTAATTTACTAAAATGTAAAGAGGTAAGAATCGACCACCAAAGTATGCTTTGTAATTTGCAAGTGCAATTTGCAAAAATACCGTGTCTCATTGTCCACATGTCTGGGTCGGTCCCTCCTCTTCCTCCATCAGCCCGAGCCTTCATCTAAACCCCTTCGCCATGGCTTTCCTGCAGCAGATGCGTTCCCCTTGCCTCTCCTTCCTCCAGACCGTTGTGTCCCTCTTCACGGGGGGCATCGCCCTCATGTCCCCCTACTGGTGCACGGGTCGGCAGAAGGTGCCCAAGCCCCTCTGCTCGCCCGTCAAGCACATTGACTGCATCCCCGTTCCCGGCATGTCCAACTCCTCCACCATCCAGTTCTCCTGGGAGACCGGGGACGACCGCTTCGTCTTCCCCGTCTTCCACACGGGCCTGTTCCTCATCTGCGAGGAGGACATCTACGCAGACGCATCGGGTAAGTGGGGAGAACAGGTAAAAAAAAAAGTCATGTTTGGAACGTGTGGCTGTCATGTGGGACTGTTGAGCCGTAAAAGGAGGAAATGTGTCTGAAAACAGCGATGTGACCTCTGTTCAGTCAACTGATCACAAAGGAAGTTCAAAGGTCATGTAGCTAAAAGAAACAACCTGTATGTGTCACTAGTGACCCTGAAATGAGTTAAGCCGGTAGAGGAAACGTATCACTTAGAGACAGGCAGGATTTGTAAGAAGACATCCATGCAGAAGCAGTGCCCACGGTCAACCATCAGTATCAGCGCGAAGGATTTCGTGAGCATGTCCCTCGGCATATGTGCAGCTCGGGTCGTGTGTAGTACAGGACATTCCCAAAGTGAGAGGAGGATTGGTACAGAAGCAGGAAGTGAAACTAACTGTGGCACCGGTGTGACAGACAATGAAGTAGGTCACAGGAAGAGAGGAGGTCCAAGGTGGTGGGATAAAGTGAGGCCTCGGGTGTGTTAATTTGTATGTGTGTACGTGCGTCGGAGTGAGTGTGTGTTTGGGCACGAGCTCAGCCCGGAGAGGATTATCATCAGTGTGTGTTCTGCTCACAGAGATTTAGACTTAACAGCATGACTCAATTATGGATTAGAAACCCAGAGAGGGAAAGGTTAATAGGATTCACAAACATCGGCTGGGTTTTCATCGTCTCATTTGCACATGATTTAAAAGATTTAGTACGGTCATTGGTGCTATTTGGACGAATGTGTGTGTGTATACATACATATATCTATACGTATATATTTCCCTTCTTGTGGACTTGACCATCCTGTCTATTTCAGTTCTCATCTTTGTCGCCAGCTGTTATTTCTAATTCTGTGTCAGCGCATACACAGATGAAAAAAATAAAGTTCAATCAGTTCATGAGTCAAATCTTGTGCATGCACAACTCGCAAATAGATGTGATTCAAGTTTAGCCAAAGTATTCAACTGACTCATGTGGTCAATTATATCCACATTTTGAAATGAACAGTAAATAAAACCCATCTGTACTCTAGATGCTATTAGAACTATTTATACTTTAATTATTTTCATCCTGAATCAGAATCACAATCAGAAGCCATTTATTGAAAAATAGGTTACAAATAGAATAATTTGTTTTGATGATTGGTGTGATATAAGAGTAAAATACAATAAGATAAAGTAAAATGAGTTAAAAAAAATGTGTAAGCAAAATGAAAACAATATAAACAGATAAGATCAGTACGTCAAACCATGTATATACATATGTTTCCATGGTGAGAAACCATGTTCTGGGGATGGAGTATTTGGGGCAATGGGGGTTGATGAGACCATATGATGACGGGAAGAATCTGTTGCTGTGGCGGGAGGTCTTGGCCCTGATGGACTGCAGCCTCCTGCCAGACGGAGGGGGCTCAAAGAGTCTCTGAGAGGAGTCGGCTACAATCTTTACTGCCCGCCTCAGAGTCCTGGAGGCAAACCAGTCCTGCAGGGACGGCAGATTGTGGCCGATCACCCTCTCTGCAGAGCGGATGACATGCTGCAGCCTGCCCTTGTCCTTGGCTGTGGCTGCAGCGTACCAGACGGCGATGGAGGAGCAGAGGATGGACTCGATGATGGCCGTGTAGAAGTGCACCATCGTTGCCATTGGCAGGTTGAATTTCTTCAGCTGCATCAAGAAGTACCTCCTCCACTCAGCCTTTCTGGTGATGGAGCTGATGTTCAGCTCCTAATTGAGGTCCTGGTTAGTGATGGAGCCCAGAAAACGGAAGAACTCCACAGTGGGGAGTCACACAGGGTGATGGGGGAGGGTGGGACTGCGTTCCTTCAGAAACCCACAACCATCTCCACTGTCTTTAGAGCGTTGAGCTCCAGGTTGTTCTGGCTGCAGATGGTCAGACTCCCACCTGTAGGCGGACTCGTCCCCACCAGAGATCAGTCCAATGAGGGTGGTGTCATCCGCAAACTTCAGGAGCTTGACGGACTGGTGGCTGGAGGTGCAGCTGTTGGTGTACAGGGAGAAGAGCAGAGGGGAAAGAACGCAGCCTTGGGGGGAACCGGGAAATACTCCAGACTTGTTTTTAAGTAGTGAACAGAAACACATCGGAATGTGAGTGATGCTCATTCCACTTTTCTTTGCTGTGATATCGGTGCCTTGGAGTCAGTTTTTGCTTCATGTCGACTGGCTTCATTTTCTAGCACAGAAGACACACGAAGGTTCCTTTTGTTATCGTGTTCCAGGACTCCAACCGAGGTCACTCTTTTCTCAGTTTAGCTCGTTTGGGTTTTGCATCTCTTGACGATGTGGACTGACCTAAAAATGTCTCCCTGCTTGGCAGCTAGTTGGAGGGTTAATAAGTCAAGCGTGCAATAAGACAGGTCTGTTGCTCCATTAATGGTGTGACTGATTCAATTAGAGATCGACATAATGTTTCACAAGCGTATCAAAGTTTCTCTCTAACAGGGATGAAAGCAATTCCTTAGGACATGATATGTTTGTTTTATTTCCGCACATGGTCCACGGACTATATCTACAGCGGCTTTATCATTTAGAAAATTATCAAAACTTTTTTGATTAAAGCTTTCTGCTTGTGCGACTTCCAGCAGCCGAAAAAGTCACAAACACAATTTGTGCAACTGTACTGATTTGATTCACTTCAACCCACGTTTTTTGGTGAAAAGGGGCTAAACTAAAGACAGATACAATTGGCAACTCCCTTACATAACCATAGCAGCTAAAGATCCAGACATCTACAACCGCAGTTGGTTGAGCTAAAAGGAGTGTTAATAGTGGACTTGAACCAGGTGGACGGATATACTGTATGTCTGCAAATGAATGATATGTTGCCACATATATGCCGTTTATGTTAATATAATAGGCAACTGCATGCTAATGTTAGCGGTATCAATTTGAAAAGTGACTCTGTTGCACCCAAGGAGCCAAATGTCAGAGCCAGATTTAAGTGACTACTGTTCCAGACGAATGAATTTTGCACATAAGCTCTAAAGATATAAATGAATGATAATGCTTTAATGCGCTGCATCTTTGGTTACCACTTCCATGTAGAGGAGACAAAGCATTTAGAAAATATAGGAATATGATGTATAAAACTTAAAACACCACCAAATACAATGCAAACAGACGAAAGCTTTACTTGCTCTGTTTGGTGACATCTGTTTCCAAAGTCGCAGTGTGTGCAGCTTACGGTCCTCTGTAATTTAAAGCTTAAATACCGCATACATTTGTGAATAAGCCATAAGGACGCTTAGCCGACTGCAGGAGCAGGTTGTTTCTAATTTGTATGTCATTGCATGCAGTGGAGGAAGAAAAACAAATTGGGGTGGAAAACAGCACGTTTTTATGTTGAACGTTTAAAAACCACTCAAATTAGAAACACCAGTAGACGGCGTCTTCTTGTGTTTCTCCCGTAAGCCCCGCCCCTCCGGATTTATACAAAACAAATCCCATAATCTCCTCAGTTTAGCCAAAGCTTTTACTGCAATCCGACCACTTTGACAACACACGCAAAACCTTCTGGGAGAAAAAACCCACTGCAGATAAAGTGTATCGGGCAAAGCGCAAGGGAGTGAACGTTTGACGCGTTTTCTCACTTTGCAGTGTTGTTTTTTTCCCCTAAATGCTGCACATGTGTTGTGTGAAATGTTGTCTTCATTTCTTTGCGTCGCCTTAGTTTAGAGCCAAATACGGCACTCTGAATGTTACAGCTGTTCTCACAACTCATTGGTAAACAAGCCACAAAGAAGCTTAACCGACTGCAGAAAAAGGTTGCCCCCCCCCCCCCCGCCCTTTCAGTAGCATTGCATCGGTGGACACCAGCACACTGCAAACCAAATACTCTCATGGTGAAATCAATACGTGAAATGAAAGACACAACAACAGAGTCTCATTTTGTGGCCCTAGTAATATTTTCCCCCGTGAGCTCCATCCTTCCCGATTTATGCCAAACAAATCTCATAATCTCCCATCAGGTTACCTCAGGCCATGTAAACACTTTTGCTTCAATCTGGTTATTCACACAGTAATTAGATTGCAGTGTTCATCTAAATGTACAGTGTGCACCGTATGCAGGCCGAAGAGCGTTTGAGCTCGGTTTCTCTTGGAAACCGGTGGTGACTGCAGTGAAATATCACTGTTTGCTCAAAGCTTTCCACTGGAAAATAAATCCACTTCTCCTGTCGGTAAAAATCTGATTCACTGCTGCCGTATGATCTTATCTCGATTTGTCTTTGGATTCCCACAGAGGAGAAGTGTCGAGGATTTTATACGTTGACTCCGGGATCTGAAAAAGGTAAACGGACTCGTCCCATTTTGTACCCGGGCCCCTTTGCCTGCCTGTGTGCTCAGCCTCTTGTCCTCCCTCCGCAGCGATGATGTGGCTGGCTCTGTCGCTGGAGATCATGTATGTGAGCCTGCTGTTGATCAGCTGCACGCTGCTGTCTGTGCAGCTGTGCATCAGGGCCTGCTGCCCCTCCACGCAGCGCTGGGGCTGGCTGCTCAACGCCTTCGCCGCCATCTTCACCGTCCTGGGAGGTACTGCCATGGAGCCGCGCAGCGCGACCGGTAGTCACTGGTTTCCCTTTGAAATGACGTCCTCCCTGTTGTCTTCACAGGTCTGCTGGGGATGGTGGGTCACATGATGTTCATGCAGGTGTTTCAGACCACGGCCTCAATGGGACCGGAAGACTTCAAGCCTCACAGCTATGGCTACTCATGGGCGTTCTAGTGAGTTCATAAAGCACACAGCACACACCGATCGAAGCAGCTGAGGTCGATCTCGTCCCGGAGCCGGCAGAGGAGTTAGTAAGGCGGAGAGTTGTCACGTCTTCCTGTTGAGTCACTGACGATTGGAGAATATTCTGTGTCTTTTCTCGCGGCCCCCTCAGGGACCGGGCTCTGCCGTGACTAACTTCCGCATTCGTTTCCGGAATTCCTTCAGCTCCTCACGTGGGACGGCAGTCCCTTAGAGGGTGCTTTGAATGACAGCCCGTCTATTCAACAACCTGAAGGCATCGTTCTGACAGTCGACAGCTCTGCCGTCTGCATGTAGAGAGTCCCGAGAGCATAAACCAACAGCTACAAAGCTCCTGGTCTATGTGAACTCTCAATAATCACGTTTCTGCCTCAGTGAGGATCCTTGACAAAGGATTTAGAGCGTTGGTACATCGACAGGGTGCCTCAGAGCGTCCGTCCTTTTTAAAGTCATGTGTAAAAAACAAACTACTGAACTTTGAATGTGTAAAATTACCTGGTTCCATCCTTAGTCACCGCCCCTTCAGCTCCGCGAGCGGCACGCTGGTGACGCGCTTCCTGTTTCTCCCTGTCTCCGTCAGCGTGGCCTGGTTCGCCTTCACCGTCTGCATGTCAGCCGGCGTCTCCACCCTCAACAACTACACCAAGAACGTGCTGATGGTGGGCCCCAGGCACAGCTCCAGCCTCAACGCCTGCAGCTTCAACTTCGTGGGCCTCCTGCCGCCTTACTACACCGCCGGGCACCCGGGCACCGCCCTGACCTGTCCCCGTCCCCGCCCCGGATCTCCCACCTGTCTCCGTACTACGAGGCCCCCGCAGGCATCAAACGGGCCTCCTCGTGGAGGCCCGCCCACTTCCCTCCGCCAACGTCCCGCCCAGCGCCTGCATCCCCGTTCCATCGCTTCTCCCTCCCCTCTCCGTCGCCGCCCCCGTTCCTCTCCGTCCACGTGCCGCTGCCAGGACACCACCAGAACCGCTACGGGCCGGAGGAGGACTACAGCCCACTTTGACCTTCTGCATATGATTTTCTGGGACTGGGGGAGCTGTGGTCATCTGGGCAATCAAGTCAACGGTCTGAATTTACACTGTTAGCAGGTCAGTGACCCGGAGAATGAGATTGATTAGAATTGTTCATTTCTAATAAAGCCGCAGAGCAAATGAAGAAGACAACATTGTTTAGTAAACTGATTATAAGAAATTATCCATAAACTGTATCATCTAGAAACATCAGTTGTACTTGTGTATATAGAAAGCATCAGCAGTTGTCATATTTTGAACGGACATCTTGTTTTGAATAATGCACAATACTTTAATAAATTCAACCTTCAGACTGACTGAAACATCTCAACTCAAGCGAAAAACATTCTAAGAAAGCAGCAAATAGAATATAACAAAGAAAACAACCTCAGTAAGTGGTTGGAAATCAAGTTTTAATGTTGTAAAAATCAGTGGCATTGGCATCCATAATAAGCAATAACAGTAGCAAAAATAAAACAGCATTAGACAAAAAGAGCATTATGGGAAATAAGACATATTTACAAATAGTATCTCACGTTTTAAGATACAAGGCAGTTTGTCTTTCTGTCCCAGTGGGCGGCAGAAATGGAGGAAACGGCTCAAATTACTGGTGTATCTGTGGATTAGTCTTTAGATTAATGCATTGTTTCATAAATACTAGGCTAATGAACTCATTAATGATTAATTCATCATTTCTAGTCCCGCTACTTTGGGGTTAATTTCTCTGTCCTACATTTACGTTTTGCCAAAACAGTTTCCATATAAAAAAGACTTTTGTTGACGACCATGTTGTAGTTACTCTGTCTAATTATTTAAAATAAGAGGAGATACATGAAATATAATTGATGAATTAACAATAAGATAAGTGAAAAACAATAAACTCACCCCTTTTATCCAACACTCATATCTATACGAAAATGTGCATTACAACAACAATGAAACAGCAAAAAAGACCACAGATTTTACTCTTCAACCGGCTTTTTGTTACAAGCCAGGAACATTGATAGATACTGTGATAGATTTATCACAGCATCTTGAATTGTAAGGCAAACTTTGTTCAGTTAACAACAAAAATATTCCTAGTATTTAGATGCTTGAGAAATCCAGCCTGAACTCTGGGTTGAAACATCACTCAAATACAGCTGGGATTGATTGAACTTGCCTTTTACCCCACAGAGTGTGAAACCCCGACTATCTGAGAGCAAGCTCAATCAAACCCCACTATTTATTTGAGAAGATCAACAGGTCGGCTTTATCTGCGGCTGAATATACACTAGCAACTCAAATCTGATCTCAACAACACGCTGACATAAACACAATTTACACCATCTGCAACTAAAAAACAGATTTCCGCTGGCAGAGTAGATCCGGCCGGTGGTTTTTGGGCTGGTTGGAGTTAGTTCAAGTGTCCGTCTCACGCCGTCTTCTTACGTAGCACAAAGTAAGTGATGGAGGAGATGAATGTGAGGGAGAATGCGATCCACGCCAGGATGTAGCTGTGCCCGTACCAACCGACGCTCTCGTCGAGGTGGAAGCGGTCCGTGTAGATGGAGGCTGCGATCATGATGCTCAGGCCTGGAGGGAAGGAGGCAAGGACACGTCAGGGAGGACACGGACAAGGAGAGAGCTGAAGAGCGCTGAGGATGCGGAGAGAGAGAGAGAGAGAGAGAGAGAGAGAGAAGGGAAACAAACTCACAGGAAAGGAGCTGAAAGATGCCGGAGATGGTGAACCGCTGTCCTTTCGGGAGGGTGAAGAGCTGAGCCACGAACACAAAGATGCCCAGGATGGAGAATATGCAAGCGAGCACCGAGCTGGCCTGCACTGCCTGGAGGTAATCTGCAGGGGGAGACAGAGCACAGTGAGGATGCTGTGTGTGTTTGAAGGGGGACACGCCCAGGAAACAATAACGCTGCAGGGACACTGTGTGATTGTAACAACGGGTGAGTCAGTCCGGCGCTAACGCGGAAAACTAAAGTGTCACATCCGCATACATGACTTTGGATATGTTGGTGTTTGTGGCAGCAACCTTTTTTGAGCAGATGACGGTCTTCATTTGGACAACTGCAAACGCATTGTGTGTCCCCAGTTCATTAAAACGCTGATGTTGGCAGTAGAAATAGTTCTATAAAACATCAGGGGCCAGATTGCAGCCACATGTTGGCACACTTATTTTTCACCTTCAGGTTTGCATTTAGCTAGTAGAAAAGAGGGCGCCCACGACACACATCCGACTCAAAACCGATGACAGCTGTCAATCAAAGCAAACCTTCCCCACGCGGATATATCTCCCTAGCTTTGATGGCACCCATGTGTTTTCACCTTGAAGACATTTTCAGGGGCTTTAATGACCTGCAGTGGTCTCAGAACAACGAAGACTCCTCCTAATACTCAGGAAATCGATGAAGCACACTTCGTTTCGTAAGCAAAAAGTAAATATGGCTCAGTGTTGCGCACCCAAAAACAGTTCTTCTCTCCCCTGCTTTGCATCATGGGGCCTGTCTTACCGGTTGGGTAGTGTGAGCCAGTAGGAAGATCAGTGTAGTTCCACACGCCGTTGGCCAGTTCCCACCGGGCCCACACGTCAGTGGCAATGGTGTCGGTCATCCACCAAGCCTGAGGGAGGAAATAGATCCTTTTACATTCAAAATCATGCAGAAACACAGACAACCTTCATTACATGCCAAGAGGGGAGTTAATGAATCGCTACTCGGCAACAGAGAAGTAATGCGGAGAATGGAAAGCATGGGCGTGTGTTCACCCTGTGGTTTGATCTGTATTTGGGGGGCCGGGTGCAGGCAAAAAGGTACGGAATGCACATTCGCCTGTCACTGCGGCACTCCTCCGGGTCTCACCCGGTATGTACAACTCCGACTGCAACGCTTGCAAGAATCTAGCACGCTTACCTCTGTGTGTGTGTGTGTGTGTGTGTGTGTGTCACACCTTGCCTTCAGTCTAAATGCACTGATGGAGGCCGCCCGCACCCTGTTTTAAATATGTGCCTCTGAGGAGAAGAGCGGCCCATTGACGTAGAAGAAAGGAATGAGGGCCTCCACCTCTTTGCTGTCTGTCAACATGCTAAGAAGCCCGGGTTCGAGCGGGGACGCCTGAGGCTGCAACGGGTCTACGCTGCACAGCGCGCGAGAGAACCAAACTCAGCACGGTGTACTTACATTGTCAATGGTGGCCACCAGGAGGAGGATGATGCCTATGATGTGGAGGACAAAGATGGCAGCGAGGAGAATCAGCATGTTGACGGTGCTGGAGAGAGAGAGAGAGAACGAGTTAGACCACTCTCCTCCTTTCTATTATGCAGGATGAATACAACTGCAGGGCTGACTCCTCCGCGACTTAATAAAAACACACACACGCACACAAAGCTACTGTGAGCAGAAAGAATAGAGCCAATAACAAAGGCCCCACACTTCCTGCGCGTCCTGGAAAGGCAGCCATTGACGACAGCTCCAAACACACACACACACACACACACACACACGCACACACACACACCCAACACAAGGCCCAGAAGCTGGCACCCTCTCAGGGTGTGGCTTCACAACTTCTAATTACGTTGAGTTACAGCTAACGCACTATATCTCCCAGCCTGCGGGATGACGCCCGTGTGGAGAATCAGCGGCGTTGATCTGCCGTTTATTTGCCGAGCTGGAGACCAGCACACAAACATCTGTCAGCCAGAGAGGCTGTTTGGTGAAGAGTAAATTAAGAGATTCGGGAGGGAAGTTCACCGGGAGCAGATGAGTTTGGGCTTGTCTTGTGCTGCCAAGAACCCCGCCACTCCTTAAAATAACTGAAGAGAATACCTGCTATCCCAGCAGCCTCGCTGCCCCACACCTGATCCCACACCTGATCCCACACCTGATCCCACTGCGTTGACGTTCACACTATCACACACCGTGGAACCCCAAACGCCTCTTCTCTCCAATGTGCCTTGGGCTTCTGTGCGGATGCATTAGTTAGACTCTGATTATGATCCCTCTACGGGGGGGGGGGGGGGGCTCTGCCCTGTGACACACGCCTGATCACTTTTTCAGTACTGGTGCAGGAACTATCAGTGGCCGCACTGGGTGCGAACAGGGGAAGAGGAACATCCGAAATGTGCTGGTTCCCTGAAAGGAGTGGTCAGGGGCTGGGTTCACTCTCACACACACACACACACACACACACACATACATGCACACACCCACACGCTGCCATGCCCAGCGGCTCATTCACACGCAACTGCACACAAGCATGCAGACACGCTCGTACATATGTGATCCCGCCTGTCCCATTTGGCGGTTTGGTTTGAGTGAAAGATTTCCTAACGTCTTGTTCGCTGAGCGCTCAAACACAGACCTGTCGTCTCCTGACAGATAACAAACAAACTCAAATAAAAAGCAAAGTTAAATCCTCGGCAGTAGCTTAAAAAACAAACACACTCGTGGCCCACTTTTATCCAACTTCCTCCTAAATCTTTGCCTAAAATTTGTCAACTGCTGCTGCTGGGATTCTCACATGTGGCCCGTCTGTGGTGTATTTTTCATCACGGCAGATGGAACGAGCGTGTCTGAGGCTTCAGAAGGTGTGAGAATGCTAAAAGTGCCCGAAAAGCCAGCGGCAAAAAACAATCCTGTGCCTTAACAAACTTAAATAAACAATTTACATTCAAACCAGTCAATTGAGAACTGCTCCACACATCTGGGAGGCAGCCACACCTGGCACAAAGCAAAGCGCTCTGGGAAGGTGAAGATATGTAGGAGTTCACTCACACACACCAGCTCTCACTCCTGATCCTCAGCCGGCTTTTTTCCGCCTTTTCTTTCTTTTTTACAGAAAATACTGAAACAACCCTGCGGAACTCCTATTAACACACCGCTGTTTTATCCCCCTGAAGCCGTTAGAGAAATAAATCACACAGAGGGGATTCAAGAAGGACCGTTGACTTACCGTTAGGTGGCTGTGCGTCTCTTCAAGTCTAAATCCTCCTGTTCTCAAGGACGATCAATTCAGAGTGTAAATGCACAAACACTGGGAGTTACCCGTCCGCCCACTTCTACCCGGCCCTCTTTTTAAGTCCACACCCAGACAATGGCTGACCAAATACTCTTTGCCTCGCTTTCTCCCTCCCACTCTGCCCCCCCCCCTCCTCCCCTCACGGCCAAACACTCAGACACTGTTTCCACAACTTTTGCGGTCAGGCGCTGCAAATATATATATATATATATATATATATGTCAACATTTTCCTTTGGTGTCTCATGACTTTATCACTGTCTTTTGGTGGTGGAGATTTCCTCCAGCTGATGACTCACTAAAGGGTGGAGGGGGGGGACTCCCATAACATTTCCCAATCATTGTCAATGATTCCCTGCGTGCTGCCATGGCGACAGACTGGCAGCTCAGACCCTAATACACGTTGTACGTGTAAACAAACGGGCGAACTGGCGTAAAGTCTTCCTGATCGCCGCCCTCCTCCTTTTTTCCCACTTTTGTTACAGAGGAAGGAGTTCCAGGGTGAAGGAATGTTGTTGGTTGCGAGGGAGAAGGAGGTGGGGGCAAACCGGTGCAAGTCATGGCTTGAGTGAGAGAAAAAAGGAGGGAAGAGGAGGGAGGGAGGAAGGCACGAAGGCAATGGGAGAGGAATTTAAGGGGGGAGGGGGGGTGGGGACATTTCACACCAATGCAAGTTATTAATTATTAATTAATTATGACTCACATCATTGCTTCACGGATGGTGTTGATTGATGCGTTCCTACGGGTCATAATGGAGCCGATCACGTTGTGTCGGGTTTAGTTTGAGAAGGATTCAGCTCCCGTCTGAGACGTACTGTGACACTAGCCCGCCACATAATAACACATAATAACATTTGCTTGTTCGTCACACAGCTCGTTGATTGCAAATTGCTGTTCTTTGGTCAAATCGGTGCACCAATGGGCCAGAGGGCAAATGCCGCAGCCTCGTCGCTATGACAATATCTAACGAGTTCCTCCTAAAGCATCTGACAGGAGAAACACTGCTGTCCTCAGAGAACCTAACGAGATGAATCTTTGTATGTTGTGCACAAAGAGCAACACATTCACACAGCAGTAAACGCACACTCAAACTGTGTATGTAAAGTTTAAACTGTATTTTGGATTTTTATAGTTTTACGGAGTGATTTGATTTTAAACCCGTTGTAAAGGTTTTGGCAGAGAAGCTGTAAAATACTCTCACTGTTTCTGTTCAGTATTCATCAGTAAAACTAAGAGAGCTAAGCACGTGTGCTCACTGCTCGCAGCTAAAATATTCAAAATAATAAGACAACCGTGTCACTGATGTATTTTCTTGGTGCTTTGAGCACCACAAGCCGAGTGCCATGCAGTCCCTTTTTTCGTTTTAGACACGGTAAACACCTTTACATCTTATCTATCTATCTTCAAAACTAGGCAACTTGCACAAAAACAACCTAGACTGATTAATAGAACTACATGTAAAGAGGAAAAATATGTTTTAAGATTTTAGGGTGAAATGTCCCTTTAAACTATAACATGTACTCTGTCTTGAAAACGAAACCATAATCTGTTAAAACTGCCTGTTCAAATATAAATAATCATAAAGAAATTATGATTATTTATAGAAAGAGGTGGACGAAAATACTCTGGGTGTTTACTGGGAGACTGAGGGCGCTTGTTTTTTTTTCTTGTTATGGAAACATGCAGATCCAGTAAACTGAAGACTTGGCTCAAAGGCTCAGATGAGTATCTGGTCAGTTTCATATCAGGAGGCCTCTGCCACAGGTATGAGCAGGCAGGATAATAACAGCCTTCGGAAAGGGTTTACCTGCCAATGCAGTGACCTTGAAGCGCTTCGGGGCCCGCCTGAGTTTGTATCACGGTGACTTCATCTGCTCGGGTCGCGAGGCTTCACGCACACACTGCGGCCTTGCTTTTTTTTTTTGCAAGCTATTGTGAATGTGTTTTAATGAGGTTGTCACGGAAAATAACCTTTTTCATAAGCATTCAGAGAGCATGAATGCTAATCAGCGTTGAAATGATGAATTAAACCGTGCCCCTGCCATGGTAACACTTTAAGATTCCGGGCCTCGTGGACACTGCCGATCTCCATGACGACACAATCACACTGTGGGAACTGCAGTGGCAGAAGCAGCGTACCTGCGGATCTTTGAGTTCGTGTTCAACAGGGTTTCAGACACCACACCTCAATCACATAACGTTCAACGTGCCACACCCAGATCCCTATGGGAAAGTATGTCAGTCCTTTGAGATTTCGAAATTCAGGTTTGGGATGAATGAGTCGTCTAATCTTGTCAAAATCTATCCTACTGTCTTTTACAAAAAGCCAAAAAACCAATGCACCCTGCATGTCATCAATACTGCACCTTCACTCTTTTATTTATTCTTTTGAACTATATAGCCTTTAATGAAAAACTACGCAAGGACAGAGCGCAGACAAGAAGGAGTGACTGAGAAAAAGAGAGAAGTGAGAAAGTGGTGGAACCTGATTCTGCTCTGGGCTGCTCGACCCCACCTCGCTGGTGAGGTAAGGGTTGCGACACTCCCTCCTCCCTGTTCCACGCGGCAGAACTGGAGAGTTTCTGAGTGAAGCCAATATGAATGCCTGTGGAGTAAAAAGAAAAAGAAAAAAAGAAATCCATGTAACGTAAGAAACGGGCCTTTAACTCAAACGTTTGTGTATTTTCGACAGAGGATATGGAAATGAATCACGTATCGGCCAGCTATCGTTGGCCAGTGTGAAAACTTCCATCGTTTACTTTGTCTCTGGGTGGGTGGGGGAAAAATCACATGCCTGTGAAGCAAATCACAGCATAGTGAAGACCATTGGGGTGACCCGCCCAACAATCAGTTGGGACAGTTGTGAAATTGTCTCAACTGCTAATGCTTGTGTGCACAGGTACTATTGATGATGCCCTGAAGCACTTTCTCAGCGTTGGCTGGTTCAGGGTGGTTCTCTTCGTGGGCAGTTCACTACACACCGTGGGGTCGTTACTCAGCTGAATGCAGCGCTGCTTTTCAGAAATTCACAGAGTGCAGAAAACGGAATAAGAAATCTTCCCGGAAGCATTCTTTCATTTTGAATAATTGTTTGTGAAGTGTTGGCAATGTTAGACAAACACACAAAAAGTCACATTTTCATTTAACTTTAAATTTATTATAAACTGACAAACAAGGCAAAGGCAGGTTGCTATTTTTGGTTGAGAAATATATTTTAAAAAAAACTTTGATTGTGTGTTTGTGAGGACTCATCCGGGGGTATTTCAACACGATGTGTGTGATACAAAGCCAGCAGAGCGGTGCCTACATGCCAGGGGATTGAGCCTGACCACAGCCAAGTCACTGCTGCTTTACACAATAGTAAAGCTCTCTGTCTGTGGCCGTCTCACTGTGCTCATTCCGTCTCCTTTTACACAATGTCGCAACCTGCCCTGGGATTTCTACACTCCTGTTATAAAAACAGCCTTTTGTATTCACAGGATTTACTGGGGTCACTTCAAAGAATTTAGATGTGAGTGTTCTGTTAAACGCGACAGAGCAAACACAACGGCAACTGTCAGGAGCTCGCCGTGTTGTAACTCTCGCCTCACCCCGAGGCTGTCGACTAATTGGAAAGGTCGACCACCGGGCTGCTGTTTTATGAAGAGCTACTGCACAGGCTCGTCAGTCACACACACATACGTGAGTGGCATACGTCATATGTATGTACACATTCATATCTACCTTCCAAAGACGTTTCTTATAGCCCCAGTTTCTGGAGGAAAGTAAACACATTCATATTGGACATAAATACTGCATACTCATCATTCTCTAAGGGAGTGACACATTGCCGAAGGCACTGGAGAAAAGACGAGAACAACACACACACACGCGCTTGCTCGCACACACACACACACACACACACACACACACACACACAGCGTTCTTTCCTCTTGCACTTCCCTCAGGAGGGTGTTAATTATCAGTTTCATTTTCCAGTGACGGCCTCCTCCCCAGTGTGTGTCCATGCCGCGGCCTTTAACTTTTGGAAAATGCACATCTTTAAATTCCTTATGGATTCCTTAGGGTTCCTCAAAATAATTAATGTGTCCTTGTGGGGACAAAGTGTTTAGTGGTGCAATTTAGGTTAATTATGACCCACAGTTTTATCACGATAATTGGTTGTTTTAAACACCCCATACATTCCTTGTGGTGTTCCACAGGGTTCAACACTTGGTCAACTCCTTTTTTAATGATTCCGCTGAGTCAAGTGATACAACAACACGGTGTGATTTTGATAGCCATGCGGATGGCAAGCAACTCAAGGCCTCACCAGCCCTTGAGATGTTGCTACAGAGCACTGAGGGGGAAAATAACCACAAGCAAGAAGGATATTTCTTTGACAGGGTTATAGTTCAATGAATAGTCAGATGGGGGATCTACAAATTAGTATTTGATCATTGCTGATTTTTAGACATATTTATGAACACATTTACTATCGTCCCCTAAATTAATAATGTGATTAATATGAATATGTTTTTTTTAATTGTTCAGCTTTGTTGTCCTTGTTATTATGTTTATTTCTATGCCCTGTAAATGCATTGTGAGCAAATTCCCTGTATGTGTTCACATACTTGGCCAATAAAGCTAAGTCTGACTTACAGACTATTTAAATTGTTAAACGTGTCATCGTAATTTTTATTGAATCTTACTGAGCGCTTCTTTATATATTTCTATGACACTGTTTGAATATTTAAGAGGTTTACAAGTACAATTCCTTGACCAAAACTGTTGGATTGTGTTTGAATTGTTGTACAAAACTCAACCTTTGTGTTTGTCTCAAGGGCAAAATATTGGAACCAGAGAAGAGAAGCGACATAATGTGGCGTTGGGCAAAAAAACATGTAGGAGTTGGACAGGCTGAGGATAACTTGAGCAAAGGCACAATAAAAATCAAGTTAAGACATCTAGGAACATGCTAAACATCTAAAGATCAGAGAATGTCTCAAAGCATTTGCATGAGCCCTGATGTCTGCCTGCCGGTTGTTTGAATAATAATCAGGCAGGAGCAGCTTCAGGAGGAGTCTGTTATGAAAGGGACATCAAGTGCTTCACTTTTTCACCATTGTGGTACAACTTCTCGTGGGGCATCAGCTGTGGTGCCTTAGCCACCGTTTACATGCAATAAAAAAGGATTCCTCATATTTAGTCAGGCCGGCATGTTTCCATGGTTACTGACCAGGGCTTTTCATACTTGATTCACTTCCTCCCACTAGAGCGCTCTTTTTATTTTTGGAAGACCTCACTGTGTTTCATTACACTCCCTCGTGAACATTACCTAATTTAACTCCAGTTTCTCCTCACGTGATTTCTTCTCCTCTTTAGGAAAAAATCCGGCTCCTCCTGTTTCCTGCTCGGTGCCACCGCTGCGTTTATGTCGCCCCCACAAAGCCTTGCTCTCTCAATGAAATCCAGACATACACACAATACTCTCGCTCTGACTCAAAGAAAACAACTCCTGGCTGTAGCTAGGCAACTCCAAATATGAGTCATCTCGCTGCCGCGCCCATCATCAACTGATCATCCCTCTTCTCCCCCCAACCCATTGACTGACACACACACACACACACACACACACACACACACACACACACACACACACACACACACACACACAGTCTCTTGTCTAGTTGTTACAAGATTTCAAACTGTGACGTTGTGTGTTTCATCTGCTCCTGCGGTGGAAAGACGGCCCTTAAAGGGGACAAACTGTGAGAACATTACCAGTCTGCCCTGCGTTGACAACGCCATGACCACAATGTGATGACTGATCATAGCCTCACGGACACTAATTATCATACGTTATACGGAGTTGGCAGTTGAACTGACACGGCTCTTGTTTTGGTTTGGTTTGGCCAGGTACGGTAGCGCACGATATGTTTTTTTCTCCTGGATAGGGGGAGAATCTAGTTTATTTAACTTTTATGAGAGGAATTTATTTCCAGGCCAGTGGGGGAGAACTGGCAATAAAGATTTCATTTCAGTTATCTAAAACCAAACCATGAAATGCAAAGGATTTGTGGGAGTTAAGTGGTCAACTATGACGTATTCCTATCAATCAGATGCGGTGTGCATTTTGACAAAAGGGAGATTATTTAAAAAGAGGGCAAAGGTCAAACAGGCCTTAAATATGTTTTGGAGTTGAAACATTTTTTTAGATAAAGAAGTCAACTATTCATGATGGTCACAGTATTAAAAAGATGAAAACAAGCTGTATCTAAAGATAAGAACTTATGAACAATGTGTGTGGGTGTGCGTGGACAGGTCTACATGAACTTATCAGTGGAAATGATTAGTGCAATGTAGTAACGCCCTCTGGTGGACAGGAATATAGATTATGTTCAAAGTTTTTAAAATGTACACTCAAGTGAGTACTAGATAGTAAGTGTACTGATCAAGCAGAAAATGACTGTGACCGATTACTCATTATATATTTTAATTGATTATTATGTAACAGAGCAGCTAGATCCCCCTAAATTCTAGAGGGGCAATCATTCAGAGGATCTGCCAGCAGTTCACAAACATCTGAAACAAGGACAGGACACTAGACAGTGAAGAGGCAGAATTTATCTCTAATAATGAACTTGTTTTGTTTCTCTTTTTGTTTTTTTTCATAAGAAATTACCAGATAAATGTTGTGGGGTCACAACACGTTAACATGTCCCTGGTGAAACAGAAGCATAACGTGATAATAGTAAAAAAAAACTATTTCAGTCAGGGCCCCTTTCGAGGATATAGGGACGTTGACCCCCCAACAAAACAATATGGTTGTTCCGTCTCAGTTTATAATTAATTACATTATAATCTTAATACTGCACATCAACTTACTTTTCCAGTTTCATTACATGATGTAAACATGCAGTTTACTTCAAATATTAAAATAGAAATTAGGTCACGACCCCCAGTTTGGGAACCACTGTGGGTTAGCACACGGGTAGATGCACTTAAATCAAGGTAAGTGGCGACTTGAATCCGTCTACGTCTACATACCTCTAAAGAAATCCGCACAAACATGTGAAATCCGCAACGGTTATACTCATAATCCGCTGCGTACTGCGCTCGTGCCACCTGGCTAATTAGCGCCAATTAGCGAACAGGTGTGTCAGCAGGAAGACTTCAAAGACACGCGGCGGGTCTCTCCGTCCCGGTGTTTTAGCGCGCAGACAGAAACGCTTTTCTGAAATGCATTTGAAACAAACGGGATACTGCTTCGGTGTCCTTCTCGTTCACACCGTCACAACTATAACTTTACCCCCGGTGGCCTCTGTTTATTCCCCACCGCCGAACTCTCACCTCTCACCTCTTGACAATGACCGCGGCGGCGGCTTCACGCCAGAAGGCCTCCCCCGACTCTCCCCCCGAGGGGGCAGAGAGCGCCCGAGGCGGGGAGGAGAGTCCGGACCTCTCCCGTATTTTCACAACTTGGAGGTCGGGGACCGCCAGCGGACAAAAACCTCCGGACTGACGCCCGAACACACCGTGACTTCTGCCGACAAAGGCTCCGGGAGCCGGAACGAACCGGAGCGACGCGACGGCCGCAATATGGACTGCGGCAAAGGGATGATTGAGCGCGTTACTCCCGGCAGCTTTTATATTACTGGTCCGTTCCAAAGCACGTGGCACGCGGGCCACCAGGCGGACCCCGCTGCTGCAGGTATGCAGGGCCGGTGGTGGGAACGTGTGTTCCCATTGAAGTAGCGTTAGGTTTTTATAAGAAAGGTATTTGTACTGGTGCATAGATATTGCATTGGACAAAAACGACACTTTCAATTTAAAATGCCATATTCTGCATAAGTGAATTTGATTTATTTTATTTCTACATATGCATTAGTAATTCATTGACAAATTCTGACTATATATATATATATATATATATATATATATATATATATATATAATTTGTTTCAAGTAATAAAAGTCACTGACTCCTCCACCGAGAAGCTTTATGTTCACAAAATATACAGGCTTTGTTCTCACTTGTGAACTCAGGATGTTACTTTTTCCTTCATTGCAAGATCAAGGAGGCCGGGAGGGGGTCGGAGGTCAGGAGCGGGTCGGAGGTCGGGAGCTCAGCGGCTATGAGGCGAGCTGGCAGAAGCTGCAGCCCGTGGTGCATTGTGGAGACAACGCCATGACCCTTACCGTCAGGAGAAGGCGAGCGGTACAACTCCAGCTGGGCCGAGGTGAGGCTGCAAACCACGGCAGCATCAGGCCTGGTGACGTCGTCGTATCGAGCTTCACTTTGGAGATGCAACACGCACAAAATAGCAGCAAATGGTGTGGACTCGAACCTTTTAAATGGCTTTTGTATTATTATTTTTGATTAGGGTTGTGTCTCTTTGTGTCTCAGTGAAGGAGTCCTCCGTGCCCTTCTCCCAGCTGCCGGCTCAGTGTGGCTACTCTGTTCACAGCACATGGAGAGACTTCAGTCTGACGGCCCCGTACGGTGCCTGCCATGTCACACAGGAGGTACGCTGTCCCTAATATATTTAATGTCTGATATAAATAACCAGATTAGACAACTCAACTATCTTGTCTTTGCTCATATTGTACATTGTGATGGTCAGAGCTATTGGGAAATTGACGTAGACCATTTCACTTTATTGGGATTTCGGTTTGCTCCATATAGTGTCTGTCTTCTTGAAGGAGACACAATCTTTTAGGGAGCTTAATATGAATCATGCATTACAACTGAGGTGACTCACTACGCTCTTATGTCATCTCATCAAGATGGTTATTTTTATAGATTTTCATGGAGCAATGAATCATATTTTTCCATTAATAAATGATTCAGCCAGCAGCAGCAGTAGGGATGTAAAATATTGCTGTTTGCAACATGTGTTCAGGACGGAGGTTATGCGTTGCCTCTGCTGTGGAGGGGGACACCGGTCAAGATGTCCTGCCCGGCCCCTCAGATGCAGCCTGAGGCCGCGGGCCCTTACGCTCTGTGCTGCTCCCTCCAGGGCATGACCGTTAAAGTCAAGGGACTCCATTCCACAGAGGAGCTGAGGGTAAATGGTAAAAACTAAATATCCCTTTATTTGCACTGTTCAGTCAGAATATATCGTAACCTTTTAGTTTTCCAGACTTTTAATTTGTTTTTCTCTGCAGTACGAGGGAAATGGAACCCTTTGGGGGAGTTGGCAGAGGTGTGTGGCTACACGGTGGACAGACGAGATGCGGACATTATCCTCGCTGCTCCATTCATGACGTGTGGTGTCACAGTCAAGGTGAATATCAGCAATTCGCAAGACCTTAAAATAACGTCCTCATGTTGCACAGTCTACAGTTAATGTTTTCATCAGAAATGACTGTAGAACAAGGACTTTATATTTTAAGTTAACTGTTAACTGCTACGTCTGAGGGAATCAAAACATCAAACTATGCCAAACTAAGTTTAACTTCAGGGGTAAAGGACGAAGATTAAAATAATTTAGTCAAAGAGTAACTATAGTGGTGCCCTGGTGGTCAGAAGCTAGGCCGCCATAATTATTCTTAAACTGTTAAATATGAATTTCCTTTACTTCCATGTTCAGACATTGATGATCTAGTTTCACCATGAAAGTCCCTTTCTCCTCAGGATGGAAAGTACACCCTTTCCCTTCAGGTGGGGGAGAAGATGTTCACCCTGGCCTGTCCTGTCTCTCCCCCTGAAGAACTCTCGCTGACCCATCAGCCTGTGGTCAACAGCCCCCATCTAACCAGGGGGCCAGCAGGGCACCTGCCAGAATCCCCGCTGGCTTTTCCATGGGTTCCACCTTTCTACCTGGCCCCACCTTACCATCCCCACCCTACATACCCCCTCAAGTATCCAAGCCCTGATGGACACGCTGCTGATAACCCTGCTGCTCCCTCATCTTCAACTCCCGACCCTACATTGGGTCCTCAGCCCCCCCCTGCTGCCGATCCGTGGACTGACGATCAAAACTACTTCCCCCAGCCGATCCCTGCCAGGGAGTCTGATCAACATTTTGCTGTCCACAGTTCCCTGTTGTCTACAGATGATGATGATGATAACGAGAATTCAGGTCGGGTCAATCCAGATCCACCAGAAACTCCCGTGTTGGGGGTGTCAGAGAGGTACAGTGCGACTCGTTCTCTCCGCTCAGATACAGGCTTACTGATACAAGGAGACTCCCCAACTCCTCTCCAGCCCCCCAGCCATGCCTTCAATCCGTACTATCACTACTACCATCATCCTAAAATCCCTCTCCCTGCTGCACCTAAAGACTCTGATCCAGGTCCTGAGTTTTCCGGAGAACTGACTTCAACTAATCCGAATAACCCTGAAAATCGTGCGTTTCCCCTCAACATGCAGCGGCCCGAGGCTCTCCGCACGATAAACGCACGCCAGTTCCTTCAGGCTGCTCCTCACTCTTACACACTTCCTACTAAAGCCTCTGCACCGGAAGCGCCTCCGCATCCTCCACAGCCCTATCCTTACCGCTCCTATTATCCGCCACATATTGCAAAGGTCGAGGCCAGAAGAATGGCTCCTCTCAATCCGGACGCAGCTGCAAAAAACAATTTGTCTGATCATCAAAACTCAAAGTCTAACGCCTTCATTCATCCACTTCCTTGCTCATCCTCTGGATACAACTTAAACATGAATACTGATGCAGAGCTGGATGATGGACGAAGACTACCTGCCCCGGCGGACCAACCGGCCCTCACTTACCCTCCACGACCGGATGCTGTTGCAGCGCCGCCTACTGACCAGCCCTCCTTCCCCACGCCGCCACCCTACCATAACCTCCCTTTCCCATACTACTACCACCCGTATCTGCACTATCACATGTACTACGGTCCTGGAGGCTCACCTAGCGCTGACAATCGCCCGTCTCAGACTTCCTCCTCGGACGCTTTAGAGAATCTTCCACCAGCGCCTTTCGCCCCACCTCATCGGCCCTCCTATCCCAATCATCAATCCACTACTCCCCCCACAAAATCAACAAATGATATTCGCTATCACCCTCTATATCCTTACTATAATTTCCATTATAACACTCAGCAACACCCATCTGATGCTTTTGGACGTCCTGCGGGTGAGAAAGCAGAGAGGCTGGACAGTGAAATGACAGGTGAAATACCAGCAGCTATTATTTTTAGCTTTTGGTATCTGTGTCTTGGCTTCAGATCCCCACGGGGGGGCAGAGCGCTGTTGTTCAGCGCCACCGGGCTAAAGGTGCGGCATCCGGCTGTAACCAGATACCTGAATGCAAAACTAATTCTTACTGTGTGAATTTGTCATCTCTCCTGCTGCTGAATAGAGCCATTCAAGTATAACTGGCTCTGCTCTTTGTTGGCTCTCTGCACTCAGATAAACTGAAGGCCACGCCGTCCACTCCCTCGCCCACGGGCCTTGGCACAGAATTCGACTGCTCAGTCTTCCTCGGGTGCTGCTCGTACCCTGTGAAGTGTGAGTGCCTCCCTCAGCACATCCTGTCAACACACGTCTGATACATTAATTGACAATGAACACATTCTTGGAAAGGGATGATTTATGTGTGGAGGCTTTGAGGCTGCATCCGCCCAAATCGCCCAATCAAAACATGTATTTGGCAGTTTCAGCAGACTCTTAAATATTTGTACTTTATTCTAATCATTTTGTGTGTGTTTGGCAGCAGCGTGTACAAAGGGACCGCATTTAATCCTTGCGCTGCCGGACTCTGTGCGGGAGCCCACAGTGCCCCCCCCAGCTCATCCGTCTCAGCGCAGTAATGGGTCCTGCACGCTGTACAAGCTGACCTCTGACCGTGACCTCTACGCCGTCCCCCTGGAGGGCTGTGGCGTTATCCAACACGTAAGGAACCCTTTCACATTCAGTGCATACGCAAAAAAATGAGGGCGACTTCCATCACGCCTGGTGGAAGTTATTCTACTGTGACGTGGCTGAATAGATGGAAGCGTTTCAGGGGACTGACTGCTCTCTGATCACTTGCAAATGATGAATCCTTTTTCTAATCTCGAATCCCTGTCAGGTGTTTGGTGAGACGGTGGTTCATCTGTTGGAGGTCCATGGAATCCACTCCCTCCAACGAGGCCACAGCTCTGAGCTTGTGAACTCTCCAGTCAGGTATGGCATTACTGTTTAGCAGTAAACAATTAGCAGAATCATGAATTCAGTGTTGGAGAACTTCATTTTCAAAGGGCATCATTCGTTTGGGCATGTTTTGTTCAGCTATACCGATTTACGGCACTTGTTTGGACTAGAATACATTTAAATTCCTTGCTCCTTCCTTGCACTATGTGGTCTTATCTGTCTGATATTCACCAACCGCCAAGTCAAATTTCTTGCGTGTCTGACATATTTTGGTAATGTTCCGGATCCCCGGTTTCCTACCCGATGACTCAACCGAGCATTTCCAGACTGCATTCTGTAAATGCAGTCAGAAAAATGGGATGTTGAGCCGCTGTACCCACTCCGTTGATTCATAGGTTGATGGTGGCATGTAGCGCCTCCCCGGGTTCTCCTGGTGAAGTGACACTCCATGTGATGGCTCAACCTCCTCCCGCACGCTCTCCACCAGCCGCTGTCACTGTGCTGCTGAGAATAGCAAAAGGTGAGTCTTCTCTGCTTTCGCTTTTTAAATGTCTGATTGCTACTATCGTGATACCGTTCCAATATTATCGCCCTCGTAGATGAGTCCTTCACTGGCTTCCACCCTGAGGCTCACCTGCCTCTCAGTCTACTCCGAGGGAGACCAGTGTATGTGGAGGTGAGCCTGCTGAACCCCCCAAGGCCCGGCCTGGTGCTGCTGGTCCACTCCTGCCTGGCTTACACTCGAGCTCCATATGCCAGCTGGATGCTGGTCTATGATGGGTATGTTTTACAGAAATTATTGTTTTTATTGCATTGTTGGTGGACCATGTCATTATAATCTTTAGATGCAAATATTTTTTTTATCTTTGCTTTCTTATGAAATATGAAGAGCCATCTGCAAAGTGCTGCACCGCTAATGTGCCCTATTCCAGAATAAAATCCCATATAAATGTAATAAAGGCCTCATCTGACGGACGCTGGCGTAAGGGTGTTAACCATTCTTTACGTCAATTTGCAACGCCTCCGTGACAGTTGGTATTACAATATTCATATAGAAATTAGGAATGCCCTTTTCATTCATCACCCCCGTCAAGTCCTCTTTCAAAACATCTTAAAAGCTAATCATTGTTTTTCATAAATTACTGCAGGAGAAATCATCAAAGTGAGCGACCTGAGGACTAACTTAAAACTTTGGACCGTTGCACCTTTTCCGTTCTGATTTGTTCAGCGGTATTCTATTTAGTGATTGTGATTACGCATGTGGCGATGTGGTGGTCAGCTGTCTAGATCGCAGTTATTCAGACCGGCTTCTTCCCCCACACCACGAACACCACCACATCCGGAGGTTCATCGTCTCTGGCTTCCTGTCCCTGAACTCACAAAGTCTCTCGTACGCGGTTGAAGGAGGACACGCTCACCCGCAGGACCCAGAGGTACCGCCCACTAAACATGCTCACACAAGTAAACATCTGCTGTCTTTGAACTGTTTGTGTGGCGCTATGTTCAGGCTACTGCAAAGACTCTCCACTAGGATGTCTTTCTTTTTCTCCCATCAGATCTACTTCTTGTGTTTGACAGAAGTGTGCTCTGCGTCACATGGTGACTGCACTGTAGGCTGCATCAACGGTAAGCTTTACAGTGGAAACCCAATAAAGTGACTGAGTGGTTTCACAAGGTTATTGTACTTCATTTAGTTTTTGGACTATAAATATAAACTCAGCAAAAAAAGAAACGTCTGACTTTCAAATGTTTTTACTTTCAGTAAACTTAATGTGTGTAAATGTTTGTATGACTACTACAAGAGTCTACACCATAAGACCTAAACTACAAATGTTTCACAGACATGTGACTAACAGAAATATAATAATGTGTCCCTGAATGAAGGGAGGCTCAAATGAGATCCGGGCTCTTTGCTGGCCATGGCAGAACACTGACATTGCTGTCATGCAGAAACTCACGCACAGAACGAGCAGTATGGCTGGTGGCATTGTCCTGCTGGAGGATCATGTCCGGCTGAGCATGCATAAGGGAGGATGTCTTCCCTGTACCACAAGGCATTGAGATTGCATGCAATGACAACCAGCTCAATCTGATGGTGATGTGATATACCGCCACAGACCATGACGGACACCCCACCTCCAAATCGATCCCGCTCCAGGGTACAGGCCCCTGGTGAGACAAAACCGTGACTCATCAGTGAAGAGCACTTTTTGCCGCTCCTGTCTGGTCCAGCGAAGGTGGATTTGGGCCCATAGGCGGCGTTGTTGCTGGTGATGTCTGGTAAGGACCTGCCTTACAACAGGCCTACCAGCCCTCAGTCCAGCCTCTCTCAGCCTATTGCGGACAGTCTGAGCACTGATGGGGGGGGGGATTGTGTGTTCCTGGTGTGACTCGGGCAGTTGTTGTGGCCATCCTGTACCTGTCACGCAGGTGTGATAATCGGATGTACCGATCCGGTGCAGGTGTTACACGTGGTCTTCCACTGCGAGGATGATCAGCTGTGCTTCCTGTCTCTCTGTAGCGCTGTCTTAGATGTCTCACCGTGCGGACATGGCAATTTATTGCCCTGGCCACATCAGCAGTCCTCATGCCTCCCTGCAGCATGCCTAATGCACGTTCACGCAGATGAGCAGGGACCCTGGGCATCTTTCTTTGGGTGTTTTTCAGTCCGTAGACAAGTCTCTTTAGTGTCCTGCGTTTTTAGAACTGTGACCGTAAATGCCTACACTCTGTAAGCTGTTACGGTCTTAACCACCCTTCCACAGGTGCATGTTAATTGAACATGCATGGAAAACATTGTTTAAACCCTTTACATTAAGATCTGTATTGTTGAAATACAGTCCTGAATAAGGGACGTTTATTTTCTTTTTTTGCGGAGTTTATTTTAAACTGTGGGTTCTAACTAGTTTCCTAGACATGATCTGCACAGATGGTTTCCTTCTTGAATATACAAATTTCCCTGTGCCCTTCAAAGAGCTTACTAACATGCCCCTAACTTTTCTTTCCTTGCAGGTCCTAAAAGTGAAGCGTGAGGAATGAAATAAACTCTTTAACACGGATGCACTAGTTTTGTTTCATGTGAATAACAAATACACAAGTTTTATTGTGGAGGAAAAGTCCTTGAGGGGACATTTATTCAAACGTATTAACAAGAGTGCAATGCAATAGTAGTACAGTAGTATTGGAAAAGAAAACATGACCCTCGTACACACACACACACTTGTGCCCTGTACACTTCTATTTGGTCCAAAAGGGTTCGGTGGAAACGTAAACAATACAAATCCCCTTTTTTTTTTTTTTTTTTTGGAATGTGAAGAAAGTGGCAAACCATCGTGTCTATACAGTCGGCTTAACTGTCTCAAAGCGTACATAATGACTAGAAAGCACACAAAATAAAAATCTTTGACATGAAAATAAAAGTTATGAATTTCAACAAATACGTGATCCAACTTGGGAAACCATTTAAGTGTTTATTGTAATGGATGAGCACAATGAGTGCATCGTTGCCATTTCCTCTTTCACATGTTGCAACAAAGGTGTCTGCAGTGGTGTAGCGGAACACAATGCTCAATAAAAAAAATTACGAAATGTGTAATGGCCGTTGTGGTTAAATGAATGTCAGATTACTTACTCTGAGCGCCATACTGGCAAAGCTAGACAGCCAAAGCAACACAAAGCTACTGTGTGACTTCACAACAGCTTTAAGGAAATGAACACTTCTAAACAGAATGGTTCTGTGCCTTAGCCTGTGTTCCAGCACTGGATGCTGTCTGAGCCACAGGAGGGTAATGGTTGAACACCCAAATCCTCTTCAGTACACAGTGGTATAGTGCGCAGTGATCTCCTGCTGGTTTCTCTTGGTCTGTTGCAGCAGGATAACGGCACAGACCAGGGCAATAATCTGTGATGCAGGCAGGGGGGAGAAGTAAAGAGCCAGGATGGAGTAGAGCCATCGAGTGAACCATTAAAACCACCACTGAATTAGAGCAACTTGGATGCAGCCACTTGTGTAAAGAAAACGGCAACACGTTTAGTGAAGTATATGCTGAAAGGAAAAATCCAACCCTGGATTATGTGTTTAACTGCATGAACGGATTAAATCAACTTTCACTGATGGGACAAGGAAAAAATAAGCTTGCAGCTAATAGGAGAACTTTTTTTTAGGTTATTAAAAATGCAAAACTAGAATGGGTACATATGTGTTCGCTTCATGAGAAACATTGCTTTTTATTCACCAATGTAAATTAGTCTTGAAATATCAGCATTTGGTCAATAACTTTCAAATTCAACATCCTTTTTGAAGTGCTGTTATGATATTGCCATAGGTCCTTAAAGGGTGGATGTTTCCTTTTTAAAAGCAAGCTGGAGACGCTTTGCAGTGAGCGCGCAAAGCGGTGCAGAACTTGTGCAGCTTTGAAGAGAACACAGCGACACAGTTCTGTTCTAGAGCCTCATGGGTTTCGAATTGAGCACATGTGAGAGTGGAACCCAACACAAGCGCTCTAGGACTGAACCATCGGGATGTTGGCCATAGAGAGGGGCGTGAAGACGACTGGGTCCTGGTCAAGGTAGGAAGGGGAGACCAATCCATGCAGAGACGGTTGAGGGTTAGACACCACAGAGGTGGAGTGAGCAAGCACGATGTACTGAACCGATGAGTTTGACAGGCCAATCTTTCTACTGAGGGTTGAGCTGCAAATAGCAGCTATGAGCTTCGAGCACAAAGGATGAGAATGAAAGGGTTATTAAATAAAAGAGGGAGGGGGCATTGGTCAAGAGAAAGCGGTTTAGAGGGATTAGAACACAGTCATACTTTATGAACAAGAGCAAAAAACAATTAACCTCAACCTTTTAGACTAGTCTTCAATAAAGCAAAAATGAGAGAGCGGCTAGCTGACTGTTTTTGAATTTCTTTTACAGTAACCGGAATATTTGTGGTGAGGCAGCTTAAAATATGGTTCCACTCCGAACAAGACTTACGACAAGTATAAACTGGATGTCATTCGAGTACTGCCTTTAGGTGCATGTACACAAAACATTTAATAAACGTTTGTGGAACGTTTAATTAAAAGCTAATTAGTTTGATAAACCATCTTGTAAAAGTATTATTCATTCATTCAGCCTATTTCTGCCAAACTTGAACTTTCTTTACAGCGAACTTAAGTATCGAAATGTGCAGCACGCAGTGCGTGGACTTACCAAAAGGGCCCCAGTTCCCACAAAGACGCCCATCACCAGTTGTGCTTTACTGTCATAGAAAGTCGCGATGATGGCGGGGCAGCCCTGTAGTGGCAACGAGACGGGAGAGACCGTTACAAGGTCCCAGAGCGGACAGAACACGCGTGTGAGGGGAATGCTAACGCGTAGCAACGCTCTGGCAACAACTCACAGGCATCTTGAAGTGCTCGAGGAAACCGTCGGGCGGGGGACAGGTGCTTTGGACCCACTCAACGGGCGCGATCCCGGTCACTCCACAGCAGTGCAGCTACACGGGAGCAGAGGAGCAGGTCAGAAGTAGATTATTGTTGTTTCACATTCTGTCATTAATTCGGAATTAAAAAGGGAGTCATTATGAATAAATGTGAAGAAATTGTCTAGAATATTCCAATGCAATAATTAAACAAATTATTTTAAATGATAAGGAAATGTTTTTAAAATGTCATAATGTCCTATTTTACCTAGCCTCTAAACAGTGAGATCAACTCTACTATTAGCAATAGCTAGTGTGGTGGAAATTGGATCAAATAAGGTAGAACTTTGTCTTTGTAACATTAACAGACTTCCGTGCAGACGGACCGAGCCGAACAGTTCAAGCAACTGCTCTGGAATTGGTACCGAGAGCATCTTAAGCAGAGTTTTATATGCATAAGGACATTAAATCAATACAGTCAGATACTCAGAGCAACAACTTCAAGCTAACGCTAGCTCGTTAGCTTGAAGTTGGCAGGTCGAACTCTCCTTTAGCAGGTTTTAAATGCTGCGAATGGGCCGCCGGCAGGTCTCAGTCCACAGGTTAGTACAAACTATCCCAACGTGGTCTCAGTTATTTGATGGCTGAGCACTTTAGGCTGCCTTGCCAGTAAAAACATTAAAGAAGAGTTCAGTTTGGAGCCAAACTATGTTTCCTTATCACATGGAAAGGGAGGAGATGCGAGTTCTGTGCTCACCGTATTGTGGATGAGACTGAGAGTGGCAGCGATGACCAGGTTGTCTTTGCTCGTCAGGTACAGCGTATACATGCTGGCGTAGAACTCCATGAATCTCGCTCCAACCTTATTAATACACATGAAAAGACATTACCATGAGGGTAAATATGGAGTATTAATTACGTGTTAATAACATCTCTGACAACTCTCTTACCGCGTTCCTGTTGGAATAACTGAGCACTCCACAGGCAACTACAGCCACCGCCAGGAAGGACAGAAGTCCGGTGAACTGAAAGGATTAGAACATCTCACGTTAATAAACTGATCAGAAACAGCATAACACACCATTACCTCCTGCTGTGTGCGTGTACAGGTACATGTGTTATGATCAGAGGGAAGAACACTTAACAGGAAGGTTATAGCTCACTAAGAGCAATAAGTAATGATTTAGAGCTTTTTGTGACATGTATAGGCAGATACACTTTTATGACACATGCAGATAAAAGGTAAAATGTGAAAACTGGTCACTTCGCAAATGTCTGCTGGATTACAGTCGCATGTTGCAAACAGTGTTGCGTGTTTGTGATGCGCAACGCTGGAGGAACGACTGAGCTCCCCCAGCAAACCCCGCAGAGACGGGACGAAGAAAAGAAGGAAGCACGGATGGAACTCCTAGTCAAAAGGTATCTTAACACGTGTGCATATTGAACGTATTTCAGCCCGACCGTCCAACAGAGAAGGTTGCACACTAGACTCGTTCTTGGCTCGGTCCAGAGCATAAACCCTGTCTGTTCCCGAGTTTGAAACCCTCTCAGGAGGGGACACTTTAGAGACACTACTTCCTACAAAAAAACACAGTTTACTGCGAGAGCCCCACCTCACTGCAAACATCTCGGCGGTCGATATTGAGCTGCGGGCGAAGGCACGTTTGTTCTTGCGGTTCCCTTGTCACGCTCTGTTAGGTTTCATGTTCCCTTCTGTTTGATCTGAGGCATCACATGGTGTCCCTTTCAATGAGCCGTGCCTATCAATATATCTACAGGCGTTGGTTAGGAGCAGCGGGGGGGGGGGCACATGGGGGCAATTGTAACGCACTCGATTCCTAAGACCAAAGGAAAGAGCGAGAGTGTGGCGCTTGTTTTGCACACGCTCGCTAGGATCGTGCCCGTCACTTTCCAGCTGCAGAGACCTCTGGTTTTAACTTCCTAGTAACGGTGTGCACCTTGTGACTGGCGGGTTTTTGTGATGAAACGACAGGAAATAAAAAAAACAGTGAGTCCGTTGCCCAACTTTACGAAGCGTATGAAGCCGTCTCTCACCACTTGCAGAGCGCATCTTTTCTCGTTGCAGGTGCCGTAGTCCCCGAAAATCACCACGATCAGCATCACCGAGCCGAGGACTATCAGGATGGTCACAACTGAAGACGAGAAACACAGATGCGGAGTTGAATACCCACCAGAGGCTAAACAACGTGAAGAATGACACACTTCATCAGACGGGAAGGCACCGACCCGTCACAAAGGCACTGGAGTTGAGTTCCTCTATTTGGAAGATGGCTCTGGTGCTTTCGCTGAACCTCAGCCACAGGCCGAGGCCCAGCAGGGCGCAGCCCAACACCTGCCGGAGACAACACAAACACCACATCAAAACCCCAACTGGGGACCCCCCCTCTTGGTTTTATTACGTACTGGTGGTTTTCAGGCAGGGGAGGGAGGGGGCACGAAACTTACATAATAAAATACATAATAAGAGAAATAATACATTACTTAAAGAAAAATACATATGCCAAGTAAAATTGGAGATATCATTTTTTTTTCTTTCTTCTTTTCTTCAGTATCGTGATCTGAGAGACTTACCGCAAAGATGAGGTTGAAAATGATCAGGACATATTTGCAGAACAGGCCACAGCCATCCAGAGCCATGACGAGGAGCTCGGGGAGGTGGGGGGGCTTCGGAAGTCTGTAAAGGTGTAGTAAAGGGATTAGGTCACCTCGTCTTTGCGTGAAGGAACTGTTAACACGTCTAAATGTCTCGAAGTTGGTCACTACGTTAAACGCCAGCCGTGCCGCGAGGTCAACAATAGATACCTTGATTTGTTGGAGGGTTCTCGGTCTCTGTCCGCTGGCACGGCGTCTGGAGAAATCAACGACACGTTTTCCCGAGGCTGCGTGCTTCTTGTACAGTGACGGCCCGCCTCTTTGACTCCACTCGGTCCGTTCATTGGACGCGAGGCGTGACCGACGCGAGGTGACACCAATCAGCCAGTAGGGCCGAGTGCGAGCAGGGAGGTAAAACGAAAGTTAAGGAAACGAGAGTTGGGAGCTCGTGAGGGCAGATCCTTTTGTGCGGGATGTCAGTTCATGTTTGAATTTCCAAACTATTTCGATGGTGTATTACACGATTTGTAGTTGTTTATCATGCCCAAATAAAAATGTATATATATATGAAAAGACCGGTGGACGTTTTAGAATCTTGGAATTGTGAAACTTAAAAGCCAGCTGAGAACAGAAACAGAAAATAACAGTAACCGGAAATAAGTTGCGCCAACACACACACACACACACACACACACACACACACACACTCAAACACAAGTGAGACAAAAGCACCACATGAACAGTTTATGAATTACAGCCATCACGACACAGTCGAGACGACTGAGGGGTTTCTCATCGCTGTCACTTTTTATCATTTGCACAATACACAGTACACATACCTTTAAATGTATTTTGGAGCAAGAGATATATTATATATATAATATTAGGACTCGTAAGCACAATGAGAGTAGTGCATGTATGTGTGCGTGCGTTACTCACGGACATGATCATATATCATTGGCTTATAATGGGTTAAATAAGGGGGGTGCTAGGGGGCATTGAACCATTCAATGGTTATCGTGCAGTTGTTAACCACAGAAGTGTTCATGACGACATACCCTGACCACATCCTCTGCACAGATGCTTTGTTTTTCTCGGTGCAGAGAATAAACTCCAACGGTACTTCTTTTCTCAAGTTTCTTTATTTCAGTATCATAGGACTCTTATTTTACACACAGTCTTACATTTATTCAACCCTTTGTACAAAAGTCTTTGTTCCTTATGACGTCGGTTGGATTCAAGTGGGGGGATTGGCTGTTCCATCCCAGCAGCTTTATCTTGCGTCTCTGAAACCCATTAAGAGTTTCCTTGGCTGTGTGTTTGGGACCATTGTCGTGTCGTTGAAATGTCCACCCTTGTTTCATCTTCATCATCCTGGTAAATGGCAGCAGATTTTTATCAAGAATGTCTTGGTACATTTTTCCATTCTCCCTTCCTTCAATTATAGGAAATTTGCCAGTGCCGTTTGCAGAAAAAATGTTCCCACCTTCAAACCTGTTGGTCTGGTGTTTTGGGGGGGATGTGCAGTGCAATTTGACCTCCAAACATGGTGTGTATTATCGTCCACAAGTGGTCCTTGGCTCTTGGACAACTCTTCTCTTAATTATTTTCTCTCTATCAGAAATCTCTCGAGGAGCACCTGGTCGTGGCCGGTTTATGGAGAAATTATAATCTCACTTCCGTATTATGACTTTCTATAAGTGACGCAACGCCATCAGGATGTTTTGCACCAAAAAGGTAGCAAAGGTCTTGCGCAAGCTCTTTGCTCTTACCCTTCATGTGGGACACCATGGTAATGAGACACCTTTTTATAGGCCATCAGTTGCGACTGAATCAGATGATATACATTTGCATGACAAGGGGCAGCAGTGCTTTCTTATTACTGTTAGATTCCAGCTCGTGTCTTGGCTGTCCTTTCTTCACCTTCCTTTCTTCATGTGTTCACTACGTTTCCCCTGGTGTCATTCCATTTTATTGCACATAACTCAATTTCTGTTTTTTTTATATTCATGAATTAATTACGACATCTAGTGAAAATTTCATGTCAACAGCACCTTTAGAAATATATTTACTGAGAAAAATGTTGATGTGTTCAATACAGACACATTCATTTGAAAAGCTCAACATTAACAGGTTTGGGTGTGTTGGTTTGGTTCCTGGATAACTTGGTTTGTTAAAACCACACACGCTAAATACACGAGAAATTAAAGCGGAAAACAGCGATCTGTATTAATTTATATAATCAGGACGTATGGGAGTTGAAACACTCACCAAACCACTGCTTGCACTTCTTAAGATGAATCTGCTGACAATTTAAACGCGTCTATGAATTATATGACGCTTCAGCCCAAGGTTACAGCTTCAAGTTCCCTGTTTAATTCATCTAAGATTATACGTTCACTCTTCAATTTGAGAGGCTGAATTTGGCTGCCGGACTTTTCTGCATGAAAAATGACTGAAATGAATTGATCATTTAATACTATTACGTTTTCTGTTGATCAACTAAGTTCCTCAGGTCCACGCTGAACATTTATGAAATATGAAGCTTGTTCTTCCCGTCTATGAACAAAGAAACCCTCAGTAACCGTTAAAGTGTATGATGTCCACACAGGTACTGGGGGGTATTTTCCCCCCACGGTTCTTTTAGTGACCCGTGGTCGCCGTGCAAAAGAGAGTAATGGCTTCCGCCACCTGTCACAGCCTCCATCAGGTAAACGGGTGTCGGTGTGCAGTGATCTGACCTCCCTGGCGTCCATCATCGTTGGGTTCCCTGGGTGACGGAGGGACGGGCGGCAGGAGAGAGACACAGGTTGATAGAGTGAGTGCATTCAGAGGGTGAGGAAAAAGCATACACACACACACACACACACACACACACACACATTACACTCTCAGATTCTCATATGCACACATTTTCACACCTGCGGCCCGCCTAAAGTGACAGCAATCATCTGAAGTGAGGTTTCAGAGCAGGTTTTTATTACATAAGTGTGTGTGCATGTGTGTGTGTGTCGTAGCAGCCACAACAGCCTTTATTGCACCTTTCCACTATGAACCTTTTACAGACAGCGGCAGGCGGATTTGATTACTGCTGCTTATGTATGAATTGTATGACAACAATTTCACTGGAGAGGAGTGATTTTCTCTCGTTGTGGGTCCGCCTCTTGCTTCAGACGCTGTGTCGTTTCAATCCCACTAGGGGGCGCGAGACCATTAGAAAGCATGGCTGTGCTTTACTTCAGTCCCTCGAACTATTTAAACAGGAGCCTGCAGGAGGCGTCTGGCTGCTGTTCTTCAATCACGTTTTATGTTGTATGTTTTTTTCGTCATGAAATTCTTCGGTTATTTAGTCATATAACACTTCTGCACGTGCTCCAAAAATACACACACCAAAACCGCTATTTTAATTGTATCATCAGAATTGACAATCACTGACACTCCAACGCGAATATATTAAACCATTTCCATATCTGACAGGCCATTGTGTTCTTGTGAATGTAAAGACACACCGGATATTATTATATTGTGTTATGATAGCGCACTGCAGTCAATAAATACACGTATAACCCACCTGCTTATTCATACAACATGCATTATTAATACTGTAGGCCTATTCTAGATAACTACTTTATATTCCACATCTTTTCATGCCACATCCACGCAGCACATTCAACTTGTTGATATTCACTTCTCTCATTTTGGAGCAAAAATAGAAAAATATTTGACATTGCTGCGAGGCAGTAATATGGATCCCATTCAATTCTAAATTGGTTTAAACGTTGTAATCGTGAAAACAGTGGAGGAGGGGGAGCTGTGGTGGGAATGAAGGAGGAGGGGGGGTGGGAATAAGGAGAAGGAGACGCTGGAAAACGCAGACCTCAGACCAGCCAACCCCACGGCTCCGCTCCCGGTGCCCTTGGAAAAATCCGACCGCGGATCAGCGCCGCCGGGATCACCTCCACGCTACGAGCCGCAGCTCAGGAGCAGAGGGAAGCCAGACGCATCCGCAGCAGACCGCGACGAGGGATCGGACTCCGTGACGAGAAGGCACCGGAATCAAATCGGGGAGGGGGAAAAGAAAAAAAGAGGGCTGGTAGGAGCAACGCAGAGGAGTTCAACGACAAAACAAAACAACAACAACAAAACAAAGAAACACCCAGTAGAGAGGGACCGAGAAGCTGCACCGCGAAGCTAATTTGCAGCCTTTTCCTGTTCCCGGCTGCGGGAGCGAGCTCCTCGAGCCGCGTTTATCCACGGAGCTAGCGGAATGTGCTGCTAGCAGGCTAGCCGAGGACAGCTAGCTAATTAGCTCGTCGGGCATCCAGGAGACGGACGTTTGATCTTTGGTGAAGAAGGGCACCGTTTGGCGTCGGCTTTTTTTTTTTTTTTTTTTAGGTGGGGAGGAGGTGGAGAGCTGTACTTTAATGCGTTTTGTCCAGAACCCCGGCATAATGTTCTGCCCCCAATAGCCCAACGCCAAGTTAGACAATAAACAGAACCAGCTGCCTTTTTTTCATTGATGTGAACCAGTTCTTTGGGAAGAGACCAAATCCACCGTGAGTATCGAGCTGCGTGGACGAGTCCAACGGGGGGGGGAAGAAAAGAGAACAGACTTTTGACTGGTGACCGTCCGCCGTCCAATGTTAATGTCGACCGACGTTGCATCCATTCTGCTGCCCGTTAGTCGGGGAATAATGGAGCGAGACATGGACACGGCAGCGGCAGCCCTCGCGAACGCGGCCGGGGGTCCGGCAGCCGTCCGCGCGATGAAGCGAGGGGACCCGGAGCCCGACGCCCAAACAGCCGCTGCCCTGAGCGACTTGGCCGAGGCGGAGTGCAAAAGAGCCCGGATAGACGGCGCCGGAGGTGTCGTTGGCGACATTGGACAGGTAAGAACGCGCGCGCCTGCACGGTACCTGTGCGTCGTCACGTTGCCATCACAGATCGTCACAGCGCGAGCAGCATTGTAACAAAGTACCACCCGCTCACCTTCCTCTCCTTCACTAAAAGCTTTTGTTCTCAAGCATCAGCAGGGAAGGATGGTGTTATTTTTGACTCCCCCCCCCTGCCCCCCCACCTTCATCTACAACGTAATCATGTATTATTGCAGCAAGTAGAGCATCTTTTTCCTGGACCCAAATTAGAGCTTTGTGAGGTGTGACGATAGTGAAAAGGTGTCTCGCGGTTCTTCCCGGAGGAGCCCGGCCGAGGCAGACAAAAGGTAACACGATACGGGCTCCATTGCTGTGACAGGATCCGTCCGGGGGGAACCGGGGCTCCACCCGCCGCCCCCTTTCTTTGTCGTTCACGTGGATCAGATCGGTCAGACTTGGGATGCTGATCAGGATTTACAGTGAGGCATCACATCCTGAAACATGTGTGCCTGCCCCCCCTTATTGTCGCTAGGTGTTAGAAGAGAGAGGCAGACAGGGATTGGGGGAGGGGTCACCCCAGTGAAAGACAAAGAACAGCCTTTTGGTGGTGGCTGAAGGAGCCAGGGGGCTCAAGGGGAGAGGGGGGGGTCCTTATCCCAGGTCTTTCCCCAGGACGGTTGCCATTCCCGTCTCTACCTGGCTGACCTGTGCAGATTACAGTAAACCGCAAGTGCTCAGGCACGGTTGGGGGGTGGGGGTGGGGTCTCTCATAGGATCTATTACTATTTATGCCTCCCCCTCTGTCTCGCTCGCTCTCATGAACGCATGTACTACCCCTCTCGTTCTTACACCTACGCTCGCATGCTCTGAAGTGTCTATTATCCAACAGCACGAAGGGGGATTTTCATCTGTACTTCTTAGTCAAAGGGCAGGCGGACGCAGGTAATTCAATCCGGGGGGGGGTTGGTTAAATACAAGTATTGTGTTCGGCTGACCTGCTGCAGTGACCAAACAAGGACCCTCGTAATGCAGCGACGCGGGGCGAGCGTCCCAGGAAGATTGATGCCGCTCACGTAGATGGGATGCGGGCGGGGGGGGGGGGGGGGGGGGGTTACAGCTCACGGGCAAAGCTGATGTGACAATGAGCAGCTTGGCATTGGGGATGGTTCTCGCTGCCCATCATTAGTATTGATCGGCGGGCCACAGGGGGTCAGGCTGGAAATGGGACGGAGCGGAGACACGAATGGATGGAGGTAAAGGATCGCTGGGTGCAAATAGGAAGAGAGAAGGTGGGTTTGGGGGGGGGGGGGCAAAGAGCAATAGAGAGTGGGGTTCTGAGTGGACACTATTTGGGGGAATTGTAGGAGACAAATGTGTCCGAGAGGGACAGATGTGGACGAGAAGGACAGGTCGGGAGCCAGGAGACAGAGCGGACAGGACGGAAATCTGAGCCGTTTGCATCCAGGGTCTGGTGCTAGAGGATAAGAGGGAAGTGATGGATGGCGGGGGAAGAGGGGGGCGATAAGCAGCAGGATAGGCCCTGAATGATGTATTGTTTAAAAATAAAAACTTATTGCAAAGGGTAAATAAATAAAAAGGGGGGGGGGGGATAACATTGAGGGTGGTCCCATCAAAGAACTCGTTTCCCACAGTGCTCCCCACCGAGGCCCGGAGGTAGTGGATAGCCGACTGTAAATCAAGACTGTAATAATAAACCAGAGTGCGGCTCGTCACTCCTTTTGTTGGTTCGCCTCTCCTCCCCCCGCTTTGCCCTCCCCCCCCTTCTCCCCCGCTCCCCTCTAGCTGCCCTCTGATTTCTCCCCCAAGCATATTTCCAGATTGCTAATTGACTCCTGGTTCACAGGCTTTCAGTGTGCCAGGGAGCCCCCCCCCCCCCCCCCAACACACAGCCACACTCTCTCTCTTTCTCTCTCTCTGCTGCCCCATTGGAGATGGGAGGGGGTTGGGCATTTTTGATTATCTCTCCCTCTCTCCCCATCTCTCCCATCACTCAAATCGCTCCGCCATCCACGTCCGCCTGCTCTCTTGTTTTCCTTCCTCCTCCTGCTTTCTTTTTGTCCCGCTCCTTGTTGTGGTATGATGCGTCCCCCTTGGGGCAGTGCTGCGGACCACTCTGATGCAGTGGGAGCACAGTTTATAACCCCCCTCCCCACTCTCTCTCTCTCTCTCTCTGTTAGGGAGAGCCGATTTGCCCTATCGATGGAGGTAAAGAGGCTTTGTATTGCGCTAATGAGATCAACGCTCATTTAGGAGATGGCATTAACCAGAGCGATCGCTTTAGGGGCCAAGAGCAGAGGGAGGGGGGGCAGGGGGTGGGTTGATAAGAGCGGACGCACCACTGAGATTGGGTCGTACCAGACAGGGGGTGGGTTTCGGTTCCAGGAGGCCCACCACGAGCAGCTCTCCGCACGCGGAATGAGACATTGAGTCGGTCACGTTGGTCCCTAATGGACACGTGCTGCTGCTGAAAGTCTGATCAGAATCACTGTGTCATGGGTCTTTTTCTCCATGGCGATAAGTCAATGGCACCCAGATTAAAACTTAGCTTCTGCGACTAAATGTATAAAAAACAATCCTGTGGGATATAAATATAAAATTATTGTTTTGATACAATTAATTCAGTAGAGGTAAGGCTGTTCTTTCCTTCCTTTTTTCTTAGAATTGATTTCTAAATTCCTGCATCAACAGCTGTAGACCTGCAAAAAGGTGTCATTTTAGAAATGATTTTCACAACTGTAAATCACTTAAACAAACGTTACAACGTCAGTTTATCAGTTCGCTCTTCTTGTCGGTAATTTATCATTATTATATCATGAATCAAACGTTGAAAAGCGGTGAAACTAACCCTGGCTCGCTGTCGCTGATCACTGCGACCCAGCGGGGCAACGCCCCCGTAGCCGCGTCGCCCCATTATTCCCAGTGAGCCCGGTGGCCCCTGCAGTTACCCACAGGGCCCGAGTGTCAAGGAACGTGCACGTAGAATGTCACGGCGGCCGCACTGATGTGGGTTAATATTTGTTGGGGGGGGCTTTATGCTGTTTAATGAGTGCTGTTGAACTTTGAGCCGCAGCACAGCAGAGTCACCCTTGACTTTTAAACCGCTAACGATAAGCTCTGAGTCGCTCTTCTGTTTTCTCTCTCTCGCGACCGTGCGCCCCCCTCTTCCTGCGTACCCCCCCCCCCCCCCCCCCCTCTATGTGTACCCTTGTAAAGCTGCTTTCAGCTCCTTAACGTGACACTCCCATGTAAACTCTCCCTTTATGGCCATCGTGTCACACCCAGCACCCTGCATGCCCCCCCCCCCTCCCCTCCCCACGGCTGCCCCCAAACTGTCACATGTGCTCCCGTCTCCGCCCTCACGCCGAGTGAAATGTCAATTTCCCTTACATGGGGGGGGGCGGGTCATCTGTGACCGTGTTGTCACAGCTGCCACTGAGTCACACACGAGGACGGTTGAGCTGTGAGGCCTGTACCTGGATTTCATTCAGCTGTTTGGGATGTTTAGTCGCCCCCCCCCCCCCCCCCCCGACTCCAAGCCCGAGGTTGATGAGTACTTTGTAAAGAGGGTCGGCGGGCGCAGAGAACTCTCGACGTGACGCGTTTATCATCAGACGACTTTACTCCGCCGATTTTGCCGGAGCGTGAAATGAAGAGCTGGTTCCACTGTAACACAACGCGCGCACACCAAGTGAAATAATTAGAGCTGACAACAATGAAGCAGCTTATTGGCCCAAGTTTACGGGGCCGACTCCTCTTCAACAAGACCAAGTGAGACTGGAAAAGAGTGAAGTGCGGCTGGTGATTAATAACTGGCACCGCCCGGATGTTGTGACTCACGGTAAAAGATGTTTATTCAGAGAATGTGGTTTGGAAAGTACTTGACAATTTGCATGTTTATTTTTCTGTAATTATCTTCCTTTTAAAAAATGTAGATTCCTACAAGGAAAAAGAAGCAGCGCGAAGGCGGCTGCTCCCTCGTCACCTTATTGAATATGAAATGAATGAGGAGTATTTTAACAATTCGTGGTCATCGGGAGTCCCCCCCCCTCCCCCGTCAACAACTGGACACACACACACACACACACGTCACTCAATGCAACCGGCCACATGGGTTTCAGATTGGTGTCTGGAAAGATAAACAGAAGCCTCCAGTGTGAGTGGAAACACACCCGTCCGTTTCGCCTTTCTCAACCCCCCCCCCCCCCCTCCACCTCGGCCGTCTCTGTCCGTCTTCATGTCCCCAGCTCCTCTTCACTCCTACTACTTAGGATTCTGCGTTTCACTGACGGCTCCATTTGGACCCTGAGCCCTGATCTGTTGACTTGACTTGTGCAATTTGCCGTCTGATTGGGAGCCAAATATGCAAATAATCTCCCGTAACACTCGAGAAACGACGTTTCCTTGCTGTGTCTCACATCCTGTGACGTCACCGTGATTCTGGCTCTTAGATCAGCATCACACCTTCTGTTTGCGCCACACTACTTTTTGGTTCTGGATATTTTGAGTGGGACCTTTGTGCATTTGCTGATGAGATTTGAGACCGTACTAAAGAGGAACATCGGCGCAGTCTTGGAGAGAGGGACCACCTCCCCCCCTCTCTCCATCTGTTGACCTCATGTCATTTTGCCTTCCTCCACCACCGCTGCTCCCCCGTTCTCCCCTCCGCCGGCCCGTTTGCTCCGGCGACTTCCCCACTTCTTTCCTTCTCCTAAAATAGCAAGTTGGAGGGTGAAAATAAACAAGAGCGACGCCCTTTACTTTTGCCCTCCGCAGAGTCGGAGAGAGAGTGAATGTTCATGTGTGTGTGTGTGACTGTTTTTCTGTTCGTCTGACGCCAGCCGGCGCCTTCAAAGGGCTCCTCCTCGCTCGCAAAGCGTATGGAATTAACTTAAATGGACACTTGCAGAAGTGCAGCAAGAAGGCCCAGCTTTCAGCCGGGACAGGCTCGCTGCAGCATGTCGCATTCATCTCTGCTTTATTTATTCTAAATGAAAGAAGAAATGGCATAAACGGCGCTGCCTTTCATGACACGCAGGCATGTAATGTTCTTCCAAAGCGACTCCACAGACCTCAAGCGTGTGTGTGTGTGTGTGTGTGTGTGTGTGTGTGTGTGTGTGTGTGTGTGTGTGTGTGTGTGTGTGTGTGTGTGTGCAAACCAGTCTCTGGAAAAGAAAAAAACTAGGAATCAAGTTCAGAAACCCCGCTCTCCTCCCCCACCCCCTAAGAAAATATAAGTCACATGGCATTCCTCACTTATGACTCATTGTCTCCGTCCTGCGATGTTTCGCTGCTTTTATATTTCTCTCCCCTTTTCTCTCGGCATCGGCCGTCTTATTCCCCGCATTCCTCCGCCTCGCGCGTGCGTCCCGCTCTGCCCTCATTTTTTGTTCTGTTCTTTCTCTTTTTCCTCTTGTCCTACCAGGACACCTCCCCCCCGTCTCAACCCTCCCCCTCTCTCGCAAAAAGATTGATTCCAGAAGGTGCTAACCTTCACCCTCCTCCCTCTCGTGCTCTGTGAACCCAAACTCCATCCTCTTTTTTCACCGTGTCTAGCCTGTACGACCCCCGAACCGAGAAGAGACTATAAATTCATGCCCGGGGGAAGAATATTTCTCTCACCAGTCATTATTATTTTTTTTGTTGGGCTGCCTTCACCCTCACAAAGGCCATTAAAGGCTGCGTGTTGTGTGCGTTTTGCCGCCACAGAGCAGAATAGTCACAGTTTCTCAGCGGCTTTGCCCCCCCCCCCCCCCCCCCCCCCCACCACTGGTGAGCACCGAAACCGGATCCAGTCCAACTTTGAAATAAATCTTCCAACCTGCACCTTTTTGTCTGAAGTTAGTTGCCGCTGCCCGAGGCTTTGGGGACGCGTGCGACGGCGCGCCAACCAGCGTGTCCACGCCGCCTCTCCATCTGCGCCGCGCTGAGCTCCGCCAGCGTTCTCCATCTTGCTGCCTGGAGGCCCCGCCGTGGAGAGCGTTCCCCCCGGGGCCGAGGCATGAGAGGAGCGGGGGTGGGGGGGGGCCTCCAGATGAAACAGGAAGTGGAGAGCGGGGACAAAGAAGGGAATGTTTGAGACAGGGAGATGGGGGGGGGGGGCGTGGGGAGGGGGGGCAGCTGAAGTTTGGGATGCAAATACACACCCACACGCAGAGATTACTTTTATTTCTCCTCCTAAGCTATTGTTTACACGCAGGCCATCTATGTAACCTCTCATTGCCTTCATCCTGCCCGTCTAGGCCCCCCCCTTGTTCATCTGTGCCCCCTCACCATCTGTCCTCGTACAAAACCAGTCCAGCTCCCAGTGTCTGGAAGAGTTCCACTGCGTGAGGCGGCGCTTCCGGATCGGCTTTGATAGCTGCTCCGTCTGTGTTTGGACAAGAGCGTGTGTCATTCCGCAGTCCCTGCAGTCCCTCCCCCCCACCTCCAACCCCTTTTGCCCCCGATTGGCTGAATGAACGCAATCAGGAAGTGCTTTCCGAAGGAGGCAGCTAGAGGTCACGGCCAGGAGGTTCATTCAGTTTGACCCTCAAGGGCCCAAATGCCCCCCCCCGATGGCGGCGGGGGTTACGCACGCCGCCCACACTCCTGCCGTTTGCTGAATGGGGGCTCGTGGCTTCAAAAACCTTTCGCCTGCTCCTCAGTCCTGCAGAATAATGTGATGAAAACATCAGCTGTTCTGCGGGGCTACCTCCCCCACCCCCCCTCCCCCTACACCTGCCCCAACACATACACACAGCTTTCTTCCCCCTCCCCCCCGTCAGACTTTGTCCCCCTCCCCCTCCGCGCCTCGAGAGACTCACCCCTGAAGGAGAGCAGAGGCACGAGGCCAGGCTACATGTGCTGGTATCATCTCTCTCTCTCCATCGCTCTCGCTGCTGTCAAAATATCAATGGTTGCTTAACTTTCCCCATTGTTCCATTGCCCCTCCTGCTCGCCCCCCTTTGTCTTTTCTTTTGCCCCCTCCACTCATTTTAGAGAGAACAATGGCCGCTCTCGTCGGGGCAAAAAAAAAAAAATGACACAGGGGTGAAAATAATAGTTGGAGAGAAGAGAGTCAGAAATAATCTAATTAAAAGTAATTACAGAGCAATTAACCACAACACTGGTTTCTGGGGCAGGGTAGTAGAGGAATGGGGCGGGACTTATCTATCGGGTTCTGATTGGCTGGCTGGCTCTGCCGTAGTGGTTCACCAGTCTGCTGCTCATAGCTTCATTCCTCTGTCTTTTTTCCTTCAGCGAAGCGTCATCTCACCTCGTTTGAACTCAACGAGCAGTTTATTTTTTCAACTCGTGGCCTCTGGAAAAAGAATAATCCTGTATCCATGTTGATTTTCTTTTGAAGGGTTTGTCCCTCGAATATTGTCCCAGCGTTTGGCTGGTGTTTGTTTCTCCTGACCGGCGGTCAATTGGACGTTTAAATTATAGGGACAACATTTTTCCTCCGCTTGCTTTGAAAAGCAGCGAGGTGGAGATGTTTGACTCGGACTACATTTCATGGCGACTGTCATTGCTGCATCCACTCATTTTTCAAAAAGCCCAGCCACTTACACCGCTCTCTTCCCCTCCTGTTGTCTTTTGCAGAACAATGAGCCTTTAAACCCCGGTTTCCATGGATACCCACCTCACAGTCAGGTAAGAGATTAGTGATGGCTTACAAAACATCCGTAACGATGAATGCTAAAATAGTGCAATACATAATCCACGTTTCGCTTAAGATAGTTTTCAGCCACCCGGCCTCCTTTTGAAATGCCACTAATGATGATGCCGTAGAAAACGCCGACAGACATCTGCAGCTCCCTCAATAGATGCTGTGGGTGTAAAACCACAAACCCCCGATGCATTTACGGTCCTAAAACAGAATAACGTAAATGCGTTTAGGTTCTTGGCCGGGGGAAACCAGTGTCGTGGTGCGCCTGAGCCCCGCCGGCGCCATCATCACCACCTCTGTGAAGATCTGCTCTTTGTATTTCTCAGCACACAAATGATGGCTGAGGGTAGAATTGATGAAAGGAAAATCTCGGAGGAAATGAGCTCCTCCTATCAAAAGGCTTGACCCCCCTCCAAAAGAGAAAGTAGGCCTAACCGCCTTCTTCAAACTAAGCTGCGCGCGCTGTGTTTGCGGCGCCGTGTGCCGATACCGCCTCTATCCCCCCCCTCGCTTCAACGCGCCTCGCTCTCCTACCAAGTGTCCCCCGGTGCAGGCGGGCCGACACCTTCCTTATCTACCTCCACGCAGCAGGGCGCGTTGAGCGGCTCAAAGCAGCTCGCCGTGCGTGTGTGTGCGCGCGCGTGTTTTCTGTGTTTTGGGATGTGCAGCTCTCTGGCAGTGCCACAGGAGGGAGGTGTTGGTCTGCGGGGCCCCGTTCAGCCCGGTCCTCCCAGCCCAAATCCCAACATGGCAGACATTCACAGGTCTCATCCCCGCTCATGTTATTATCCCCCCGGCCCCCTCCATCGCCTTCCCAATCCTTGGTATCTCCTTTTGCGTAAACTCAAAATAGGCCAACTGATTGACTTTTGTGAAGTTAAATTTGTGTTACTTTTTCCTCCCTCGTGTCCAGTGTTTGTTGATCTCGCACTGCCCCCAAATAAATAAAGATTGCTAGAGCGTATGTAAAAAAAGGAGATGAGGCAGAGAAAGGAGAGCAGAGGTGAAGTTAATCGCTGGCTTGTAGGACCGTCGTGGGGGCAGAGAACACGGCTGATCTGCGGTACGTCTCGACTCCACTTGTTAAGTCCTCTGTTGGACTCAAAGCCGCCGCACGCTGCCGCTGCTGCGTTTGTTTAATAAATGATTTAGAAAAAGTCCTCCCTGCTTACTGCAGTCTGCCATTGAGCGCACACGTTAGGAGACTCTGGCTGCTGGTTATCATGCAAATGGTGCTGTGTGTGTGTGTGGGGGGGGGCTAGCCTGGGCTAACCCAGCCGCCGGATAGGCTCGTCGGTTTGCTGCAGTACATTTGTCTTGGTAATGCTCCTGTCTCCCGTTTATATATGCATGTTGGAACTGCCTGCAGGTCCGCGTGTGTCAATACCACGAGTGTGTTACGTGATGACAGGCTCCTGTGGGTCCCTGCTGCTGCACACTGAGGGGGAAACGGTTGTGTTTGCACGTGTCCATTCTGACCCCGGAGGCACTGCGGGTCAGCGTGCCTCTGTTTAGGTCACAGAAAAGATCGGGGATGACGACAAACACACATGAAAACGGGTCATAGAGGCTTCGGCTTCTTTTAGCAGCGGCAGCACTGTAGTTAAATCTAAACTCTGAAATGTTTCTGGATTCTTTCTGTAGACAAGTGAAGATCCAGCTATTGATCATCAGTAGATGTGTGTGAGAGAGCGGCAGCATGAATACGATCACAGCACACAATGTGCATGTGTTTGTGTGTGCGAGCGCGTGTGTTTATCTCTGCCTTCAGTCTGCGTGCTTAATCCTCAGATCATCCCCCATTCATCCTCTCATCCTCCTCACTTACAGCCCTAATCCCGTCATCCCTGGCTCTTTTTTCTCACCCAGCCCTTTATCCATTTATCCCTCGATCCCGTTATCTCTCGCTCGCATCCCCTGCCCCCCCCACCCCCGACCCTCCCACCCCCCACAGGCCCGGCTCGCCTTCTCTTTTTGCTCCCTGTTTTCCCTCCACCGCCTCCAATCACTTATCCTGCCACGCTGCATCCCTCCATCCCTCTGGACCCGGTTTCTAGCAAGCCTCAGCAGATGTCTGAAAGCTTGGCATCGCATGCCTTTTATTTATTTATTTATTTTCTCTCCGCAGAGATCAGTCGCCTCCCGTATGAAAATGCGGTGCAAGGGAACTGCACTCTTATCGCTGCAAATGAAGCGCCTCCCAACAATACAGCGGTGGGAAGTGGGGGAAACTGAGCCTGAGCCAGGAAGAAGAAAAAAAAAAAAGAGAAAAAAAAGAGGCGCAATGCAGCGAAATACGGATTTGTGTGCATGTTGAGGTTTAGATGCTGGAGTTCGGGGGCTGGCTCTCCCACTTCACAGGCTTCCATCTGGGTGATGCTGCAGCAGAGCGATGGCGATCTAGGAGCCTACCCACGCAGCCTAGCTACCTAGGTGTCTACCGACTGGCCTTCCCACAGCTGCTTTTTTGGAGCTGCCACGCAATAAATAAATCATCTAAAAAAGGGAGAGCGCTGCAATGCAGTGGGGGTCGCCTTAGTGTTCTCTACTCCCAGGCAGCCAGTGCGGCATCCTTCTTCCTTCCTGTTCCTCTTCTCTCTCTCTCTCTCTTGCGCGCGCTAGGAAGCAGCAACAACGCATTTTCTGAATCCCTCCAGAAAGCGGAGTGAGATGACTGCACAAGAGGATGGATGCTTTGATGGATAGGAGGGACTGAGGCCGAGAGGGAGGGGAAGTTTTGAAAAGAGGGGGCGGGAACGGGACGTGTAACGCGAGCGCGTGAATGACAGACGGAGAGCAAAGCGAAGCGAGCGAGCGACGGGAGAGAAGAGGCTCGGGCTGTCAGGAGGAGAGAGACGGAAAAGGGCCCGAGGGGGATCAGAGCAGCGAGGCCGGGGAGACAAAAAAAGAGGGAGAGTGACAGGCAGGGGGAGGCTTGCGTGCCGACGCGGCGGAGGAGGAGGGAGAAGAAGAAGGGACACACCGGCGGAAAAAGGGGGGGAAGGGAGGAGCGAACGTGGGAGAGTTTGAATGTTGGAGACAGACGTGGACTGAAGCCGCCGCTAGCTCATGGTCTCTGAGCACAGAGAGGTGAGCGGAGCCGGGCCGGGAGGAGAAACGCAGACACTGTGGGACGGGGAGAGGGAGAGGAGGAGCGGGAGAGTGGAGAGCTGGTCGGCAGTTGTTCCTCTAGATCAGACCATGATGGGGCTGTACTACCAAGCAATGATGCCGGTAAGTTGGCCTCTTGTTTTTGTTTTTTTTAAAGCTAACAACTGGTGTGGAGAGCAGAGCCGGGTGGACAGAAGCAGATAAATGATTTGGCGCTTTGGTTTGGCTCGAAGAACCGGTATTTGGTGGCGGTTCCGATGCAGGCGGCCCGTATCTGCTTGGTTGTGCCTTGGCCCAGGTGAGGCCTCTGGCAGATAGTTGGCAGGGCATGAGACAAACGGCAGGGCTCGTCCTGCAGCTCTGCTGCTTATTCTTTTTTTTTTCAAAGAATGATGGAGAAACCATGCCACATGCTCATTAGCGCTGTAGCCATGCAACCTTCGCTCCTTACTGGAGCGGACACAGCGGCCTGAGAGGAGTCAGCGGAGTTGGCGTGCCGCTGGATGACCGCATTTGACTCCGTTCAAGTCGCTGCTCAGCACTGCAGCATTTCATGTTTACGGTCGACGCGCTAGGCGCTGCTCTTATGGCACGGTGGGCGTGTCCGTGTGCTACTTTAGCCCAGAGACCGCCTGGGGGCCAGAGCTGTTCTCTGACTCTGTTCTAGCACGTCCCGCTCTCCGGTCTTGGGTTCCTATGGGGCCCTTAAAGAGGATGGGGGGAGGGGGGGGGGAGGCGTGCCGGCTAGTTGGTACTGCATGCTCTCGCCATGCTGCACCGCACACAGTGTCATGTTATATTTTTCCCGTGTGCCGCTTCTGTCACGTCACATCATGCGCGCGGAGGCCGAGACCCTGTCAGCCGAGCTGTCCGTGCGGTTTAGACTTTGTCTGCCTCTGGATTGAGGGAGACAGGTGTCAAGGCACAGTTGTTTCCGCACACACACACACACACACACATACCAGGACCAGTTGTTGCTGGTCGTTGTTGCAGGGAGTACTTTAGTACCTCCCCCTCTCAACAGAGGCACACAGTTACTGTGAGCGACAGCTGCAGCGGCCCTGTCTTGGATGTGGATTCTCTCAATAATCGTAACCGCTGTGGTGTAACTTCGCCCAATAATCTCCTCTATTTGCTCAAAATCAAATAGAAGTAAAGGTGTAGGTTGTTTTTTACAACCCCGCCCCCATTCTCCTGCAGGCCATAACAGATTTAAACACATTACTCCTCCTCAAAGAGAGCGATGCCGAATGGAGGATGGCTGTAATAACTAGAAGGTTGCGACGGGGGTGTTGGTGCTATGTGGGAATGCTCTTTAATGGTACCGTCCCCTTCATCTGCGGGGCACATCTCTGTGCAGTGTGCATAAGCGGGGGCCGGGTGGACCCTTAGTGGGAGGTGTGTGCAGCTCACGTGAGCCTACCATGGAATTGAGGGCTGCTTATTACATGTGTACATTTGATTCATTCACATTTTGGTCGCTTCAAGAAAAGGTTTGTGTGTTATTATTTATTCAGAGTTCCACAGCCCAGTGTCGGGGCTCAGAAGGGTTGGCTACAGGCTCAGATGTTCCACACAGGCCGCCACGATGAGCCTCCCCCACCGGGTCGGTGGTGGAGATGCAGCCCGCGAGCCTTCTCAATTGCCGAGTCAGCATCACCACTGCAGCAGGATGACACACAAGCATCCGGTCTGCCTGAATTATCGTCAATTTCATTTTGCGTTATTGTCTTCATATAGATTTCATTTATGGTGCTGTTGGCTCTTAAATTGTGAATTTAAATATCGAATTTTCAACAACTTTTGACTTGAGGACCTCCTAAAGTTCTTTGAAGTATTTGGATCACGTAATTGCAACCAGCAGTGGAATTTA